GCTTCTATCATCAGATCCAATTCAAATATACCGACGCCAGATATATGCAAGAAATCACCACGCATACTGACCGTCACGCTGAAGGTGAGATAAATAAAGCACTTATGCAAGCAATGCGATCGGTGGTCCGCTCATGCTTCGTCTATGTGCGCAGGAGTGAGTGTAGGGGTGTTCATGGGTAAGTTGTTACCGCGTGAGCCTCGTCGAAGCGAGCGCTTGAATTTACGCCTGTAGAGCATCAGTCAACCATCGTTAGATATGATAGTTATAAAACTCACACCGCGGACTCCCAAATCTTGGTCTGTTCATTGAAGATGTGACTAGGACAGTTAGTTACCCAAACTAACATCCATAGAATGGAACAATTCAGGACTCACCCATAAAAGCTCGTTCGTGTAAGTGCCTTTGGGCCATACTCTTCTTCGAGGAGATATGTATAAGCGTATGGAATTTTGACCGGAACACCCTCGAAGAGACTGTCGCGCAGCGGGAAGATGTCGCTCTCCTATATTACCCGTTAGCGAGACTAGACAGACAGCACTACCAGACAACTTACCTCATAGTGATGTTTATCCTTGCACATTAGCGCTTCCGGATGGCCATTCAGCCGCTTAGCCTCATCCTTGCGGACAGCAGTGATATCGATGAAAAGACCAGACGACATGTCAATCCAGCGGGCATCAATCTTATTCAAAGTGTCTCTCTCGGATTTGACGACATAATGAGGATTGATCTCGAGCATGTACGTACGGCCGCCGTCGACGTTAGGAAGATCGAAATGATGCTCTGTCATGTTATAGTAATCCGCCAAGAAATGAATCGTCGCCTCCGAGATCTGCACATCTAGATCGTCGTCCCATGGAAACACCTATACAACTGGTTAGGGAGTCACCTTATAATTCGGGATATCCATAATCCCACCTTCTGGTTCCACCACCAGGCCAAGAGAGTCCCATGCATGATCCATGTCTCTGCACCGATTGCGTTCATTGTTGTGAAATATGTTTGGATTAGATCCGAGAGATATGGGATGACTTTTGTATCTGGGAGACTGCCATTGGCGTATCTGAAAAGCGTTAGGCATCGCGGTTGGGATTGAAGGATGAGCGAGCGTACCGGCCGTCATAATGATGATTGAATCTGAGTACTGCGGTTTAGTTTTGATCATATCTGGTACAATTCCCAGGAAGGGAGATGTTCGACATACTCTGATTCATCTGTAGGGTTCACGCGAGTCAGTAAAGATTCAAATCAGAGTTCCATGGTTCGTGGCCTTATAAACCAAGCTTGGGGTTGTACACATCGACGAAAGGATTAAGGATTGCACTTACGAAAGTACTTTTCTTTCGGTATCGCACGTTCACTCTTATACTCCTTTGTTACATTCTTTCGCACGCTCATGAAATTCGGTTCTGTATCTCCGCAGACTCCAGAAATGGTAGTCGCCAAAAGGAATCCATAGAGCCACAAGACTCTGGTGACTGCAGAGCGCATTCCGTACTGGAGTTTCATAGACCCCGACACTTCATGCTCCGGATCTCAATATGTACAATGAGCCTAGAGATTGTGCGACGACAGGTTCGACCTGTGCTGTCCACAGGGAGTCTCTTCCAAAATGGGTGACGTCCGAGGATCGGAGACGGGATAATTTATGGAGAACAAAGATAACAAATAGAAAAGAGGGTATAATAGTGTATGAAGATTGAAGAACTGGAGAAGGGACTGGAGAATCAAAAACGCAGGAGATATTTTGACTAGTAGCCAGTTAATCCCATTTCAGCTTGAATTTCCGCCGGTTTTTCCGGAACCCCCTTATCCAAGAGCTGACGACTCCCATAGAGGAACAACCCAAGCGACATATCCACGGATCGAATCAGCAGAGTCTGCAATTTTGCGCCACGGACGTGCCCCACATGGCAATAAGCTTGTCTTGAGGGTCGCGTGGGCAATCTTGGCAAGGTTTTGCGTGTGAAACACGAATTTCAACCCGATGTTTCCCATGGGTGACGAGGACGCGCATCCCGCTAACGCTATGTCCATTGGCGTTCCCCAAAAGAGGTAGCTTGGCTGCTAGTAGCATAAAGTGGCGCCCAGAAACTGATTGGGGCATACGCGTCCTCCCCTATCGCATCATTTTAGTCTAGTGGCTGCCCGGTCCGCACACTTAGAGACGGGTTGAGAATTGGTGGATATAAGGTTGGACATGTATCGCTCTCGAATAAGAAATCACCTTCATCGGTTACTTCGGCTGAGATTCGGTTAGAGGTGCATCTCAAAGATACAGGCTCTGCCAAGGGCTTCGGGTAACTCGATCCGATCGAAGCCCCACTCGTCCCCAGCAATGATCTCTGATGTTGCTGTTATGGGCTGCAGCAACGCAAAAGGACCCAAGATCTGAATTGCGTAAATAGAGGATAAAGAGCAGATCCTCCCCAGACTCGACTGATCAACGGCAGTGAGCGATCGTGGCTCATTTCGAAACGTCATTGAAGCTGACCAATCATGAAAGAATGCCCGATGGCGCATGAAGATAGCCATTGTGCATAACACTGATTGCAGAAATCTCCGACCCCGAGCCTCAACTCCGAGCGGTGGATCTTTCAGCTTGAGTCCATAGCAGAAAGATATTAAAAAGCGACTTTGCCCAAGCTGGAAAGTTGCTCTTTCGATTTTCTTCAAGTTCTAGTCTTGCTTCCTGATGTCGACTATGAGTGGACCGGGTTTATTTTCCAGCCGAGCCACCATGCGACCGGGAAGGATTTGAACCGGTCCTTTCCACGAAGGAGATCATATCTGCTGGTACGGAGTAGTGGAGTGCGAGCTGAATGGCTCGAAGTAATGGGAGTGTCTAGGGCATACCGCGTACCTCCAATCGTCACTTGGATTGACCTTGAAAGTGGTGGAAGATGCGAGCTGGCCACAAAGCAGGGCCTAAAGATGTTCGGTGTCCGTCTATTCCGCAAACCACGGACATCGCCGTTAGACAATCTCACGCGCTAAAATGCTTGTCAAGACGGCATAATCGGACCTGAGAGATCAACAAACAGAATAACCGCATAAATTTCCTCAATGAACCAGCGTTGATATACTTACCTTCAACTCACCCTATAAATTAGCGCGTGTCGAACAACACCTACCTCTTTTACTCGGATGTTCCATAGGGCACACTTGTGCACACTTGTCCGGCATACCGAGAAAATCAGGTTTCAACGGAGATGAGCCGAGTCTTCTTATCACATGCTTATAGTTGTCCTCTACCACCGACGCCGCCAACGCCGGTAGCTCATCCACTTGGTTTGTGGCAGTGTCGAGTGGCCTCATTGTGGGGTGGACAACAACTGAGACATGCATGCAGATATACAGATGCATATGGTTGAATGGCTATTTCATACTCCGTACTCTTCGCGAATAGGATCTATATCCCGATGATACTATAACACCCTGTTCGGCGTACGGAGTACATAGCCACACGTTATTTCACAGGTTCGGCCGGGGTATTCGGGCCGGACATACATACATGTTATGTCCCATGTTATGTCCCAAGGTTTGAATTCATATTTATTTCCCTCATCCCCACAAATATGAAGCTATGGCGAGAGTAAAAGATGCATGAACCGATTAGGGCAACCAGGCACTTTCGATTGGCCAATAATGGACTTCCGATTTTCGGTGGAGGTGTACAGAGGAGCGAGTGGAATAATGATTCGCTATGTTTAGCTTTAGCCTTTCAATCTCCATTCACGGTTTCGTTTACAAGTCGAGTTAACTAGTACTACGGAGTATGTTGTACACTGAACTCAGCCACCGTAAAAGAATGTAGATCACACATACACGGATTTTAGGCCGAGCGAGATGGATTTCCCTTTCCGTTTTAGTGCTCACCCCTTGCCGCTTTTTGCTCATTGAGTAAAGCTGAGCACGCCCCTGAGTATTACGTAATCGTTAAACCCGCTCACTGAGCATCACATGATTATTACATAAGCTAGATGACTCGCTCACTGGGCGTCACCTGAGCAGCCTGAGCAAAGTGGGAGAGCAGCTAAGTCAGCAGGTCACCTCAATGAAATGCACCACGCTAGCCCCATCCAAATGCAGTCGTTCACCCAGCACTCTTGACCGTTGTCCCCTCAACGAAAGGCTGGTGTCATCAATTTGGCGGTCGATCCTGGTTGTTATGCCTCCACCTGGAAGGCAAATGCACAGTGGGGCCACATTATTGGCTTTACTATTCTGCGCCTATGCCACTATTCAACCTCGCCGAGCTCTACATAGTTGCGGAATATATCCAACCCTCCATTTTTGGTTCTACAATATCTAGGAATATCTCAGCCTAGCCCTTTCGGTAATCAGGTTAGTCAGCTGTGTTCTAGGATCGTATTCGATATAATTGAGCATTATTTTCCGGTGTAAGGTATTTACAGGGTTTTTAAATCCAACCTGCACAGCCACCGCTTTGAGACAGATAAGCCACAATACTTGGAACACCTGTAATTTCCGAGTTACATAAAACAGGTACGATCATGTAACGTAATTCACATACGAGCCACCACATACGACCCGCCACCCCATTCAACAATCTAGTTTTTAAATACATTTATCTTAACCATAACGCCATTAAATTAATTAAACTAAATTCAACTATCTTTCTGGATACCTGTTAATTTTATGCCCGGTTCTTCCACACCCACTATACCTTGCTGCAGCCCGTGGACGTGGTTCTAACCCTAATTAAGGGCTTCCGCGCGGGGGGTATAGAGGTGCTTCTGATGCTTCTACTACCTTAGTAATCAATTAAGAAGCTTCTTGAACTGAGAGGCCTTCTTCAGCGGGTATCTGCCTTCTAGATCAGGTCTATTTTTACTTCTTCTTCTCATTTTCATCCTATAAGTTGTACTGTAGTAGGTTTTGCGGAGGATAGAGCAGGTATTTGTAGAGGTAGAAGGTATAGGACGAAGAACATTCGATATAGACGGTTTTTCTTGTAATGACTTTTGGCTATCTTAAGGAGGGTTGTAGACTAAGCTGTAGCAGCGGTACGTTATACGGTTTGACATGCCCCAGGACGGAGGAGGTAGCGCTTTACCAAAAATAAAAAACTTGATGAAAGCTCCGATCAGAAGTACTACTAAGAGCTGGCCGAGGAGAAGCCCTTGTGTAAAGGACAAGCTAAGAGGGTGTTAGCAAGATCACATAGTCCACTCCACAGACAGAGGGCGTACGAGGATTGAGGCGCGAGTGGCGCGGGCTCATCTGCATTATAGTTAGCATACCAGTTCGAGCCCTTGGAGATAGCATCACTCACTATTTTGGAGCGCCATTGTCAGCGGCTGTCGACAATCCTTGTTCACAGTACCATCTCCAAGTGGAGAAGATGTTCCAACTTTCGGATCTCTAGGGCTAGCTTGGCCGAACGGCATATCTCTTATCGCTGATATGCCACTCTTGACCGCCTGCCTCTGAAACTTTAAGGAAGTGCCCTTATCTATTTCGGGACTAGCGTCGCTTGCATCTATAAAATATGATGAATGCCTGCCACTCGTTTCGTTTTAGCTCACCTCTTGCCGATTTTTGATCTCAGAGTTAAATTGAGCCCCTGGATTGCCCAGCCCTGGAGGCTCAAGGGTTAGTTAACTAGTTACTGATGTGCGCTGGGATGACGTAATCTTACGAGTTAAGCTGCGGTTGGGGTCCCCAAGGTACGGTACATACTGAAGATGGGCCCCCTGAGGGGCACCGACAGCCCTGCCTGCGAAACAGGTGTGAGAGCAGAGTCGTCACTGGGAGTAGTAGGGTGCTAGAGAGGAGAACACCATGGGGTGACTACTGAGAAGAGAGGTGGAAAGGTGTCTGCGTTGCTATCTAGTCAGTTAGGCCTCGGGAGTGCTTTTATGTCACATAGCCGCTTAGTCATCCTGCTCTGGAAACTCCCACTGCAATACGTACATATATGTACATGTATAGCAACCCTCCACCAATCTTCTTCTTTCCCTTCCCTCTCCAAAGCACTATCATCATCATTCACTTTCCTTAATCCTCGCCCTGTCGAGATCTTCATTGACATAATGCGCAACACCTGGCCGTCCCCTATGGTCCGCAAATTCATTCGCGCCAACGCCTCGGCAGACCCGCCAAGGCCGTCGTTGTTGCCCTCATCTGACAAGTCTGCCGAGAATTCCTGGCCTCAAGACCCTATCCGAGACGAATATTGTTTCTTCTACGGGACATTAATGGACCCAAATATATTATCCAAAGTCTTAGGATCGTCAAAACCACCACCTATGATGCGCCCTGCTAGGATTATTGGTTACGAAATCAAACTTTGGGGCACATACCCTGCTCTCCTCGATGATAAACCACTTCATCCAGTCGATGGAATAGTGTGTGGCCTCTTATCGCCGACGCAACTTGATCGACTTGCCGCCTACGAAACGGATAAATATCATCTTCAAGCTTGCTTGATTAACGTTCTGAATAATGACGGTAGCACCGAGAAAACCATTGAGGGAGTTTCTTTCATGTGGAATGGTCGAGAGGATGAGCTTCGGGAGGGTACTTTTGATCTAAAGCAATGGGGGAAGGACAGACAGCTACGTGAATTGGACTAAGAACTACAGAAATGTCCAGGTTGGTTATTCGATGCTTTAACTACGTAAGTACTAGGCTTACTTACACAAGTAGGATGTTTACTTAAGAATTGGGAATTTGCTTTAAGACGTTTTGCTTCAGAAAATGTTGCTTTGAGACCTGGTGCTAAGCTACATACTACGTAGTTTCTTTATAACAATATTCTTTCGGTCACCTTCACTCTCTTTCACCTTAAGCATCTTTTGCTCTGACACTGTCAATTCTCGCATAGGTCTTGGCTCAATAGCTCCTGATTTCCTATGGAACAGTGAATCTAAGATTCCACAGTTGACACCAGATAGTTCAAAGCTGGTTAAAAACTTCTTTAACCCTTGGACATCTCGAGAAAAACGTGGGAACGTGGTGTCTGACGCTGAATTTTTTCTACCTATAGCTAAATAGATTCTAACAGAAATGGTACACCTGGACGATGTTGAGAACTCTAACGCCGAAACGTCAAAAGAAAGGACGGAAATCCTGTCCTCCATCAACCCCAACAAACAAATCCACAACCCGATTGTACCGCAGTCGGTCCCCACATTACAGCGAGCTTCACCACCCGAGGCAAGTCGCTACGTTTGAATAATAGTATCATTATCGCTAATTAGACTAGGGCCAAGCGAATTATACTCTATCGGGGCTTACAAGTGACGACTCAGTCGCAATAATGCGACAAGCATTATCACCAGACCCGGTTGTATTCAACGACAGCCACCAAGCATGGGCAAATAGTGAGGGAACGACCCTTCTAGAAACACTCAAGACTCTGTCACAGGCAGTCAAAGATCTCCAGAAAAGGGCCGATACCCAGGGGCAGGATATCCAAGACACAAATAAGAGCCTTAAGGACACACAAAAACAACCCGAGGATACACAAAAGAACCTCGAAGAGGCACAAAATACCCTCGAGAATACACAAATAGACCTCGAAGAGGCACAAAAAGGCCTCATCAAATATGAGCGGACGTTTGACGCACATACAATTGAGTACAATTGAGGTGCAATCAACAAAAAGGACGGTCAGTGCTTAAAGGTTTTTAATTGCTGGGCGCTAGCATGCACAGAATAGATGGCTGATGAATGATCCACCTATCACGTGATTTGATCTGATCTTTTCATGCCTTTATTTTCAGGCCGTCAAGATGAGCATGTCTGTGCGCTGACTGAGCAAACCCGAGCACTCACTGAGCACTCGCTGAGCGTACCCTGAGCACTCACTGAGCAATATTTGGGAAGTACTAAACAATTTTTTTTACATTACTAAGCATACCCTAAGTGCTCACAGTGATCACCTGTACTGTGAAATACTCAGTGAGCAGGAACCTGAGCGCCCTTATAAAAGCGGCGGCACCCCGATCGGGAAATTCGCGACCGTGGCCTAAAATCCGGTACATACAGGTAAATATGGCGGAGTACGGGGTTTTCCCGATGGGGTGCCGCTGCTTTATTAGGGTCCTCAGGTCCAATTCACCGATTATTACCGGTACACCGCACAACGGAGGCAAACGAAAGATATAGAAATCATGTATCTTTGTAAATTTGCATGGCTAATACATATAAGATATAACCATAACATATTTTCTCAACTTTCGAACCATGGAGTAATAATACGTACAGTATAAGTCTAGGTTGAATTAACACTAGGATTAATCATGGCTGCACGATTCAGCTACCAAGATAGGAAATAATGATGCTCAAAATGCCTCACAAATCAATAAGCCCAGAAACTTGTTATCTACGAGTTTGTCAAAACCATTCAATTAGGGTTGAGATATTCCGCCACGATTTCAATGGTGGGCCGGAATCGTAATCCCGATAAACGCCCATGGAGGCCTTCGAGAGTCAATAATATACGAGACGTGCTCAGTTTTACTCTGGCGACCAAAAAGCGGCAAGGACAGCCCTAAAGGAGAAGGGACAGCCATCTATACCTGTATGGATGTAAGATTACCGGAATATACCACCTGGGATGTATTTTATCTTCTATCCCAACCTGAACTGGGCTGAACCTGACGCTTAGCGTGGAGAAGGGGATTTTTACCCTCTCCACTTCTCCAGGGCTTCTAGCCTTTCCCTGAGCGCTTGAGCATCTTTTTGCTTTAAGCTTCGATTTATTTTCTAGCTTTCACATGATAATTTCTTGAATCTCTTATTCACATCCTTGTGGGGTCTGACATCGAAATCTATCGGATACTTTTCTGTCAGTTCGACTTTCATGTCAGTCCCCATTGCACGAACTTCACTCGATACAATGCCTCGATATACACAGTAAACAGCATTATTCGGACGTACCATTGACGCCGGCTCATAATTTATGGGAAAGAACCAAACTCTCGGCGCGCGCGCCTGTGTGAATATGTCAGAGACCTCCTCCACATCCCAAGGCGAATCAAGCACCCTCCAAGGATCAGCCGCCCAGCCGTTAAATAGATCCTGCGAGTCTTGCCGGAGTCTCAAGGTCCGCTGCCTCCCCAGCCCAACCACGTCTAACCAATGCCAGCGATGCGCCAAGGGCAAGCGATCCTGCGTCTTCGTGGCGCCGCAGAGACGGCGGCCCCGGAAGCGGACGGATTCGCGCGTTGCACAGCTCGAGAAGGAGATGCGGATGATGCGTTCGCTGTTGAAAAATCGCATCCCCGAGGAAGAGGAACCGGATTCCAGTGACGACAGCGACGGGGACGATGTTCAGGATGAATCGGCCGATACGGACGCTAAGAGCACTCTCGCATTGCGGGACAATTCGACTCACTCGTCCGAGGATGTCCGTTATATGGATTGTTCCCCTGAATTGCTAAATACCCCGCACTCCGGCGTGCATGGTAGTGGCGGCTTTTCAGCGCCCCCGATTTTCACGGATATGCCGGCTCGCCATGAATCGCTGCAGGAGAGGCTTCCTCCGGCGGACGACGTGATCGATCGGGGAATTCTCTCCCTCGAAGATGCGGAGCAATTGGTGGCGTATTTCATTCACGAACTTGCATTTTTCTTTCCATTGGTCGTCTTGCCTTCGAACACCACGGCAGCTCAACTGCGACAAACAAAGCCAGTCCTCTTTCTCTCCGTGATTGCTGCGACATCCATATCCGTCGACGCAGGATTGGCAACCGTGTTGAACCGTGAGATGGTTCGCCTCTATTCTGAGAGGTTCTTCATCGAGGGCGAAAAATCACTTGAGCTAGTGCAAGCGCTGCTGCTGATGATCATACATTATTTCCCGCCCGCCTCGCCTTTGAAGCTGCAGATTTATCAGTACACGCACATCGCCTCGACGATGGCGTTAGAAATTGGGTTAGCTAATAAACGTCGTGTCTCGAAAAAGTCCGATCGCAAAAGCAGCAAGCATGACGAGCTGCTAGCTGAGCAGGCGAGGACAGTTCTCGGCTGCTACCATCTCGGTTCAAGCGTTGCGATGAAAACCCGTCGCCCAAATATGCTCCAGTTCAACGACTGGATGACAGAGTCTCTCAAACACCTAGAAAACTCGCCGCATCGAACAGATCAACATGTAGCGACATGGTTCGAGCTCCAACGAATAACCGACGAAGCAATGTCCTCATTCGGTCTAGACGACACCAGTACCACATCACCCTTAACCGAGTCGCGGGTCCAAGCCGTGCTACGCTGGTTCGACAAGCGGCTCGAGACGTGGAAGAAGAACATTCCACCAGATATGCTGACCGGTAAGAAACCCCAGTCCTCTCGCTGTGTCATGATGCATCCAAAATCAATGCTAACGAATCCCATCAAACCAGTCCCCATGATCCTCGAATACCGCTACACAGCACTAGCAATGTACGAACTGGGCGTAGGAGAAGGCTACCGCGACCCAGACGCCATAAAGCGACGATATTTCACGCTGCCGACCCTCGATGGAGAGAACAACAGTGGCAGCGAAGCACCGGACGCCCCACTCAGCGCAATCCGCATCGACATCAAGGTGAAATGGATGAACGCCGCACATGAGTTGCTAGACGCCGTGCTGGTTTGCAGCACGGACACTTTGCGTAAACTCCCGAATCTCACATACACTCGGTTCGCGATGGCCGTGACATCCCTGCTGAAAATACACTTCTCCGTGCGAACCGGTGCTCTCGGGGAAGTCGTCACGGCACAGGCCGTGAATGTGGCTTTCTATCTCGATGCCTTAGCCAGAAAGCTAAGCGAGGCCAGTGCCGGGGGCAAATACCTTATCCCCAGTCGGTGGTATCATGTCGTGGGTGTTAAGGGCCAGGATTGGTATGACCGGCTGGAGAGGCGCCAAAATGGAGGGATAGTAGCTGGTTCTCAAGTCGTATCGGAAAGCCCGCCGATCGGCACCACAAAATCGATCCCAGCATCACACCCTACCCAAAACCAAAACCAAGTGCAAGTGCAAGACACACATTTGGATCAGGTCCCAGCAACGATGGACTCCTTCCCCGGCGTACCCATGCCCCCAATGCCGCCGGCGATAGACGGGTACGTAGCGATGGGCGGTGCGGGCATGTGGGCCATGGACGGCGGGAATAACCCGAATTTCTACGCCATGAGCGCGGCGGGCTATCAGCCCTCGGTGACGCATGCGCAGGCGATGTTGCCACCTCAGTTTGCCTACGAGCCGCAGAGGATGCCGGTTAGTGCTGCTGGGCAGCATATGGCTAGGGCGGGCATGGAGTTGGATGGGTGGCTTCCTGATGGGAGTATCTTTGGGATGCAGCCTTTGCCTGAATTTTGAGATGGAGATAAGAGCCTGGGATTAATAAATCCCGGGGTGGATGCACATGAAAGTGAGTCTACAACATATATAATGTCATATATCATAGGTATGAACTGTATATACATATCAGCTTGTTAATATTTTAACCCCGATATCCCGTAGTCATATCAGCAAGGGTAAAGGGTTATGTTATACTTACCAGCACATTGAGAACATCATCCAAGAGATTCCCAAAAAGCTAGAGCCTAGCTCCCAATAACTCAACCCTGGTAGATGGGAGTATCACTTCAAAGGCAGACATACCCATCACCACACACAGTCAAGTCACCAAGACGAGAAGAAAAGAAAAAGAAAAAGAGAAGAAACCATCAAAGAGCGAGTACCCCAACGGACATTAATCGCATTTAAAGCGAAACAAATAATACATTCGCAAAGTGCTGTCGGAGGCTCGGGAGGATCGGAACTTCCGTGGAACCGTCGGGGTTCATTGACGTGTTGGATATGGGTCTGATGTGGGTTTATTCGGGGTCTTGGCTGTTCCTTTCTGCACTACGGGGTATGTTGTATGTCCCTATGTTGCATTGGTAGTTTTTGATAGCATTGGCCTGTGTCTTGTACTCCTTGTATCCGACCTTCCAGATAGGTCTTGGATTAATTTGTGAATGTATCGTTGTTATTGTATTTCGATGTGACTATTTGAAGGGTATTTGAAGGATTTTAACTTCGTTACTCGAAATTGAGTTGTATAACACATTCGTGGATCGGGATCTATGGAGGATCCGATTCCATGGATAATCAGACAGTAACCACATGCAAAAATGCACAGGCAGATCAGTAATCATAGTTTATGTAAATAATCTCAATCAAAACAGGTTCGTGAATTCATTGCGTAGATAGAACATGGATATCAAAGCCAACCGAAACAAAGACCAACTACCTGATATATTCAACTCCTGGCCTGGCAGTACAGAATAAAAGAAAAGCGTAAAAGTAAAGCAACAGAATCATAGAATTGAAAACGCTTCCAACGCATCCATAAACCCAGCAATAGCCCCAATCCCCACCAATCCCCTTGTAGCATTTCGAGTCAACGCCTTACGACGATCCTTGGCATCTTCACGCGGGGATCGGCGTGGGTGCGTCGACGGGGACCTTTGATCTGAGCGAGTCGGCGAGGATCGGAAGCTAGACTCGGGGGACGAGGAGGAAAGCGGGTATGTGGATGGATGGTGGCGGGGTTGGAGTTTGTTGTTGTTGGGAATATTGTTGTATGCCTGGTTTCGAGTCTTGGGGGGCTCGAAGTAGACTTGGCTTGGCGATGTGCCTCTGGGAGAGGGGTTGGAATTGGGAATGTTGATGGCTGGGTTTGATTGGTTCACGTTTGTTGGGATGGATCGGGGGATTGCAGCGTAGTCTTGGTTTTGGTAGTATTTGTATGGCTGCTGGGGGGGACCCGGCTGTGTGTGTGAAGGTAATGGTGGAGGTCGGGGTAGAGCATGGTTCGGGGGTGGGAAACTGCCGCTTGGGTATGCGGGGGGTCTACTGTCGGGATTGTTATGACTCGGATATCTGGATGAGACGCTGTTGGAATGGAAACTGCGGCCTTGCATAGGGTTGGTGCTGTGTGAGGGTCGAAGAGTGTCGGGTCTCTGCTCGCCTTCGTCACTTGAGTCGATGACTCTCGAGTCGCTGCGGGGGCTGGATCGACGCTTGAGATATTCGTCCGGCTCTGGTTCGCTTTCCACTTGAGCTTGGTAGCTGGAGTACTTTCGGCGTAGCTCTGCTGCATGATGTCGGGCCTCTTGTGAATGGGGGTCTCTCCAGTCCACTGTTGCTCCTTCGAGGTAGTAACCTCGGATGCTGTGATTATCAAAGCCCGGCTCTTCGGTATCATCTTCTTCGGCATCCGAAGAGACGTAGACTCGAGGTTGAACTCGGTTGTTGGATGTATTAAAGCCCTTGGCGGCATGGTGTAGTTTTGAAGGGTCAATCGAAGGCACCCAGAGTGAAAGCAGCCGGTTCAACGTGCTCTCAGATAGTCGCACCATATCTTTCGGGGATCTTTCCATATCACTCAGTTCCACGTCACTATTCCCCAAAGCGATGATGGGCAGTCTTGTTGGATCCGAGTGTCTGGTTGCGGCAGCAAATGGCTTCGATATCGATGTCGTATTGGACGAGTAATTGAAACTGATTTTCTGGTTTGTCGGGTTCTTGGCAGCATCTAAAGTCTCCTGTTCCACGAGATCCCACAAGCGATCAAGGCGTTTGACAGACCAATATCGGACGATGATCATGTTCTGAGATTCAGCTTTCTCCTGAGCAATGGCATCGTTGGTAGTGGCTGTAAAGGAATTAGTAGCAATTCCGTCGTCAATACTGGATTTCAAAACGTCCCCAAGCTCTAGAGTCTGTAGCATCACAATCAGACTGAGCTTGAGAGTTTCCAACTGGGCTAGCAAATAGGTGACATGCTGTTTCCGGAAACACCATTTGAGTCTATCCTGCAGTGGGATTCTCATAAGATCATTGTCTCTATCGGTTGCCTTCAGTTTGTCCAGCATGTGTTCGATTTCGATGAATATCATCTGGCCTTGTCCGGAGATCTCCCATGCCTTCTCTGTCGCCTCGGGAGACCGTTCCGTATCAGTGCCCTCAATGATCTGCCCGACATTTTTGAGCACCAGAGCGAAAAGCGAGATTCCCTTGGCGATACTATGAATCTCCAGTCTAGACTGAGCGAGTTGACAAGCGGCAGCATTGAGGAGCAGTGAGAGGCGAAAACCCGCACCGGCAACCTTGATAATGGAAGCCTGTGAGCCTTTAGAGAGAAGGAACTCATTAGTAGAATTTCTCAACTTTCAAAGGGAAAGACATACCTGGTGCCATGATAAAGCAGTGTTTCAGATCATATCAAAGACAAAGTGGACTTCCTCCAACTATCATAACCTCCAAGCTGTTCCCCGCCAAGAACTAGAGCCGCAACTGCATATCAAGTGACTCACGTCTGACATATCAATTTGGAACCCCGGAGGGTTCTCTGTCTGTACGCCCGCAATTAGTGGCGTCATGGTCTATGGTTTCTCGCCTTCTCGTTGGTTTACGAGGACCGGCGGAGTTGATCTTCAACCCGAAATGATCTAGCGCATGCTTTTCATTGTTACATGAAGTCCCGGGCAAAAGTAACCGGCACTGCCTCAAACCTCGATTGCCTTGGATTTGTTTATCAAGACTGTTTTGCCCGTATCAAAAGGGCAGATTATGCCCCGGGGATTTCGGATGCCCCTACCCTTGCTCTTTACCCGGGGTTTTTCCCAGGGCGAAGCATGGTGGCAATGACCTCGTATTACGAGAAGTGGGAATCTTGAATGAATGGTAAGCTGATTACTCCGTGAAGAATTTCGTTATCTCCGAGTTAAGGGATTTCTCTTGCCTTGTATAACAAAATATAATAAAACAGCTACAAACATAGCCCTGGGGTATATATATGTGTGGAGAAGACATGCAGCTATTCCGAGGTGGATCTACTAACATTGACCTATTAATGTGAAACGCTCCTATAGAATGAAGAATACTCCATAGATAAACATCAATATTCAAAACAATCAAACAAGAATGTATGTTATTCGAAGATCTACTGTTTTCATTCAGACTTGTTTATTTAGCATCGGACCCGATGGGCGCATTTCCGCTTTCGGTCCCTCCACAGTTCCTTTTGCGATTTGCCTAATCTCTCCCCAGACATCCAAACCTCCAACTCTCTACTATAACTCTTTAAGCTCTTTAATTACAGACTTGATTCAATCCTTTGTTGTGGCTGCTCTCTGCTAGCTAATTGATCTCTCCGCCGCATTCTCCGCCCCTCCTTTTTCCGCCGCGTGGCACACCGTCATCTGCGGAGACTATTGCCCAAGCCTGTCCGATGACAATCTAGTGGCCCACCATCGGACGTGGGAAACTCGCGATAAAACAAATACGCCCAAATAAGAGCCTCAAAGCTCAAGGCAACAATCGTGAGGCCGGATGGGTGAGCTCCCGAAGGTATCGCGAAGGAACGAGGGACAACTGGGATCCGATACACCACCTTAAGGCCCCCAAGAGCCTCCAGTCCATGAAACCATGACCGCAGCCTCGGGTGTCACTGTAGACACCTCCGATTATCCTATATTATCCCCGCCGAACGCCCTCCATTCGTCCCAGCACGAGCCCCAATCGACAAAGGGCGGTTCCCCCACAAATCAGAATGGAAAAGAGACAGAGCGCTCAGCGCCACAACCAGTAGCACCCAAACCCGCTGCAGGATCTGTTAAACAAGATCCTATTGCATCAGATGAAGTAGATGATTTTGGCCTTCCCATCCGAGCACGCCGGCACAACCCCGCACCCAGCGAAGGAGAGAATGCCAGCCAAAATATCCAGAATGTACCTGTGAGCTCGACGGGCTACAGTGACGCTGTGGAAAAGGGAAAGGAGCCAGAGTTATCACAGGGCAAGCTAGCCAATTCGAATAATACAGAAGAGCGAGGCCAGGGCGCAGACCATAACACTTCTTCTACACTCCCCTCGTATTCATCGGCCTCTACAGCTCTTGCTCAGCCTCGGACCTCAGCTTCGAAACAAAGGTCACCCCAGGTGTCGGAATGGTCGCACCAGCGCCTCGCCCAACCTGATGCACATTACCCCGAGAGCGAGGAGTCAGAGCCAGAGCCCGATGAGTGGAAAGCGATGCCTGCGCTTGGAGAGTTCGACTATTATGACGACTATGGGAGACTCATTGCTCGTGGCGCCAAAGAAGAATCCGACGAGGCTGTATACCAAGGATTGGGAGGAGCAGGGAGGGGCTATACTCGGGTGCAGCTCGACGATGATGCCCAGTCTGCTACAAGTCTAGATGATGATACAAGCTACCTCTTTCGAGAGGCAGGCGGCAACTCTGCTGGTCTAGTTGGCGAGGAACTGCGAGATACCATCAGCCAGCTCCAGGCCACCAAAGACCTTCTCAACGAGACTCAAAAGATCGCGTATGTGGGCGTTGTCAGGTTGACAATCCATTATATGAATCATGATCTGGCGTCAATTGCCACAACCAAATCTACGCGCAGAACCATGCAGAAAGCCTCGGATGCCATGCGAAAATGGGGCCAGGCGATCATGGGGCGAGTCTATGCTCATATGGATATCAATTCCGCTGAGCAGATTATGATTGAGCAGCTCGCGGAGCATGGGGTGGAACCAGAAGATCTGGTGCGACCACTCATGCAGAATGCGCGGGTCAAGAATCCTATGGCAGAGAGTGAGCCGAAAACCTCTACATCCAGTCGAAAATTCGATTCTCCATCTAGGCTCTCCGCAGAGACGGACTCATCTGAACTAGATCCACCTCCGCCATACGAGGTCCACGAGACTGAGGAGCTCCCTGAGGTCAAGACGCCTTCTGAGATGCCAACCTCTGAACGCATAGATATCGATCTCCGCTGGACTGTCCTCTGCGACCTGTTCCTTGTGCTCATCGCAAATTCAGCATACGACGCTCGGTCGCGCACTCTTTTGGAAAGGGTCGGCGCAGCTTTGAGTGTAACATGGCTACAGATCTCACGGTTCGAAAAGCGAGTCACAGACTCCCTTGAAATGCAAGAACAGGAAGAGAAAGAGAATTGGGATGAGTCAGATCACATGGAAAAGCGTCGCAAGATGGCCTTGAAGCGGAAATATATGATTATGGGTTTAGCAACGGTCGGCGGCGGACTCGTCATCGGCCTTTCCGCTGGGTTGTTGGCACCCGTTATCGGAGCTGGTCTTGCTGCTGGGTTTACTACAGTGGGTATCACTGGAACTAGTGCATTCCTGGGAGGAGCAGGCGGTACAGCTTTGATCGCTTCTGGTGCTACTATAGGTGGAAGCACCATTGGAATGAGAGCTTCGCAACGACGTATGGGTGCAGTTCAAACGTTCGAATATCGACCTCTTCATAATAACAAGAAGGTCAACCTGATTGTGACGGTCTCTGGCTGGATGACTGGCAAGGTCGACGATGTTCGTCTACCTTTCAGTACTGTCGATCCGATTATGGGCGATATCTATTCTGTTCTATGGGAGCCTGAGATGCTTCGAAGCATGGGTGACACTATCAATATTCTGGCAACAGAGGTAAGCTTCTAGAGATGTGCGCTAATTGTTAATAGACTAACCAATTCCCTAGGCATTAACACAAGGTCTGCAACAAGTACTAGGCAGCACTGTCCTGATGGCGCTGATGGCATCCTTGCAACTACCACTTGTCCTCACTAAACTCGCATACTTGATTGACAATCCCTGGATCGTTTCGTTGGCACGCGCCAATTCAGCCGGCCTCGTTATGGCGGATTCCTTGCGAGAGCGGAATCTTGGCAACCGGCCTATCACATTGCTTGGTTTCTCCCTTGGTGCGCGTGTGATCTTCTCTTGTTTGAAAGAGCTGGCCGAAAAGGGTGCCCACGGTCTAATTCAGAATGTATACCTATTTGGCTCGCCCGTTGTGGCGAACAAGGACGAATACCTCAAGGCTCGGAGTGTGGTATCTGGCCGATTTGTGAACGGCTATGCCACGAATGATTGGATCCTGGGCTACCTTTTCCGGGCAACAAGTGGTGGCATCATGAAAGTTGCCGGCCTCGCAGCTGTCGAAGGTATACCGGGCATTGAGAACTTTGATATCACCTCACTTGTGAATGGCCACATGGATTACCGTACGGCCATGCCTCGGATTCTGAGGGAAGTTGGTTGGGAGGTTCTTGAGGATGAGTTTGCAGAAATCGAGGATCCAGACCCAGATAACCACGCCGAACGACAGCGCGAATTGATTCGCGAGATTGATGAAGCTCGCCGAGAAGCAGAGGCGAAGCCAGAGAAGAAGCGCTTCGGCCTGTTCAAGCGAGGCAAGATGGCCGAAAAGAAGAAATGGGAAACGTATGATGTCGACAAAAATACCGCTCCTCGCGAGTCAAGCGATCCCGAAAGTAGCCCCGGCACTGTCCTCTTCGATATTGAGGCCATTCGAGCCGAGTTGCTCTCCGAGGCGATCGAAGTCAAAGAATTAGAGTCGACTATGCCTCTGATGAAGCTAGACCTGAACGCTCCGTCAAAACCGTCACCCGCGCAGCCCTCTTCCCCTATCGACAGGAGGCCCAAGACACCCGAACTCCCAGCTGTTACTCGCACTTCTTCACTACCCCCGCAAGCCTCGGGGCAGTATTCTCCTTACGGGCCCAATGAATTCTCTCCCGCGCCGATGCACGAAGATATGGAAATGACCTTCGACACATCCTTCTATGAATCCCCACGATTTAGAAACGACGACCTTCACTCTCGTCCGGAGTTGAGAACTGCCTCTACAATGCCGACGGTTGGAGCCAGTGCCATCGGAGCTATGGCCATGGAGCCCAATGCCTGGGCGGACCATGATCAGGGACATCGGGATGGCGAGATCTCAATGACGTTCGAATAGTGTCGGCTCTGGGATCCTTCTCATCTTGCTTTCCCTTTCTCTCTTTATACTTTTCTTTCCCGGTCTTAAGCAGTAGAAACAGGTCAAAGGTCTAGATATTTTGTATCTGGTCTAATTACTGACCCTTGACTGTGGCTTGCGAGTTCCATTCGTCCCCATACCCGAAGTCTGTGATACAATTCCATCTCAAACCTTTCACAACCGTACGGGCTTCGTTACATTGCGCTAGCATGTCCTCGCCTGGCGAAGAATCCGATTTCAATGTTTTCTCCTGCACCCCTCATGTTCGCAAGAACACACTGGCATGCTCTTGAAGACGGTAGTCGGGAACTCTGTTCTGGTCATTTCCGTTTCGACAAAGAGGATCAAGATGCTTTCCATCTATATTATGCATGTCATCTGAGAGTAATTGTGTAACCATTCTGTATATAACTGAATTAGTAACTGTCTCACGTGGAATTCGAGTCTCGCGTTTCCCCTCATATGGCGCTGAGTACGGCGGGCGATAACGGCATATTGGACAACTATGCAGCAGACATTTGATTGGCTCGGAATATTGACTACTTCACCGCCTTTCTCACCGCCGCTCTCTTGATGTGCCTTTCGATTTCTGGGGCTTTCTACAACATAGGCCAGAAGGCCTTTGAGGGTCTCTTTCTTATGAGTTTTTCTTTCCTTCTTGATGTTAAATACGGGTAGCTGGAAGAATGATTATCAGAAGCTCTCTACGGTCAATAGTGAATTATCACAGACTTTGGGACTAAGACGGAACGGATAACGGTGACAATTATACATACCTTTCAATATATAACATGCAATTAGGGAATGTTTGGAGTATTACGGAGTACAATAAATAGACCTAACTAGTGAACTACTTCATATTCTATAAATGTTGTTACACGCAATGGTTTTCTGCCGGATAAAACCCCGACCTACGCGATGATTCAACCAATCAAATCCCCGTTGTCCGATACGCCGCTATCGCCCACCGTGGCCAGGTGTCCGCATTGTCTCAGTTTCTCGAAACCGAGCGTTCTTTGTTTCGAAGGCCCAAAAAGAAATCCAACACCGAATCAACACTGTACCTCGAACTTAACCGCAGACATCTTTGCGAGGAGACTTGAAATCACGCAACAACGCGCCCTGTTCCAAGCCCGAATTCCCTCCCCCGGCCTGCGCAACGCGCTTCACATGAACCCGGACTAGTTCTCTTTGACTCCAAGCTTTCAGACCCCCGATTGATGCCGACAATTGGCGATTGAAATCTTCCGCCACCCTCTATCATGGCCGCTTGGGCCAAACCTGATTCCAGCCATGCGTCCAATCGTATGACGAGGGACAATCCTCCGCGCGAGCATCTTTTGTCTACTTTCAATAAACCCAAGTCTGAAGACGCGATTCTCGACGTCGCGACAATCAATGGGGAGGCTGTTCAACCTGTCGAGACAAAGCCGGAGATTAATACAGACGCGGAGCCTTTAAGCTCCGACGAAGAGGACGTCGGAGACCTCATTGCTGGACCTAGCATTGAGAAAAAGCCAGAGGATGATACAGATACCGAACCTCTAAGCTCCTCACCTCTCAGCTCCCCACCTCTCAGCTCTGGTGAGGAGGAAGAAGCGGAAGACCCGGAAGCGAACGCTGCTCAACCAAGCATCGAGAAGAAGTTGGATATCGACACCGATGCCGATCCTCTAAGCTCCGATGAAGAGCAAGCTAGCGACAGCGATGCTTCCCCACCTCGCAAAGAGGTAAACTATACGACTGCGACTTTGGAAAAGAAGCTTGCGGAAGGAAACAATAGGGCATACAATAGCCCACAAACTCGCAATGGATACTCTCGCAAAAGCAATTATGCGCGAACCCTCAGTGCTATGACGGGCTCCGATGACGAGGATGATATATTTTTGTTCTCCTCGCAGAGCCACAAGCGGCAAAGGGCAACAAAATATGCCTCCAAGCCCTCGACCTATTTCAACAGGCCATCTTTCCCCTCACGGTCCACCGAGAAAGAAATGACCTCCTCGCCAGTCGAAGAATCCCCAAAAGAACCCGAGGTGACCTTTATAATGCCAAAGGACATCGAAAATTCGAGTTTCCGAGAACCTCGTGGCGGGAAAGACTCAAACTCTATATCGCACCCATACACGAAGGAAGAATGCGAAGCAATGTTGCTTGACGATGATTCACCTCTATCATCCCCATCTTCTTCCACTTTCGAGCAAATGTCGCAGGTCGATGAAGTGGCAGCGAAAGAAGACCCCCAACCGACATCACCCCGCCTAGCCCTGTGTCCAATGTGCCATAAGGAAGTAGACTGGGCCGAGCTAGAACTGTTCAAATCACAGCCAAAGCAACGTATTCGCGAGCAAATGATGTTCTGTGAATCACACAAGCTTCGCAGTGCCATGGACTTGTGGCGTGAGCGAGGGTACCCTAACATTGACTGGGATGGGTTTGAAGAGCGCGTTCAGGGCTATTTCCCCGAGCTCGAAAAACTACTTGTCCCTGGTGCTTTCTCTTACTACCGAAATATTCTTGGTAGCTCTTTCGCACCAGGGAAAGCGAGAAACTCCCGTGTGAGAGTGAGCGATAACGAGAGACTCGAGACGATGACCTGTGGTTATTATGGTAGTATGGGTGCAACCAAAATGTATGTGGTATATAAGCCCCTGCTTAATCGGACTACGTTAACACTTATGTCTAGACTAGAAACAATCATCCGTCGTTTTTCTGTGGTTATACGTCGCCTAGCGACAACAGATGATCTTATCAAGACGGCCGGCGTGGCTGGCTACACACAGTCTGTCCTTGTGCCTGAGTTGGCTGTGCTAATGGTCAAGGATGACATGAAGGTCAACGACGAAGATGCCCGTCGGATTCTGAGGGAGAGTATGGACATTGGCGACAGAGTCAATCCAGACTTCAATGTTGTCCCCATACCGAAAGATGCCGAATGATTGTGGGTTTACTTGACTTCATTATATACCACGGGTTTTATACTGTTTCATCTGATTTCTGGCTGTGGCTTGTGATTTATCTCTGTTCGCCCCCATTCCAAGGGCCATGCATTTTTTTTCATTTTGAGCGATTGTATATAGGTAGCCATTATGATACCACTCATGTTTTGTCTTCCATCTACTGGAACACCAATCGTATCAATCCTCAATAAAGTCCAATTCGCGCATAACTAGTTAGTTAGTCGTTATTACTTAGTAAGAAAAGAGCAACTCTTAACTAGCTAACTATAGATCGAAGATAAACATTGTCCCAAAGAGGCAAGTTGATGGCGGGCTGATCCGTGAGGGGTAGCTTTGTCAGCCGATAAGGTGATTGCTCGGTTGATGACACAATGCGGAGAAGCTTTCCACCTGGGCAAGATTGCATTCTCACTCTTCTATCCTTCATACAAGATGAGGGAAAAAGACATGCCTTATTCGGAGACCACACCTCTGCTGGAGGTCAATGTCGCTCCTCCGCGGCATAGATATCCCCACAATGCTGTTCGTCAAGCGTGTACTATCTCCCTTGCAGCCCTACTTTCTGTGGCGACTCTTCTGTTCCTAATTCCTACTGCCATTCTGCCTCGAGAGCACGGCTCCATCTGGTCCTATTTCCCTGGTGCTCATCCAATTCCACATGAAGCGTGGCCAGAGAGCTTCGGTCTGCCTTACGACCAGCTCCAGCAGATCCTCCTCAATGTGCCTTCCGCAGATAAGGCCCGAGAGTGGAGCCAATACTATACCGCGGGGCCGCACTTGGCAGGGAAGAATTTGTCTCAGGCGCTCTGGACTTTGGAAAAATGGAAGGAATTTGGGGTGGAGGATACCGAGCTCGTGGCGTATGACATTTACATCAACTATCCGGTCGATCATCGCCTGGCCCTCTTGAAGAAATCCGGTGACAAGACCGAAGTGACCTTCGAAGCAACATTGGAGGAGGATGTCCTCGAAGAGGATCCTACTTCCGGCCTGCCAGACCGTGTCCCAGTGTTCCATGGCTATTCTGCTACCGGCAATGTGACCGCACAGTATGTGTACGTCAACTTTGGCACGTACAGGGATTTTGAGGACCTCGTCAATGCAAACGTCACCTTGGAGGGTAAGATTGCCATCGCTAAATACGGTATGATATTCCGTGGTTTGAAGGTAAAGCGTGCACAAGAGCTTGGAATGGTCGGCGTAGTCATCTACAGTGATCCGCAGGAAGACGGTGAAATTACCGAGGAAAACGGCTATGAAGCCTATCCTAATGGACCGGCACGGAATCCCAGTGCTATCCAGAGAGGTAGCACTCAATTCCTCAGTAAGGATTCTTTTCCAAGGTGCTGATATTGCAAAGCTAACTTGAACAAGGTATCCTTCCCGGTGACCCCACAACCCCGGGATACGCATCTAAGCCTGGATGCGAACGACAAGATCCCCACAACTCAATCCCTTCAATCCCATCTCTTCCCATCTCGTACAAGGAAATTTTGCCATTCTTGAAGGCGCTCAACGGTCACGGCCCCAAAGCGTCGGACTTCAACGAGTTTTGGCAGGGAGGCGGCCTCGGCTACAAGGGCGTAGAGTACAATATCGGGCCATCTCCCGAGGATGTGCTGATTAACCTCGACAACCTCCAGGAGTATGTGACAACCCCGCTGTGGAATGTTATCGGTACCATCAAGGGCCACATCCCCGATGAGGTTGTTATCCTCGGTAATCACCGTGACGCGTGGATTGCTGGTGGCGCAGGAGATCCTAACAGTGGATCCGCCGCGTTGAACGAAGTCGTTCGCAGCTTCGGCGAGGCTCTCAAGGCAGGATGGAAGCCACTGCGCACTATTGTCTTTGCCAGCTGGGACGGTGAAGAGTATGGCCTTCTCGGCTCGACCGAGTGGGTGGAAGAATACCTCCCATGGCTCTCCGAGGCTAATATCGCATACCTGAATGTCGATGTGGCTGCTGCGGGCACTAATTTCGAACCTCGTGCCAGTCCCTTGCTAAACAAGGTCATCAACGACGTCACCGCTCTGGTGCAGTCACCCAACCAGACCGTGCGGGGCCAGACTGTCCGCGATGTCTGGAATGGCAAGATCTCGACGATGGGCAGCGGCAGTGACTTCACTGCCTTCCAAGATTTCGCCGGCATCGCCAGTCTCGACTTTGGCTTTGGTCGTGGTAAAAATGACCCGGTCTACCACTACCACTCAAACTACGACAGCTTCGCATGGATGGAGAAGTACGGAGACAAGGACTTCCTCTACCACCAAGCTTGCACAAAACTCTGGGCTCTGGCAGCGGCACAATTGGTGGAGTCTCCCCTTCTTGCGCTCAACGCCACCGACTATTCTCTTGGCCTTGGATCTTACCTGGACCACATCAAACCTGCGGCGGACAATCTCCCGGAGAATACTCAATTCGAATTCGCACCTCTAGATAGGGCGATTCTTGAGTTCCAGGAATCTGCAAAGGCTTTCGATGCCTTTGCTACCGACCTGAAGTCCCAGCTTGGTGATAACGTGCCTTGGTACCACTGGTGGAAGAAGGTGAGACTGTGGTTCCAGATTCGCGCTACCAACGCGAAGTACAAGGGCATTGAACGGGCTTTCTTATATCAGCCTGGTCTAGATGGCCGTGAATGGTTCAAGCACGTCGTCTTTGCCCCTGGAATTTGGACTGGTTATTCGGGAGCCACGTACCCTGGACTTGTAGAGAGTCTCGAAGCTGGAGACGTGGAGAACGCCGAGGTATGTGTTTATTTGCGACCCTTTTTTGCCTTGGGTACAATTACTAACTGATGGGTTTTTAGAAATGGAGCTCCATCATCCAGGATCGAATTGGTGCTGCGACCCAGTTGTTGCTGTAAATGGGTAAGCAGACTCCTTACCTCGGTATGATAGAGAGTTGGATATACAGCACCGCTGGCCTTGAGGATGCACAGATATATCAATATAAACAAGTCTCCCGAGGAATCGGGGTCATGTAAACAGTTCCGAACACATAATTATATAGTTCCCAGCATTAAATTATGCGTGCACATTTACCCCGGACTTCGTCATCTGACTAATCAATTGCATGACCGAGCTTCGTCTGCGTTACTTACATCTCTCCTGATCTCACCCTCTCTCTTTTGACCTACAATCCTTTTAACAAGCAGAAAAGAAGAGACAACCTGCCTTAAAATCTACAAGATGGTATGTCCTTAGATATACTTATACCACACCTCCAATCCACCCTAGTCCGACCCTCCAAGGCCGAATCCGAACCATCAGCACCATGCCACCACCCATCTCGTACATCTTTCCTAAATGACCCAAAACTAACAAACCCAGGCATCACCAACAAGCTCCGCCCTAGCGCTCTCCCTCCTAACCAGCGTTGGCGGGATAATCGGCTACACACGGACTGGATCCATCCCCTCAATCGCCGCCGGCGTATCCGTCGGCCTCGTCTACCTCTTCGCATTCCTGCGTCTGCGCGCCGGCCAAACCTACGGCGAGGAACTTGGGCTCCTGGCCTCGGCAGTGCTAGGCGGAAGCTCGATCCCGCGTGTGATCAAGACGGGTGGAAAGCCTGTTCCGCTCGTTTTGTCGGTGCTGGCTACTTATGGGCTTTTTGTTTTTGGGGTTGCGTTTAGGGAGAAGAGGGCGTAGGAATTGGAATTGAAATGGAAATGGAATTTAAAATGTTAAACACAGATAATGGAGTTGAATCATTGTTTGTTCCTTAGTGATATCCGTACGTCATGTCAGTCTTTATCAGCTATTTGCGTATTGGCTTTGGTTGGATGCTGTACGAATCGATGCTACTTTACGGAGACAAGGTACATCATAATCGAACATGCATTGGTAGATAATGAGAAGCCTACCGGAGAAACGCTAAAACTCACAGCAGCCGTAGATGGCATCATTTTTGCCATCTCGGCATTCACATCAAACAAACTCCTCCAGGCCAGGGTTAAACCTCCAGTGGGGGGCCAGGAGGGAGGATCAAAGGGCAGGCACGTACTGTACGTAGGCCGAACGAGCGGCTCAAGGGAACCGCTCAGTTCTTTCTTTTTTTTGTTTTCAACTTTTTTTGAGTTTTCCTTTTTCATCTCGCAGCATCGTACTCAAACATTAACGACGTTTCCTGGGTTTGTCGGGAGAGAGATGGTGGGACGGGGGAGGACTCGCCAAACTAGGGTTTGGAATCAGGGCCACTGATGAAACCAAAGATCCAGCCAGGAGAATACTCATATGTAACTAGAAGTTTTGGTGTGTCGACTTAGCTGGGTTCCGTAAGTCCACCACTTGCAAACGCAGCAGGAAAAAAAAAACAAAGCAGGACTTAATGGGCCGGGTCGATCACCGTGTCGGAGTCTTGAATGGCGCCCACGATTGCGTTGCCGGGGATCTCGCCGAGGACGGTCTGCGTGCTTTTGTCTGGGACGTATGCATATCGAGGTAGCTGCGCCTTCTTTTCCTCGGGACTAAGCGTATCATCATTGTAAATCATTCGGATCGCAGGCTTGGCCTTTTCCTTCTTGGGCTTGCTGCTACCCTCTGTCTTCGAGGCGGCATCATTTGCTGCACCTGAAATCTGATTGTCAACAGGGAAGGCGTTCTCGGTTGGTCGGGCGCTGGATCCATTAGAGTAACCAGAAGGTGCGGGGGTGGGGGGGACGTGTCCCATGTGCATCTGTTGCATTTCGTGCGCGTTGACTGAAGGCACAGCAAAAGCAGGACGCTGAGGAAGGCTCGATGCGGCCGGCAGGCCCATGAATCTGTTATCGGATGGTGGAGGCTGTTGCTGGTGGTAAGGGGGAGCCCCATAGGAGACTGGTGGCTGTGCAGGAAGTCCGACGGGAAATGGCGAGGGGTATCCGGAGGGGGTGTAGGGCGAGGCACCGGGGATCTGGTGTCCACCAACTGGGGAATAGCTTGAATAGACAGGACTGCCAGTCTGCGAGAAATGAGGTGTCATGGCGGTGGGAGGACCACCATAAGGCTGAGGGTAGGAGTATTGCGGAGTGGCTGCGATCTGAGGCGATGGTGCCTAGTAATAATTGTTAGCTCCCAATACACTTCACGTTGAACAGAACAGCAGAATACGACTCACGTATCCACTGGGTGTTGGTGTAGACTGAACAGCACTAGAGGGTGTCACATCACCACTGCTACCTCCCGCAAGCGCCTCAGCACGCCTAGCCTTGTGTTCAGCCAGTCGCTTCTTGAGCTCTGAGACAGGTTCAAGCTTGGGCCTCTTGGCCGGTTGGCCGCCAGAAGAGGCGCCAGTAGGAGGGTTGCCTGTCGCATGCTGGCGATCCAGCTCAGCCTGCTGAAATTGTGAAGCGACACGCTGCTGATGGGCTTTGAGGACATCCGCGGGAATACCCTCCATGCCAAAGATTTCAATATCGACGCCCATGCGGTTCGGCAGCGCATTTTGGACCTGAGTCAATTGCTCCTTGTGGACCTGGCTCAAGTGCACGGATAGACCTAGCGACACAAGCCATCAGTATATGAGATCACTTTATCTGATAAATGCAACTTACCTCCGGCAGTGTTCAGTCTGCGATGGCAGTTGTCACACTTGAAATGCTTAGCTTTCTGGTGAGAGATGAGAATCTTCAAGTCATCGAAGTCACGTTCACAGTAGTAGCACCATGGGCGATCGAGAAGCTCCTCGAGAGAGGGACCGCGTCTTTTTTTGCCCATTGTGGTGTTGACGTTAACAGAGACAAGATTGATTCAGATGATGTTAACAGAGACAAGGGTGTCTTCAAAAACCGTAAAAGATGTGTGCGATTGCAAAGGAGGGATGAGGGGAGGTATGTGTCGCAGATCCGGAAGCTTGCCATGATGGATGAGGCCCTTTATCACGTGGCTGCACGTGATCAAGAAGTATGAAGTTGTGAGTGAGAAAACTTTTGAGCGGTGAGGACGAGTTGCAGAAGTTTTTGCTCTCCGCCTCTTAAATTCGAGGGAATTTTGAGTCCCGCGATCTGCTACAATAGGGTTCCTCGCGTTTATTCACTTCCTATCACTTTGCAGGTCCGGAAGCTTGCCATGATGTATGATGCTCGATGATGCCCTTCGTCACGTGCCTAGCACGTGATCGAGAAGTATGCAGTTTGGAGTAGTATGAACGAGTTGCATGAGTTTTTGCTCCCCGTCTCTTATATTAAGGATAATTTTGAGTCGTACAGTCTGCTACAATAGGGTTCCTCGTGTTTCTTCACATCCTGTCACTTCGTATATCTGGAAACTTGCCATGGTAGATAACGTCCGTTGTTACTTGGTTAGCACGAGACCAGGAAACATGAAGTTTGGAGTGAGTTGAAGGAGTTTTTGCTTTCTACTTCTCACATTTGGGAAAATTTCTGAGTCGCCCAGTTTTCTATATCAGTTTCTTTGCGTTTCTTCACTTTCTGCTACATCGCAGATCCGGAAGCTTGCCATGCATGATGCATGTCCTTCTCACGTGGCTAACACATGATCAGGAAGTATGAAGTTTGAAGCAGTGTAAAGGAGTTGAAATGGTTTTTTTGCTTCTACCTCTTACAACTGGGAAACAATTTTAAATCACTCGGTTTTCTATAACAGGTTTCCTTATGTTTATTCACTCCCTGTTAATTCAATGATGGATGCCGCCCATTATCACATGCTGAGCACGTGATCAGGAAGTATAGAAAACATCGGAGTAGTGCAAAGGAGTTGAAGGAGTTGAAGGAGTTCTCTGCCTCTTATATTTGAGAAATTTCAAGTTGCGCAGTCCGCCACAACTAGTTTCCTCACTCTCATTTAGTTCCTGTTCCCCTGGGCTACTCTTGCGAAATATATTGGAGTATGTCAGACTGGGATATGGCACCTTGGTTTTTCTTATGGTCTAGCGGTAAAATACGCTGTATATTATCCAATAGAGTAGAATGCCCATTATACTACTTCTGAATAATGATACTAAAACTATTATCTGCTACAATACAGATTTAGCGTGGTCAGATGCTGATTTATATACCGTTTATCCATCATGAACATAATCCCGAATCTGATTTCCAAGATACAATCTAAATCTTTGGAAACTAGTGTGTACAAGTTAAGAATTACAGATGGAGACCGAAACTTTTATACAACATGAGTTTGAACCTTAGAATACATGTACTGGTGCCCCTGGCACATACTGCCAGGGGCACCAGTACCTTCATAATGTATCAGATCATCCCATCCCCAGCCCACCCCCCAGGGAGGTCCGAGGCCACAGGAAATCACCCCACCCCGGTTTATACCGCGGGCTCAGCCCAGTCGCGAAGAGGGCCGTGCACCAAGCAGTGAATGTAAACCGGGGTAAAGATGATTCCCTGCGACCCATCCCAAACCCTGGGGTGGTCCAAGAAGAAATGATCATTTGGTGTTGAGGCAATCCCCAGTCCTCTCTCTCTCACTCGGGAAAAAAAGTGAGATGAACATGAAGTAAGATAAGAGCTAAAGTGAGAGAGAGAAAACTGAGGATTGCCTCGACAAGAGCCGGCCTACCCTCAATGGCGTGGGTCCCGCGGGTTATGACCCGGGAGGGGACCCATCCCGTGGTACTGGACGTACGGGAATGGGGCGTACTGGGGCGGCATAGGTTGCCCCAGTTGCGCCATTGGCGCAACAGACGCAGCAGCAGCAAAAGGGTTCACTGGGCCGGGGCCGTAGTGAGGCACCACCCCCATAGGAGGGAGGGTGGGAGGCATGGGCTGCTGCTGCGCCTGTACGCTTGCCATTGAGGGCAGGCCGATGGGCCCCTTGGGGGCGAGGTTGCCAGCAAGTGGTGCCAGCGAAGGCGACCGCTTGCGGCGGCCGGGGCCAGTGGGCTTGGGGACCTCGTCGGCGGCGCCGTCGACGGTCCGGTCCTGCTCGATCTGGGCCTTGGATCGCTTTGGGTTGCGAATCCGTCCTTCCCGGTTGAACCGGTCCCAATGATCGAGCATCGCCTTGGTCCTCTTGGGGTTCTTCGAATTGGCGATCTTCTGGCGCCTGGCCTCCTCGATCGCCTCGGCAGAGAGAGCCTCCTTCTTGGCCGATGTCGAGGTGGACTCGACAGGGCTCGCGGCGGCCATCGGTTCGACGGCCGGGAAGGAGGTCTCTGCTGGAGGGATCGATGAGGAGGCCAGGCTGCTAGCGCCACGTCGACCCCTGCCCCGAGATGAGATCTGAGTTGGGGCAGGGGTGACTTCGAAGGTAGCCCGGGAGGAACCAAGGCGACCAAGCCCACGGCCGCGTCCGCGGCCACGGCCACGGCCAGAGCTCTTGCGAGAGTTTGCGTCGGAGTGAGTTGCATCGGTGACGACAGTTTTGCCGCCGCGGCCTCGGGCGCGCCGCTTTGCCGGGTGGTTATCATCGTCGGTTTCATCACCACCCGCACTCTCATTCTGAGTCTCTTCCGACTCAGTGGTTTTGGTTGGTACTTCAACCTCGGCGGCCTTGCGTTTCCGAGTGACTTTCGGCACAAGGGGCTCACGCCGGGGTTCGTACATCTGAGCGTGGTATTCAAGACCATGTTTCTTCATGGTCGCCCACCCATCAGGGTTGAGATCACCATTCTCCTTGCTCTTCGCAATCATCTTTCTGGCTTGTGCGGGAGTTGGAACAAAGCCTCCCTGCACAAACGGATCCTGCTGTGTGCGGATGGGCACAAGTGGTGTGTTGCCCGGGAAGTAGTTGTGTTTGTAGCCATAAAGCATGGCCTCTTTCTTTTCCTCGAAGTCAAGCTTGTCCTCATTGACGTTAGCCAGAGGGGCTCCACCCTTCTTCTTGTGACCCTGCATTTGATGTCGCTTTGTTTGGTATGAGGGTTCATCTCGCTTGTGTCGGTGTGCCTTGAGATAAAGGTTGTCAAGGGCTAGATATTCATCTTGGAGTGTTTTCAAGGTGAATGCGGCGGTCTGTGTGAGTGCGTAGAGTTCTTCGGGTGTGTGGTTTTCGGGATTGCGGAGCATGCTGACAAGCTCATCTAGTTCCTGAGCCTGTACTTCGAGGAACTGACCTTTCTCGACCTTGGACTTCTTGTATGGAAGCGGGTGAGGAGCTGGTTCAGGAGCGTCCCGTTTCCTGGTCTTTGAAGGGTCATGGAAAGCATTGTCCCAAGTGGATTCACACTTGGCAGCTTCCTGGATGTAGTTGGGGGAGAATTCGTCGGTATCGTGAACTTTCCAGAAGCGCTCAAGGCGCTTTTTCACATCTGGACGTCGCCACTGTGCCTCGCGGAGGCGATACTCCTCAGGATATCCAGTACGCGGATTGGAAAGCCAGTCCAACAGATCACGTTTCGTTTCGGGGATCTGACTGGCATTGACTTGGATTGTAGTTGGCTGGATGCCATTGTTATCGTCAGTGGTCAATTCCACTGCGATCTCTTCTCCTTCTTCATCCTGAGCCTCGCCATCTTCGGGCTTGGTGGCTTGGACCATGGGCTCGTCATGTTCAATGGCGTCGTCATCTTGGAGATCGCCATTCTCGTCGTAAGTGTCATCGGCGCCGTCTTCGGCACCATCATACCCAGAAAATCTGATGGTTTTCGGGTGAACTTCGTTGACATGATCCTTCAGAACATCTTCTTTGGAGATGCCTGCGTCATTTGGGAGCATCAAAAGCTTCCCACAGTAGTCACACTTGAGCCGTCGAGGCACGGGCTCTGGAGACTGAGAGATTTGGGTGGATGTAGATTGGGGACGAAAGGGTTCAGAAAATTGACGACGTAGCGGGGAGTCCTGGCTGTCACCAACATCCGATGAAGGATTGTCCACATCCAAATCGGCCCTTGGGATGGGGGCCATTTTGGAAATAAACAGTGGAGGAAAAAAAGAACAAGAGGGGTATAAGTGTTTCAATATCCAGGAGAAGAGAAGAAGAAAAAAAAAACACAGGTCTCAAATGGAGAATGAAGAATGTCAAGAAAGAATCTGTATAGATAGTCAGCGTGGGTTCGCCTGCGGTGCCAAGACGCCAGTAAATCGTAGCGCAATTCGGCGGTTCCAAGGCCGAAGGCACGAGGCATGGACCAGCGCGAACACAAGAATTGCAAAACATTGTAAACCCAGTGAACGCGACATGTAACATGAGAAAAAGCATGAAACATCAGATACGGTCGGGCCAAAATGCATGGATCAAGATCTGACCGGGAAGTACACTGGGAAACTGTGCCATACAAAAAAAAAGATGGAAAAGACGCGACACTTACCATAAGATGTTTAGAATCGAGTTGAATCCTTGTGGGCAGGACACACGAGTCACAGCGAATGACTGCTGGCTGTTAGTGAGTTATGCAAAGAAGGATGCAGGGTGGACATGAATGGCTGCCAGGGATGGTGTACTTACTATCCGACTGAAGAAGGCTGGGTAGTTGACAGTCCACTTATTGAGACGACGCGAAGTGGGATGAGAGAATATGGAGGGGGGATGAGATTTAGGAGACAGGTGAAATAGATGATATGTCAGAGAAAAGTACGTTGCAAACTTGTGGTGTTTGGCGCGCAGATCTTGCGTCGCTGGGTAGTATGAAGAAGAAAAAATGATCTTCGTCGACGCGACACTGCGCAAAGAAGAAGACACGAAAACAAAGACAGCAAATGAAGTGAGAGTACAGAACAGAATGAGCACGGGAAAGGAAAATAAATGGGAAGGTGAAATGGGTTACAGATGATGAAGTTGAGAAGAGATTGAGGTTGAGAGAGAGATAGTTTTGTAGTTTCATAGGCAGTGGAAACCCCGTCCTGGCCCGACCAATCAGAGGCGTCGTATCTACTAGCCACATTGAACGACATTGAGGAAAGGGGGGTTTTTGATTTGGATTGATCACTATTGATCGCGGATTTGATTGATTCTATGCATTGTATTGATCTTCAATGGCCTATTGTCTTTATTCCTGCATTGTTACCTCTTGTTCCTATTTTCGTTTTTTTCAACAGACGTCACATGATGCGTACTTTACGGTCGAACAATAGCAAGCTCCTCGATAGCATGTCGCCTCAATAGCCTCAATAGCTAGCTATTGAGGTCAATAGTGAAAAATTAGAGTAATGCATTTTGGGCGACCTAGTGGTACCGAGCTCTATGTGCTGTCTTCCAGCCGCTTTCTGTGACGGTCTCGTGGACTCCTATATCCATAATCCAAGTCACGGGCAAGCGATAGGAAGACCGAAGGCCGAAGATTTGGATGTTATTAGACAGGTAGCCGAGCACGGTGGATACATCCGTGGGGGACTGCCCTTGACCTCCGGTGCATAGTCTCCATGCCTTGTGTCACAAGGAACGGAAAAGTGACGCCCCATCCCAGTTGGGATATAGAAACAGGAATACACATTGTCAACTCTTCCTTTATTATGTCTACCTTGAGTGTCGAGAGCACATACGACAAGTTCTGCATATATCCCGACAACTGTCTCCTATCCTATCCGTACATCAAATCACAAGTAGAGGCAGCAGACATGCCAAACCCACAATTATAACCGTTCAGCTTTAGCCTCTCCTAGTTTAAATATCAAATATGATGTTATAACATTCGAGAAGAACCCTTGTGGCAACCGCCTCGTCATCAGCAAGAATAGCCGCTCATGTCTCCTTCGCCTATACGACATATTTCAACCCTCCAGGGCTTGTCGGATAGTAACTCAGCCCGGATTTGTTCACATCCATGATGATTATCTACATACTAAGTTGGTTAGTTGGATATAATAACTTGTCGCATTCGTCGTTGCCATTCTAGTGTAGAATTTTCCCAGTCTGTTAGAATCTTTATTTTCAACGTCAAACTTGATGATAATCTCTATTAGACACAGTCTTTTTTACCTAAGGACACTGACGAGAGACGAATCAAAAAAAAAAAAAAAACGAAAGTAATAAACAAAGATATAAGAAGGAGAAACGACCTGGTGCCATTTCCCTTTCCGGACTGAAACTGCCGCCGCTTTTTTTCATGGAGTAGATCTACCTAGGCCCTGGGGCCCCGGGGCAGATCCTATCATCCTACAATTCATCCTCGGCGCCACATCACAATAATATTGGTAGAATGCATCCTAAAATTATCTCGCCATCAAACCTTACTATTGATATTTGCCCATTTTTGAGTGAGTACCCGTGTGGCCAGAGAAAAAAAAGAAGCTCCCTCTGGGACGAATCAAGGACTTCGTCATTACGAGTGATGTATACTCCGTACTAAAGGAGCTAATTTTGAATATCTCGAGACTGGCATTTTCAGTCAATATAGCACGGTACTGGAGCTCTCCTGTCAAAAATGTACCCTGCCATATGTATGTCAATTTCTCATCGGGGATGTGCAAGAACTAGATTCGTTTCTAAAATGGGTACATACCGATCTCCACCACTAAAGCAGCAGCCAAAAAACTCTGATAGGCAATATACCACGAGTGGGTCCCCGGGGTCGCCCCAATTTTCCCTGGAATGTTCCTTAGACCCGTGAAATGCCGAGGTCTCCCTAGAATATTTCTAGTACATACTAGCCCTCTTTAGGCAGATTTACGAATTGTATAGAGGTCTTTATCCTATGGGAGCATAAAATGATCTAAAGCAGAGAAAAACATGTCAATAGGGACTAGTTTAGCGCTTTTTTGTTGAAGTATAAGACATAGCCAAGGTAGGATCCCAAAGCACTACATAGCAATAAGTAGTAAGCTCATAAGAGTATAGTAGTAATATCAGCACATAGGTGGTACAAAGTGCCTAGAAACATACAACATACTGCAGGGACTGTACACATTCTATACAAAGACCTATAGCAGTGTCGCACCAAAACAGTGTCTATCCTAAATAAAAGTCCAATATTGGTTCGACCTGACACTATTCAATCAAAAGCATTCCTTAAAACATTGATTGTTAAGGTACGTCGATGACTGCAAAGCAGTAACTATCAACACCGTGCTAATTATCCGGAGAGAGCATTAATCTCTGGCTTCAAGGCCATCTGTGATTATACTAGTAGTCGCTTAGTTTATCTATTGGGTAACCTCGAAGAAAAGCTCTAACATAGCCCGGTATACGCCCTTGAGGGCTAGTTGGATGGTCTTAGAGATTTTTGCGGAATTCTCTGATGTTGAGGCTTCTAAAACTTCAGCAACCGCAGCCCAGGTTACCAGCTACGAATCATTCGACCTCGGCTCTCCTGTCTACTTAATCTTGCTATGATTTTTGGTCCTATGGGAAGCATGCACTCGGAAAAAAGGGTTGAATCCTGCGTATATGACGATTATTCTTCTATAACATTTTTCCTGTTGCCATTTGGTAAAACATAATATCAATTCAGTAAGCCTAGGGAACCCAACTTAGATAGGCTCGTCGGGTGGCCACCTTGGGAGAATCACAGAACATATACCCAAAGGCGAAGAGTCAATCCTCAGATCATCCAAGTCGAATTTCCATGCCTTTGCAACCCGACTATCTGGTTGATATCCGGCACGAGATTGCCATTCCAACGTACTGGCGTTGGAGTGGTTGTGAAGATGAAGGGAAAACCGGCAATAGCACTCCATACGAAACGTCATACGTTTCAAACAGGGCATACGTTGGGTTGCATAGCCCAGCGATATGAGAAGCCGATGGAATTGCTCATCATTCATCACGGATGTTCCGTTCCATCTCCGTTCGGCATCGTGTATCCTGTCATTCCAGTTGTCATTCTCGATTTTGGCTCGGTACTCCACGGTGTGATTGGACGTCCATTGTCCTAGTTGATTGCCTTGCTTTTAGTGGCTATAGATATACTAATGGAAAAGAGATATTCATTACCACAAGGAAGCCAGGGGGGTACATCCTGAATTTCCAATGTTTTCAAATAGGGCCAGTGCAAGGAGCCTATAATAGGTTGGCCTTTTCCATCCAAAGGACACAAAAAGTCAAATGGAAGAGTGGTTCTCGCCAACTTCAATTCCCGAAGGTGAACGCTGAGATTTCGCAAATTGATGGCCAGGCTATCAATCCCCGAAGGGATGACATTTAGTCCAGGTAAACTATGTTTCCACGGGCCATCCTCCGAGCCGTTATAATGTAACACTCTTAGGCTGTCAGGAATAACCCCGAGCAAGGAAGCCAATGCTATATAGCTGTTAATAAAAATCTAGATGAAAAGACATCAAAAAAAGTACAAGGCTTACACGCTCGACGCCTTTGTATATACTGTAAGTAATCCGGACGGACCCATTCGTTGAGATCCAGCTCCAGTTCAGTGATGGTTGGACAGTGTTGGATAATAGTCTGCACTGTTCCGGTCCAGATTTGATGATGCCGGTTTCTGTCGAAATTTTGGTTTAGGAAAGAGAGCTTATCAATGCACTGAACGTGCGCTAGGTATAGCTCGGACAGATTGTTGATAAAACGCGCCCGATATGGGGGGATCGGTATATGGCGTCTACCCCTGTAATCGAAAGAAAGCGCCGCACTAGCGGTAGGACAGGGCAAAGTATCTGGTTCCATTCTAGGCCACCTAACGTGTTGAGATCCTCGAAGCCCTAGGTGCAACGTGAGACGGCAATGCTGGCTCCATGAATGAAGTGTTTGGAAAAGATCAAACATAGCCGTCTGGAAAGCGAAATCATTGGCCTGCCTTAATTGGTTGTCTGCGCTATATTTGCTGTTTTCACTTGTGGTCCAGTCGAATATTTTGCAGGGGATGATGATATCGTACTCCAGCTTTCGGATCCAGTTTCGCCGTATGGAACGACTACCGGATGTGAGTTTTTGAAAATGCGTTAGAGAAATTCCACGTTGCCCCTCCTCTTTATGGTAACTGTCACTATAGACAGCGAGATTTGCATATATCAACGGCTCGAGGGCTGCCTGCCAATAGCGACACACATAAGCGCATGGAATCAAAGAAGCCCCGTCAATTCGCAAAAGTGTTGCGATTTCAAATAGCAGTTCCAGGGGTAGTGATGTCGCCATTATGCTAGCGAGTCCATAACACTGAGTATCGAACCAGGGTGACCTTGCAAAAGAAAATAGAATAATTAGAGAAGAACGAGAAGGCTAAGCTAGAATCAAAGGGAAAGAAGGAGTTCTTAAAAGAAAGATAACTAGTTAGAAGTAGTGTACTTTATAAGTGCAGGCTTGGCGCCACGTTGCTTGGATGTATCACATTCTGCTGTCAGTGTGATAGATCGTCAGGCGTATTGGGCTAGGGGGTCGAACGGAGTAGAGGACCTCAATACTGATACACATACGGAGTACATACTTATCTCCTAATAAAAAAATGTCAATAGTTCTTTAAAACCATTTGATTTTGCTTATAACACCGACAGCTCAGTGCAGGTGGTTCTTCTCGCCAACATCCAAAGCCACCAAAAAGCGACTAACACAATTATAAGCCGCAATCGTAGCGGTGATCTCAACCACCTCCCGTTCATCAAAGCACCCCCTTAGCTCCGCAAAAACCTCATCGGGCACCGTAACCGTCTTAGTCATGGCGTCGGTATACTTTAGTACAGCCCTCTGCTCAGCACTCAAGACTGACGACGCAGCCTCACTCGAGAAGTCCACCTGGATATCCCTAATAAATTGCAATGCCTCTGAGCCCAATCCACCTTCCACAAGCAGAGGTGCATGTTGTTCCCATTCGAACAGGGCGCCGTTGACCACTGCGACGCGGCAGATGGCTAGTTCACGAACGACAGTTGTGAGGGTGGTTCGGGTGCGGATCGCTCCAATAAATGAGTTCCAGCCTTCTGTGACCGGGTAGGAGTGTAGGAGGGCCAGGTCGAGGGGGAGGAGCGGGTTGGGGGCTCGACGGGCTTGAACGCTGGCTAGGATTCTGGCTTCATCCGGCGTGCTAGTTGCTGGAGGGTCTGCAACGTAAGGGAGACGCATGATGGGTGGTACGTAAGGGTTGTAGGTGATCTTAATTAGAAGTTGGTATGTTCAATGGCTGGATTTGAGTCGAATCTGGGGTCTAGGGTTTGCTGTCAGTTGAGATGTGACTCAATATGCTGTGCTTTGGAGCCAATGGCTGCTTGGATAAGACGCAAGTGGTCAGTACCTGATTCAAAGCTGTAAGATACTATTGTTGAACAAATCGGAACTGGCTTTATACGGGAATCAGCAACTATTTATCGGCAACCCCGCGTGGGTCCATAGCGGATAAGTCAAAGCCGCGGGAGTCGGGGTTGCGCTTCCGGGTTCCGCAGGAATTGGTTTGATGATGTTGAAATTGCAGGTACGCATATGTGAAGAGAGTAAGATGTGAAGATGCGAAGCTGTGAAGATTGATATCCTGTGCTCTCTAGGGATTTGTCGTGCGGGGTGCCAGATTTAAATTCAAGGCCCAGGTGGTCCAACATCAAATATATCCAAGGCTTATATTTTCTCTGTGAATCTAAGAAAATATTCAGATTACAGAATTAATGCTTTATCTTCATCTTTTAACTGATCTTCACCAAGTCCATCCGCAGTCAGTGCTGTCGGTCTTGGCACATGATCCACAAGTTCAGAAGCTCCCAAGGTGTCGTCACTTCTCCTGAACATTGTTCCCCCCAAACAAACATGCCTCCAAAGGCCCCTAAACCTACCAGTGACGAGCTTCTGGCTCAGTTTGATAACCTCGGTCTTGACAAATCCGGCAATAAAACAGCTAAACCTGTCGTATCCGACAATGTCAAGGGCGGGCAGGAGGACATACTGGCCGAGCTGGACCACCTAGCCACACAGCGTCCAGCCAGCGGACCAGGTACTCCGCGCCTGTCTGCCGATAAGCCTAGGTCATCTACACGATCTCCCCGCCCGAGCGCGACCATCGACCGACCGACCGAGGACAAGGCGCCGGTCCGCCGGTCTGAGGAGACAGGCCGGCTCTCACGCACAGAAACCAAGCCAGAACAGCCCAAGGCTGAGTCTGAGAATGTCCCCGCACAGCAACCATCCGATGAGGGTGCCGGCTGGTGGGGTGGATGGTCGGGGGGACTGTTCGCAACGGCCACCGCGGCTATGAAACAGGCCGAGGCGGCTGTCAAGGAGATTCAGAACAACGAGGAGGCTCAGAAGTGGGCTCAGCAGGTCAAAGGCAATGTTGGAGCTCTTCGTGATCTTGGTATGAATCCGCCTACTCAAAGTATGCTCTCTTACATGTAGGGCTAATTGGCACACAGGCGGCGAGCTTCGAGACAGGGCACTCCCGACATTCACCAACCTCATCCACACCCTCGCCCCTCCTATTTCTTCCCATGAACGTCTACAGATCCACGTGACTCACGATATGTCTGGCTATCCGGCCATCGACCCGCTAGTCTATGCGGTATTCTCGCGAGTGATGGCCCAAGTCGAGGGCGGGGACCTGTTGGTGATCCAGCGGGGTCAGGAGTCATCCCCGAAACGTGCGCTCGATGTGACCGGCTACATGACCAGTGCTGGCTGGAATGACGGGCCCTGGTGGCGGACGGTCACACCTGGACAACCGCGGAACATCTCTTCCGTTCTCGGCGCCGTGGAAGGTTCCAAGCTCGCTCGAGCCAACGCCGAGTCCTACGCTGCCGAGTACTTCTCATCTCGTGGCGGAGTCGAAGAGGCCGCAAAGCATGCTTCGGAAGTCCTGAGTGAATCCAACCCGGTCCGCAGCAGCGACATCTTTTTCGCTATCCAGGCTATCAGCCAGACTACTTCCAATGACCTCTTCCAGGCTGGCGCGACGGGCGAAAAGGTTACCGAAGGAGCCGTGGAAGCTAATACGCAAGAAGAGGAGATTTCCTTCGCGATGTACCTCCACGACCCCATCCATGGCATTGCCTTCCACGCCATCTCCCAGAGTATCCCTCAGGCATGGATTGAATGGCTCGATGATTCGGTTCTAGATTCCGAGAAGTCAGACGCCTATGGTGCGAATATTCAGCGTGTTGTGGTGCCCGAAGCCATTGCCGAGGTCATCGAGGGTGGAGGTGTCGACCCCCGCGAATGGGTTTCGGAGTGGATTGAAGAAACTCTTTCGTTGACCGCTGGTATTATCGCGCAGCGATACGTGGCCCGACGAATGGGTGTCGGTGAGGGAGGTGTCGGCAAGGGCAAGATGCGAGCTGAGCAGGTGTCCACTGTGGATAGTGGCGCAGGAGAAGCTGCGCGTGCGCTCTAGGACTGCCGTGATCCTATACCGAGCTCAAGAGCTAATGCTCTTATTCCCGAATCTCCTGTTGTTTATGTGATACACCTGCTGACTTGTACCTGCACTAGCTATCTCTATTTCTATATTTCAGTAGTTACCCCAGGCTGTCTAGTAGGGAGAATGAAAGCAAATGACCATTATCGAAACCGCTTGCAAAGAGAAGATCATGTATGGGATTCCCGTATATGTATACAAGGATGGTGTTTGTCTCTGTGAGAACGACATGATCCAGTTGGCTCGATGGTGGTTCTTTTTGGTCTTTTTAGTCTTTTTAGGTATTGTTTTTATAGAACTTCTTCCTGATGTTCCATTAGACGGCAGAAAAAGGCTTAAATTTTGCAGACTTTCTATGTATAACCTTAAAACGGACCGGCCTTCCTATAAATCACCATATTATGTATGCATTCGAAAACCATTGCGGGTATCGTAGGATCATCTAAAGCATTTAGAATCTGTTCAACAACCTATTCAAGAATCAAGGTCCAGCGGCCCTTCAAGACCGGGGACATGCCAGAAGTTGGCTCGGAGGGCAGTCACACTTGATCACAATTAGCATATCCAGTTCCATCCGCTCATTGCAAAAAGAACATCTTACCTAGTCGACCCATTGAGCACAGTATGAGCATCCGTGCCAACCTCACTCTCCTGCAACGTCTTCTTCATATCCGACAAATCAGCAGACCACTTGAAGTGGCGCTGTCTGGCTGGCGCATGAGCATGTCCATTAACATACGTGCCATTCGTATGGCCATTCATATGGCCATTCATATGACCATTCATGTAGCCATTCGTTTCGCCATTGACATGAACACCGTTCACACCATTAACCTTCTTTTTCACCCCCTCCTCGGCATACAAACAGCCCCTGGGCCAATAATACGGCAACGTGTGTGTATACAGCACAGGCCTCTCCTCAACATCCAGAACCATCGGGACGTTGATATTATAAAGCTCCACGCGCTCATCCCAGTTCTCAAACAGATGCCGCACGACTCTGACAGCCAGTCTCGCGGCCGCGGCAATAACATCATCAGGCTGCGGATCCTTGCTACCAAACGAGATGGCAATCCCGCGCTTACCACAGAACACCGCTTCCAGCGCACCGCCTACCGTCCCCGAGGACAGGTTGTAGATGGTAGAGGCATTGCGGCCGTGGTTCGGGCCCGAGATGACGAGGTCGATAGGCGCGCGCTCACTGAACAGGTTGTACAGACCTAGTTGTGCGCAGCTGGCTGGTGTGCCGTTGCGGATCACTACCCAGTCGTTTTCGGGGTCTGGGGATTCGAAGCTCGTGTCCCAGCTGCCGTCGGCGTGGAAGGCGTCTGGGTGTACGTAGCTTGCTGTGAGGGAGGCTTCGATTAGGTGGGCTTTGCCGATCCAGGAGCGTGAGGCTGCCGGGATTGCTACGGAGACTTGGTGGCCGTTTGCTTTGAGGGTGTCGACTAGAGGTCGAAGATATGGTGAGAGGTTGGTGCTTGGTGGACCATCATCATTGACGACCTATTTTAGGTTGTTAGCATTTTTGCATTTTTTGGGTTTATTTTTTTTTTATATCTATGCCGTGAACTGGATAATAGATGCAAGGAATCGGAATGAGGGAGTAGTAGATTGTCATGTGACGATGGTTTCCGGGGAAGTATATAAAGCAGACCCTTGCAGGAAATGTCTTTCTATACTCTGTACTCCGCACACTTGCTAGAGGGAAAAGAAAGGAAATTTGCCAATGATGTCACTTACCAGGATGTGCATGACGGGCGAGATTGAACAGCGCCAAGGAGGTTATGGGTGATATTCGAGGTTCGATTCGGATCGGTAAAGGTTCCCCGGTGGCGGTCTGGGCCTTTTTGTTCTCTGGTTTTTCTTTTATAAGAGAATAAGAAGCAGAAGAAAGAAATGTTCAGCACCCCGGAAATATCCGGGGTGCAGAACACTTATACCTGGGGAATCAGGGTAAGAAGGAATGAGCCATTGGCCACACCGAATTACACACCGGGGCATTGGGGTGAAGCCGTTCATGCGGGGACAGCAATGGGCCGAATGCAGCATGCGGTGAGCCGATTCGGCTTTCTCTCGGACATGCTGACCATGTGTTTTCTGTCATTTGATAGATGGTCAAGGGTTGGCACGGAGTACGGAGTACGGAGTATATTATTGCGGAGCGGAGCGAAGCAATTATGTACTCGTGTAAGTGACGGGGTCAATAGGATAGGGGATGTGGGGTGTTAATAGTGTTCATAGTCTATAGTTCATTGTAAATGCAGCTTCAGTCATTCGCCACCTATATTCCCTACCTACATATAGTCTAGAAATGGATATCCAGTGTGCACAACTATATTGTATATCCATATGCGGAGTAAGATATATATAATAATTAGTCGGCATCGGTAAGAACGAGATGATCCAATTGGCTGGTAGTTCTTCTCTAGTATATTGTAGTCTTTTCAATGTTCTTTGTTATCTTCACTTGCTTTTTGGGTTTTCTTAACCTTCGTCGTTCAATAATAATCCATAACCTATGGGCTTAAATACTAATAGGATCTATACTTCTTAGTCGTTTTTTTATAGTCAGAAGGTTAGTTAAAGTCCAAGTGGGAAGATGAGGTAATCAACGCTGCAGGGGAGTGCTGCAACCTACACGGTAGAACAAGGTCTGGATGGAAATTAGAAATTTCGATTTGGACTTTGTCGACTGGGGACTGTCGACTGGAAGAAGAACTGAGTTACATTTAATATTTCGCCTAATGCGCTTGCTTAGACGGAGTACTCCGTACGGAGTAGAACTTCCGGGTTCCTGGACCATTCATGACTCAGGGGCGCACCACATTTCCTCTCATAAGACCAGACCGGAGATCGACATGCCGGTATACAACGTAGAGCCTGCAACACAATACATTGTGATAATGGGCCTTTCTATATATCTATATTCTCATGTATTTCAATTTAGTTGGGATTCCAAGATTTAAAACCAACTCCCATGTCTATATTCAGCATAGATCGTTGTACGGAGTACTCCGTAAACAAGAGCGAAATCCTAAAGTGGTCTGTGCCGGCTGCACGCTAAAGTCGATCGCAGAAAATCTTGAGGTGGGGAACCCCGTCAGCCCTTCAACAATCCTCTGGCCCCTCAACTCTCTCCTCTTCAAGTCATTACCGATATATCTATTCGATAGTTACTTGGACACGTTGACAAATCCTCGCTGACCTGCATAACTCCATTCTCCGCCCATCGAACCTGCGAAGTCTCAAGCGAAGTTCGTTGAGATCTTTGCTCAACTAGGTCGTCGCCGCTACCTCACCCTCTCATCCTGTATGGACTGTAGAAGTACCGGGACCGCTGCGGGGATCGACCCCAAGATTCTGGACAATTGGCAAACTGAAGGCACCTTTTCTGTCGCCTCATGGGAACATCTGGGTTACGACCAATCGCCCGAGTGGGACACCAGCCAAGACTCGAGCCAGTGCGATGCAGATATCGCAGACCTAGGCACCTTCCATGGTCCACTGGCTGGTGAATTCCGTCGTCTGGAGAACAGGTCCGGAACCCCCTCCTGAAGTGAGACCGCGCAGCGCGATGTTGATATGGCTGACACTTGTTTTGTTACAGAAAGCACGATGTGTCACCCGAGAACTTGAACTACCCCGATGGCCTCGTCGAGGGCACTGGCAGTGGCACCCTTAGCCCTAAGACCATCCCATCTTCCACCGACGAGAATTACCATTCGGACGAGGCTTGGCCACAATTTCAACTATACAACCCAGTCGCCATGCCGATGGATGCACCTCTTCTCTACCCCTACGCGAAAGGACCGGACCACTCCAATGGCGCTGTCATTGTCGATGATGTTGAAGAGATGCCTCACAGTGGTTATTCGGATGTCCCAGCGGAGGGCATCATGTCGTTCCAGCAGATTCCACAGTCCTTTCCTATGATTCCCGAGGAATGGTCTGTGATTCCACATGACATTCCCGTCGAAAATATGCCTCTGCCGCAAGAGCCCATGCTACTCTCAGTGGACACACAGGGGAACCCAAAGGATCACTCCCTGCGGGGATACCAGACTTCTGTCCGATCGCTGGAATCGCGGTGGCTCAATAGTCTGGCATCCCAAGTACCCGCCCAACAGATCACCTCGGTCTCTCCAACTGCTGGCCCGCGAAATGCACGAATGGGGCAGGAGTTCCAATTCAAATCTGAGAACTCTTCAGTGTCGGGCGATATGTCAGCAATATACGAGTGCTCCTATTCCGCCACTAGCGATGATGCCGATGCCCCGGCATTTGCGGAGCGCCAGATGGAAGACGATGATTTCCAGTGGAAGACCTCATCGCATGAATCTACTTCACCGGAGGGGTCGCAACCTGCATTCAAACCCACTGCCTTCGTGGTGAGTGAGGCCCCCGCGGAATCTCTAGTTTCCACTGTTCCCTCAAGGCCAAGGACTTCATCAACTGCTGGCCAACGTGCCAATCGACCGGCACCGCTTGCCATGCAGTCCTCGGCTACAGTCAAGAAGCGCAAGACCAAAAACCCCGCTTCAATGGATCACGGCATAACAAGGCCATTGCAAATTGTCCAGGAGGATGGCCAAGGGGGCTCTATTGCGTCTGCGGACTTTGTCTCGCCTCCACGCGGCGCTCGTCGCAAGGGCCCATTGAGTATGGTTGGACGGGCCAATGCAGGCCTGCGCAGGAAAAACAAGGATACTTGTGTCCAATGTCGACTGAACAAGCGCAAAGTAAGGATTTCCACGTACATTTGTGTATTTTCATAAGCTAACCTGTTTGCAGTGTGACGGAAGCGCCCCCTGCGATGCTTGTCGCCCTACACTTCATGAGCAACCATGCGCTCGTGCATGCTTCTCCAGTATTGTCGAGTTTGGAACCTGCAACTACATCTGTATGTATCGATCAAACCCTCCCATGAGGTGTTCAGATTTACTGACTTTATCTAGCTCAACGAGCTGTCAACCACCCTACGGTGGATGGTTCCAACCGAGTTCGGATGGAGATTCCATCTGAATTTGACCTCAGTCAACTCGTGTCTTTGCTCGCCGAGCGCCAGGGACGGTTCAACATCCGTGCTAGCCAGGCCTGGGGCTCTCTCTATGTCCTCGACTTGGGGGAGACCTACAAGTTCCTGAAGACCCTGAGTGAGTACAACGGCAACTCGAAGTCCACTTTCCTAGAGTTCATCGACCGACGAATTGTCGACTCAAAGGATAAATCCAAGAATTGGCTGTCCTGCGTTGCCGACTGCGACCCAATGAATCAAGCCTATGTAAGTGTCCACTTCTACACGACAAGAACGTAACTAACCATCCTCAGACCCTCCTCTCCCAGTGGAACAACATGCCTAGCCGCGCCAAATACAGCTTCGTGTCCCTCGACCCAACAGCCGAAGAGCGAACAATGGACATAAACAACCCAGAAGACCAACGCGAAATCCTCCTCGCAGCGCAACTCTCCCGAATCTTCTGCCGCATGCTCGAAGTCGAGGGCTTCCGCAAGCTTGAGCGCGACTTCTACAACATAAAGTGGAAGCGGATCTCGCACGAGACGCACGTCCGCTTCCTGGGCGAACTCGGCCACATTCTGCTCACGCTGCGGTGGCGCGTGAGCTGGTGGAAGCGGCTCGGCGATGGTGGCCATAACCCCGATCCTACTTCGCAGCACTACATTGACCGCGTCGAGCTGCTCTGCCGCATCCTCTACGTCTACTATACATGCGTGCTGGCGAAGCTGCCCTCCTGGTCAGCGGCCGATGTCCCTAAGGGTATTTGGTCGACGTATGCGGACTCGGAGAATGCCATCTGGGACGATTTCCCCTCGGACTCCAGTGACGGCGGCTTTAACGGTTGGATGGAGCGTGGCCAGGAGTTGATTGAACAGGCTGGTGTTCCGAGCCGCATCTCGAAGTTCTGAGACTGGGATGGTAGACATTGCCTGCGAATATGGTTCGGATGGTAATGTCATTGGCGTTACAATTATAGATACCCTTTTTTTTGCTCGTTGATTTCCTTCTCCTCGAGGTTTCGTTCCATTGGATGCATCATGACTTTTACATGCACGCTCTGCCTTATGATTTGATGATTTCACACATGTTCTATCCTATTCCGCTTGGTTTCCGCCATTTGTACTTAATTACTATTTCTCGACATATATACACTTCTTCTCATCTCCACTTCATCCATCCATCTCGCGTCCATCTCATACTACACTATGCATACATATAAACCATCCAGATAAAAAAAGACAATAGAAACTGGGTATCGATTTCATGCACTCATATAACGAGCTCTAGATAGACGAACTGCAAAGATCGAATCAAACAGAAAAAAAAACATATCATCCATTAATTCCCCGCCCTTCAAGTCGCCTTCTTAGGAGCAGACTTCAAAGTATCCTTGCGAGCCAAGGTCCCATCCTTCCGAGCCGCATTACGCTCCTTCAGCAGACGATCCTTCTTTCCACCAGCCAGCAGCTCGAGATGACCTGCCTTTGTCGCCAGACTGCGTTCTGTCATTGAGGAGAGGCCGGATGTGAGTTGCTAAGCAGCGGTGTTAGTGGTTGTTCTTCTTGTCTCGAAGGGCACAGACTGCAATCCGGGTCGAAGATATAGGGACTGGGAAGCGAGTCGGTGCGTACCTTGGTCAGTCTCTTCTGCTTGATCAGGCCGGCTTTCTTGGGCGCGACGGAGCGGACGCCCGGTCTTGTTGTCTTGGCGGGCCTAGAGAGAGTGTATGTTAGTTTGATTGCTCCTTAGTGGACGGATGGGACTGTCGGCTGTGGCTTTGTGGTTTTGTGTCTGGCACTTACTTCCTGCCTGGGCCCGTGGGACCGGCCTTTTTCAGTGATCCTTGCACCATATTTGTGTTGGGATGGAAATTGGAATAGAGAGAATTGGTGAATCGGCACAATAGAAAGAGGTAGGCAAATTTTTGTAAAGTAGCACTGCCAGCAGCACAAAGTGATTCTGGGCTTCTGTCTCTTTTTTCGGGGGGGTTGCTGGAGGGAAAATTACTTATCGGCTTATCTGGATCACATGTGTTGTGGGCCTGGGGCATGTATTTTCCGTTCCGAAGTATATTTGCCTGGTGGATATAATTTTGGTGATTATGAAGAGGAAAGTGACGATGGAAACAGATGGTGAATAAGAATGAAGGTGGAGCAAAAAAAGAAGAAGTTAAAGGCGAGAACGACCGGGGTCGAACCGGAACAGTTGAGGTAGTGGAAGATCTTAGGCACTTCCCTCGTGGTACACATGAGTATGTTACCACTAGGCCACCCACTGTTGATTCCTTATTATTACCTTTCTGTTTCTTTTCTTTTAGATTTTCTACGGCTTCTTCTCCTATGGGCACAACATCAATATGATCAATATGATTGTGTGCATATAGGAATCTTTTAATCTGTTTCTAGGGCAGTGTAAGTTACGGTTAATACATATGTATGATAATTAGTGATAGACCTAGGCTAGCACTGCATCTTCTGTCGATATATTATCTTGATAAGCATGCAAATTCAAGTTTCGAAGTCCAGTCTACTTTTATATGAAGTTGCATCACATATTGTCCCAATGATAAACACATCTCTTGTTATAGCACTCGGCTACCCATCAATTATATACTTGAACCAAACCTGTTAGTCTACTCACCGGTAATGGTAGCCAAGAAAGGCCCAAAGTACCAGGATACTTTGTTTTCAAGATACACCAATGTCCCAAGCCCATACTACTCTCTAGGATGACCGTATGCAATTGAGTAATGACTATGATGGTCAATATTAGTAGGATGTCGTATGTTCAGACTTTACTGTTTTTACCGTTTGCAGGATGTTAGATCTCAGAGAGGGGCCCTATAGTGGTATTTGCTGTGTCACGTTCGATTTTGGCAATGATAAAACATGTTTCGGTCTCATTGAAGAGTTTCAAGAACTTGGGGGGATTTTCCCGGCAAGCCGACTGGGAAAACGTAGAAGCCGATAACTACATGGTAGTCCAGGATGCCTTCAAGTTGTATTATAATGGTCATGTCCTCAAAAGTGAAACCCTTGGGACGGGTATAGCCCCCCACGGAAGATCCGCCGCCAACAGCCGATCAAAAAACAAGGGAATGCACTCCCGAGGCGAGGCCGATTAGGTTGATCATGTTTAACGGCTCCGCAGCTCGTAGCTCAGGTACCAGACACCGGGGAGGTAAACACTGCCAGGGAATAGTCTTGTGCCTTTCGATGTGGAATGAAACCGATGGAACAACATAGATATTTTTTGTTCGGTCCATGTAGAGATCTGGAAGATCTTGCATATGATGAACGACGGCAGGGAGGTGCTTTGCGGTCTTGGTGTATTGCACTTACCGCCGTACTAAAAGCTACCTATCACCTGGAGGCCTGATCAGATGCCCCCCGTCAACCAACCTACCATCCACTAACTCGACTTCAGAAAATGGAAGGTTCCCAAAGGATCTCTTGATTTGTGGGTTGAAATGTGATAGCTTGATAGATATTGTACATGATGCCAAAAAAAATCCCGATTACTCTCGCAGCTTACCGCCAGTAAGTGCCTCGGCAAGCTTCCTAACACGCTCCTGAGAGACATCCCAGCGAACAGCCTCATTGGAACGGGTCTTGTTGGCAAGATTGAACACAGTCGGGGGGTTACCCAGGTTCCAGATGTTCTCGCCGGGCTGGTGGTCATTGCGCCACGCCGGGTTCTCGCCCTCGGGGAATACCCGGTCAATTTCAGCAGTGAGCTGCTCCTCGGTTGTAATGAAAGTGCGAGCATTCACATACAACGCCTGGAGGTGCTCCTTCCGCTCAATTTCTTTCTGTGCCTGCTTAGACTCCAGGCGTGCCCGAGAGAGGGCAAGGCGTTCCTCGCGGTTGGGGTCGGGCAGAACTGGCTGTTTGTGGGGCATCATCGCCTCAATGATCGATGGCCGAGTGAGACGCTCGTCCTCACGCTCGGGTTGCTGAAGAATGCGGTCCCGCCGATTCTGACTCTCAAGACTGCGGCTGACAATCTTTGAGTCTGCGGACCTTTTGCGCGAGTATAGGTCTCGCAGACCGTCCCGCAGGTTCTGTCTCCGCAGATCTGCCATCTTGTGCTTCCATTCTTGCTTCTCGGGGTTGCTGCTGTTTGGGCTCACTACCCGTTCAGACTTGGGGAGTTGTGTGACCGCATTGAGATATTGTATCCGGGGTTTGTCCGCTCGACGGGCTGGGAAGAGCTCGCGAGGCACGGGTAGAGTACCTCTGATATGAGGTTTGCGGGGGTTGGTGGGCTGAACAATTTTCGGCACATCGATGAAGTGAGGCGATTCTGGCCCAACTCGAAGATTGGAGGAGGAAGCAAATCCTCGGACCTGCACAGTGGCAGTCCGGCTATTGCGGAGGACAGACATACGGCACAATTGAACCCTGTCACTCCGTGGAGTAGTAAAGCTGGCAGGGGATTGTTGTAAAGTAAATTATCAATCAAGATCAATGACACGGCCTCCAGATTAAGCCGCGACGTAACCTGAGGTTGATTACCGTATAATAGGGAGGATACGCGGTCGAGTAAGTCGGAAGAAACAGAAGCGATTTTACCTGGTCCGTGCACGGTAATGTCTTGGCGCCAAAAAAAAAACTCCTTCGCCGCCTTTTATTTTTCTTCCTCTTCTCTTTGCACTCTGCCACTCTCTGTGTTTGGTCTTGCCTTCGACTTTTTTTTTCGTCAGGCACTTACTTATCCTCTCATATTTCATACCACAACCGCTATCATGGGTACAGGAAAGAAGGAGGCCGCTCGTAAAGTGCGGCAGGGAAAGCCCGATGATGGCATGGCCAATGTCAAGACCAAAGGTGAAAATTTTTACCGGTATGTACAGCCTAAGCAAAAATCCTCATTATTTTGTAACAAATACTGACTTAACACCCAGTGATGCCAAGAAGGTCAAGACCTTGAACATGTTCAAGTCTGGCACGCCGCGCCGCAACGCGCAGGGTGATATCACAGTTGCCGCGACTTATCAATCTAAAGAGTTGCCAACAGCCCGCATCGAGCCAAACCGTAAATGGTTTGCTAACTCCCGTGTCATCTCACAAGAGGCTTTGACCTCGTTCCGTGATGCTGTTGCGGAGCGTGCGGCCGACCCGTACCAAGTTCTTCTCAAGACCAACAAGCTCCCCATGAGCTTGATTCGGGACAATGATAAAGTCAACGGCTTGAAGCAACATCAGGCTAAGATGACCATCGAGACTTCTCCTTTCAATGATACATTCGGCCCCAAGGCCCAGCGCAAGCGCGTTAAGCTTGGTGTATCGTCTCTCGAAGACCTCGCTGGCGAGACAGCCAAGATGCAGGACACCTACATTGAGAAGAACGACGAGGGAACTCATGCCGATGGAAGCGCAATTGTTCGCGGCGACGACACTGCCGCGGTCGAAGACCTGGGTCTACTGACTACCTCTCGTGAATCTGTCTTTTCCAAGGGACAGAGTAAGCGTATTTGGAACGAACTTTACAAGGTCATCGATTCTTCTGATGTCATCATCCATGTCCTGGATTCCCGTGATCCCGACGGTACTCGTTGCAGAAGTGTTGAGAAATATGTTCGTGAGGAGGCACCCCACAAGCACTTGATCTTCGTTTTGAACAAGTGCGATCTCGTCCCCACCGGCGTTGCTGTAAGTCTCACTATTTCCCATTTGATATCCCTTTTGAGCACTCGGTTTTTGTTTTCTTTTCTGTCCTGCGTTTTCCTGTTATCCCCCTGTTCCATCGCTAAGTCAAGGCTTCTTCCTGCGACTTCGGTCGTGCACGACTTCGGTTGTGCTTGTTTCAATGGAATTCCGTCTGTTACAGCTTTGGTATATTAACACTGGCCCGCACCGAATTTCGTTATGAACCTAGGTTGACTTGCTTTCGTCTTGAAGGCCTGTCGCAAAGGGCCAGCTGTGTTTTGTTTTTGAGTAGAGGTCTGCTTCTGCCTATTTGGTGGCGTTGTAGCAGACTTCTTAGTAACATCCCACACATTCTATCTTTACACAATGTTTCATTCATTGCTAGTGACTGATTGCTAACTTTGCATCTTTGACTAGGCCGCTTGGGTTCGTCATCTTTCCAAGGACTACCCCTGTCTCGCTTTCCATGCCAATATCAACAACTCTTTCGGCAAGGGCTCTTTGATCTCACTGCTTCGCCAGTTCTCATCCCTTCATTCCGACCGCAAGCAGGTGTCTGTTGGCTTGATCGGCTACCCTAACACGGGCAAGTCTTCCATCATCAACACACTCCGAAACAAGAAGGTGTGCACAGTCGCCCCCATTCCGGGTGAAACCAAGGTCTGGCAGTATATTACCTTGATGAAGAGAATATATCTCATTGATTGCCCCGGTGTGGTCCCACCCAACGTCAACGATACCGAGGAGGACATCCTTCTCCGTGGAGTCTGCAGAGTGGAGAACGTTCACAACCCAGAGCAATACATTCCGGCCGTGCTTCGCCGTGTCCTGCCCCGTCACCTTGAGCGCACCTACGGTATCAAGTACCAGGAGAACTACCTCGATTGGCTCGCGCTTCTTGCTCGCCAGGGCGGTCGTCTCCTCAAGGGAGGTGAGGCCGATCTGGATGGTGTTGCTAAGATGGTGATCAACGATTTCCTTCGTGGAAAGATTCCCTGGTACACGCCCCCACCCAAGGGTACCGGGAAGGGCGAGAAGGACGAGAAGGACGAGGAGACTGTCGAGGGTATCGAGGGCCGTGAGGGTCGACTCGGCGAGATGCCCCGCAAGCGCAAGTTGGATGAGAACAACGAGCCTGCCGCCAAGGCTACGGAGGCCGATTCCGAGTCTGAGCCTGCTCAGGATGAAGCCGTTGATGCTGAGGACAGCGATAATGATTCGATCGCCAACTTGGAGGTCAGCGATGTGGAGAGTGGCGAGGAGGAGTGATTGCTCCATTGGTGTTCTTCAAGGCACTCGAGTGTCATCCCCATTCCGCCCTACGAAAAACAGACAGTATGCCGCCATGAGATCGGTTATGCTAGCTCTTGAAACAACAGAGCTTCAAGCCGAGTCATTCTTCCTCATGTCCGCATTGAGCGGACCTGGCTCTCCACAAGGCATCCGGCATGTGCTTTTATCGCACACAAGTCTGAAGAATGCCTTGCGATATGTCGTGCAGGCCTGCAAAGCGCCTGTCATCTAAAAGCCACGTTATCAACCGTGAGCATCCCAGTACATAATTTGTACAACCCTAGGAGTTCTGGCGTTTTCAGTCACCAGCTCCAACTCAGATACCCGATTCGATGAGGAATCAAAATGAATGAAAATAATTCTTATTTAAACCCTTTCCCGTTGTTTTAATTAGTATCTTAGTACGCGTTGCTCTATGATCCGGTATTACACCTGCTGCCGAGCAACCCGTGGATCGTAAGGTTCGGATTAGTTGGGTTGTGGTTCCACCCTTCAACCACGGGTTGAATCCGGGGAGAGAATTGTGGCAGAAAATAGTGACATTCTTGGTCAAATCCATCTTAACTAGGCAACTCGTAATAAAAGTGCACTGAGTTCCTCTTCATCCTTTCATTTGACCCTTCCAAGGTGCTGGACGAGCTAAAATGGGTCGAAGACCTTGGTAGTTTCGACGATGGGTCGGCACCATCCTCAAAAGATCAAGCACATTAAGCCCACTACCTGGATCTTTGATGGATGGATCAGCTCCAGCACGCAGGAGGACATCCGCAACCTCAAAGTTAAAGCGAAGGCTGGCAATCCACACCGCTGTGGCTCCAGTACGGCCACCAGGGGCATTGATATCGACGTCTGGTTCGGAAGCAAGGATATACTCGACGACTGGAACCATCCCAAACGAGGCGGCGTAGTATAGAGGATGCGTTCCATCAATGGCTATAGCATCAGTCGTGTTTGAAGCAGCGGTTGTTCGTAACAGGACCTGTATCCATGTGCCATAATTTCCGCGGCCAGGAAGAGACCTCGTAGCAAAGAATTTATGGATCATATCTTGTTTGCGCTCCCCAAAACCGCAGGCGGCACCATGTTGTGGCCAGAAGTTTGCGGCGCAAGTCATGAAAGCATGATCTTGTCGTACTTTGGCTGGGTTTTCGGGGTATTTCAAGTATCCCTGTGCAAAGTTGTCGAGACATAGGTACGTGAGACACCTGTGCATGGCTTTCAGGTCTGCAGTTGCAGCATCTAGGGCGAAATATTGGACTCGAGATGAGCGGATCCAATCAGATGTTAGAAAATCTTTGACAGACGCATGCGCGAGATTCAGATAACCATTTTGGTCTTCAGTGATGAGTCCTTGACAAATGTCAAGAATAATATGGGGCGGGACAAGCATCATATCCTCATCGAGTGTCATGCATGTCTCATCCGTGACCACAACTTCGTTGAGACTCCTCAAAGTAAGAGGCTGTTTGGTGAAGCTGAGCCAAAAGAGGGCCTCACGAGCAATCTTCCAGTCGTCAGGGGCAATTCGTTCTAACATACTTGCATATGTCTCGCGTAAAGTCCCTGGGAGGTTCTGTAAGGCCTGTCGCATTGCCCTTACAGATCGCTGCGCGCTCAGGTTGTCCAATGAGAGCTGGACCCAGCGGAATCTATGAATAAATAATTAGATCACAGAAAGCATAGTCAGATCGGTACTGTACTGACGATCCATCGGCATTTCCAAGAAGAGTGGATTCAATTTCCGCTCGGAATTCTGGTGCCAAATTGCTCAATGTACTATCAGTCTGAAGTCGGTATTTGATAAAGGTGTCAATGTCCCCTCGTGACTTTCCGCTTATGTTCAAGACAGATGCATTGGGGTGTCTGATGGAGCCCATAGTGCTTGTGGTAGTTATAAGCACGCGGATGTTCGTGGATAAACTGGCAAGCCTGAGAAGGGAGGCTTCAAGAAGCTGCATATCATGGCTTTCATTGATTGCATCAACCAGAAGGACAATCTTGGTCGTTCCGGAAGCATATTTGAGGATGGCAGCTTCGAGAACAGACAATTCGATAGGGAACCTATGCGCCTGATTCTTCGGGCCTTTGTTATAGATAGACCGAATATCACCCAAAATTGAAGGAGCTGTGCCCGAGAGCTGTGCCACAAGTGATCCTAGGACGTTCCTTGCATTCTGAGAGGCAAAATCACTGATTGTACAATAAAAATAAGCAAGGCACATGGATTGACCTTGAGAAGCCATATAAGTGAGTTCATTTGCAACTTGTGCACTAGCGAAAGTCAGATATAAGATGCAACTGAATTGCCAAATGGAACTTACAAGAGCGTAGTCTTTCCAGTTCCAGCTTTACAACTATGTCAGTGGAATGTCTTAGAGGTTGCGATGGGTACATACATTTTCCCAGGAGGAAGAAAGATCGATTTTCTTCTTGGTTGAGAAACATCTTCAAATAACCGTCAACGAACCATCTACCAGTCCCATTTCTATGTCTTTTTGATGCCCGCAGATGAGAGCTTTCAGGGTTCACAGGAGCGATCCATTGTAGAAGCTCTCTGTTCAAAAATTGGTTCCGCTCTTGAGCTCGAATGTGCAAGTCTTCTTTTAGTGTGTTTGTCAGATCACGAATCTCATGCTGCATCTCCCGATCCACCGAATTATGGTCCGCCATGAGAACCAGTATCAACCACGATTTGACTCTTTCCAGACGGGCCAGATGGTCGATGACTTGCGTCTGAGTAAATGGCCATTTCAGAGCTTGCTTGAGGCGCTTGAACTTTGTCTCGGACGTCTCCAAGTCCACGAGCAAGGATTGAAGGAACTCGTTTGTTGTGTGCAATACTCTCGCCATGACGTCGCGGTCAAATAGGCTTGTTTCCGATTCCTCCCATTTGGCGATATCAGTAGAATGTGCTGCCAGGTGCTCTAAGATCCCCTTTAGAGCGAAGAGCTCTTCGCTGAGTTTTCGCACTTCGGACTTTGCGGTCTGCACCGCTTTGCCATACCTGATCAGGCTCGACAGCACATGGCTGACCTCTATTACGAGACCGGTGATAGAGATCGGGTCCATTGGGATTCAAATCAGGCTAAAACTGGGGTTCTGTTCAAGGTGGTTATCAGGCTGACAATAGCTGTGTGCGTTGTGTAAGCTGCACCCCCACCTGGGTACCTGGGCACTCATAGATCAGCCTCATTTCGCTGTTTCAGACTTCGTAAAGATGCCCGAATTGGGTCTCAATTCGGCTGAAACATCGAGTCTCCCTGGGCTAAGGTATAATTAAACTCTAACTCTCCTCATTTCCTATAAAGAGTACCAACCAGGCATATAAGGAAGGTCAGGAGAGATATTGATTCAAAAGTGTCACTATCCACAACCGTACCTTCACCGCCCCCAGGTCTACATCGTCATCACCGGCAGCTTGCACCCTTATTCCCTCACGTCAATGTTAAAATGCCCGCCGACATGTCTATGATTCCCTATAACGGAGGAAACCTTGATGTTGTTTTGTAAGTGATCCTCAAATATGTGCTACTGGTTATCTAATTGTAAAAGGCGGCACAATGACTCGGTGGTTGTCTTTGACCATGATTCTCAGCAGCTCGTTCTCCGCAATACGTCAGATGAAGACATTGACCATTTGGAGCTAGCCAACTGCCCATTCTGCCATCGCTCAATGCGCGAGAATAGCAGAGAACGACATTGTGGGGATACTGAGCCCGAAGGCGAATTTATTAATCCAAACTACTTTCACATGCTCAACAATAGCCTCCCCAGCTCTGCAACATCCTCGACTCCTCCTTCTCCACGCCATCGCCTTGTTCAGCCTGCGCTGCCCCGTCGGCCTATTAATAACGCGTCCGTCCAACCTACATCATCTCCACAACCACCGCCACAGCCCTCACCACAGGGAATTTCCTCTGCAGCATTCAGTCCAGATTACTTCAAGAGGTTCTTTGTGGAGGAACGAGTGTTAGGCAAAGGTGGAAAAGGAGTGGTGCTGCTAGTGAAGCATGTCCTGGATAGTGTGTCTCTTGGTCATTATGCCTGCAAGCGCGTGCCCGTCGGCGACGATCATGAGTGGCTAGAAAAGGTTCTGGGTGAAGTGCAGCTGTTGCAGCATCTCTCACACCAGAATCTTGTCTCGTACCGTCATGTCTGGCTGGAGAATGCAAAGATAAGCACCTTCGGTCCGAGTGTGCCTTGCGCATTTATTCTACAGCAATACTGCAATGCCGGGGATTTGCATGATTACATCTGTGGCTCTGTTCAAACCTCCACCACTGCGCAGCAATTAAAGGACCGCCTTCGCCGTAAATCTAAAGGCGAACCGGACCCTCGAAGCAAACTCGGAGGGGCTCGTACACTTCAACTAGACGAGATATATTCCTTCTTCCGTGATATCACCTCTGGACTCCGGTATCTTCACGCTAATGGATACATCCATCGTGACCTAAAACCAAACAACTGCCTGCTGCACGAGACCGGTGATGGCATCAGAGTTTTAGTCAGTGATTTCGGTGAGGTGCAGTCTCAAAATGCAATGCGCATGTCTACTGGTGCAACTGGTACTCTTTCATACTGTGCACCCGAAGTTCTTCGTCAAGAATATCCTGGCGGACCATTCGGCAATTTTACGTTCAAGTCCGATATTTTTTCCCTCGGAATGATACTTTACTTTCTATGTTTCGCGGCTCTTCCATACGCGAATGCCGACCTCATTAACGAAGAAAAAGAGGACTTGGATCAGCTTCGTGCAGAGATCACCAGCTGGGCTGGATTTGACCACGCACGCGCCATCCGCTCCGATCTCCCCGAAAAGCTGTATAAGTTCCTAGAGCGCTTGCTCTCGGTTGATCCCAGTCGACGGCCCTCAGCTGACGAGGTGTTAAATGGAATCCAAGTCGGCGCAAATTCAAATGAGAACTTCCGCTTCAGAAAAGCCAGCTCGGGAAGCTCCGACCTGCCTGGGGCGGCTCGGGTCCGCCCATTGGATAGCCAGCAGCCATCTGTAGAGCGAGCACTTTCTCCCACCAAAAGTTTGCACCGAAACCCAGCATCTTTCCGGGGTGACTCGATGTCTGACTCTAGTCATTTTCGAAGCAGTACGGCGCCTGTGTCTGACACCAACGCAGATGGCCCTTCTGCTAGCCCAGATCAAGACATGATCATCCGGCATCGCTACTCTACTTCACCAACTTCTTCTCCAGTCCATTCTCCTCATGAATCATCATCGCCCCTCGATCCGCAGCCCCAGCCTCCGCTCCCTCAACATCATCTCCTCCCACCTCCACCGAGTCGTTTCCCCTTCCTTAATTACCTGACATCTTTGAACCCATTGCTATCCTCGCCTGTCTTACAACTCACTCTCTTCCTTGTCAAGATCATATCCCTTCTTCATCCATGTTCACCGCTGGCCGTCAACCCCTGGATCCTTTACCCTCTCCTTCTCTCTGCAGCATTTACTTTGAGAGCCCGCAGTATCCAAACTCAGACTCTTGCCGTCTTTTTACACTTACTGGTCGTCGGGCTGGGTTTCCGTCTAGGCGCCCTATGTATCTGGCGCAGAAACTCGGATATTACTTTGTGAGTACTCTAATTGGTATGCCTTGCATCTATTATTTCCTAGCACTTTTAATGTACATCTACATGACACTCCCCCAACGGTGCCTCTATTATCGAGTCGATGATGTATTCCATGGAGGCAAGCAGCCCTCAATGTATTACTTGGTTTTTACACAATCAGTTTAGTCTTCCATGAATTGACTTACTAGTCTAGGGTCTCAGACCCATCAATCATTTCCGGCATCGACTCTCCCTGTAGGGCAGTTCCGGGCTCAGTGGGGAAATGTCCCTAAACATGCCCGTTGAGCGAGAAGGGATCCACAGCAGATAAGCTTCCTCAAAACCCGGTGACCTTTACCGTGATGAGCATTAGAAGTACCGGGCATCGCTTGTAGAATATGTTGGTCTCCGACTCTCCGGTGCTCGGTCCATTGCTCGCAGCTAACTTAGTTGCGACAGAAACTCTTCTACTCTTATTGAATGTATGTGCCTGTGGGTTTGTCTGGGACACATTCTCCTCTGCCGACAAATGATTGGATTGTGTCGAGATGCTTCAATCTACCCCTCAAGGCACGTTCCCCACATCTCCACTGGTCTGTTAATTTACAATACAGTAACTTACCAGACGTTGCAAATAGTACAGCTTCAGCACGATAATTTGAAACGGTGAAGCCAGTAATAAAACATCACATGACGAATGTTTATTAATTCTACTCACGTGGACGGGCCAATCGCCCGTTTTAGCGGCTGCGCTGACAATAGCGTAGACTGCGATTTGCCGGCTGGAAGCAAATTGCCCAATCATTTGGCTACAGAATTCCACGGGGCGACTAGGGACTTTCGAGCAATTAGATGCCGGACCCCGACGTTGATCAGCTTCCCTATTTGGTATAGTGTTGCGGCCGAGGTTGTCAACTCAGGTACAACTCTTTCATCTTCATATCGACGTAGATGGAAGAGGAAACTGATCGTCATGGCGATTGTGCAAGTATATGCTTGTAACCAATCCTTGTAACGCTGACAGATGCTAGCGCTTCACTCTCATTTTAACCGATATTTGATCGAGTCTGTTCTCATCCCCCGTGGTTGCTTGATTTGATCTCATTGGGAGACGAGTACTTGAAACTTGCCATCGGGTCTCTCGGGGAAAATATGCGAGCTCCAGTTCTAGGCTGGACGCTCGTGTACAAGCATTTTAGATGCAGGCTTGATTTGGTCGGCGTGCATAGCGCCCACATGGGTTGAAGACAAGCAATTTCCATCATGGCTTGTATCCAAATATCAAATATAAAAGGCGCTCCGTTCCACTGCTGTTGAAGACTTCTTTCTTGAACAACGACAACTTCTTATTCTTCCAGAAGAATCGAGCTAGACAATCCGCCAATATGCATGCCAGTGCTCTTGTTGGCCTCTTGGCCCTCGCCGCCGCCGCGACTGCTGCTCCCTACAAATCTAGTAGCGCTCACTCGAGTTCTTCCATTGCGAATCTGAAGTCCCACGTTAAGAATGTTGTCGTTCTCGTTATGGAGAACCGCTCTTTGGACAACCTTCTTGGTGGCCAAACCATTGCCGGTCTGGATAACCCCATCCACAATGGTCCTTTCTGCAACCCTTACAACGTGACCGATCCCTCCCAGGGACACCACTGCTCAGAGGCCAAGGACTATGACTCCGTGACTGATGATCCTAGCCACGCTGTCACTGGTAACACCATGGAGTTCTTCAGCCAGTGGACTCCTGACAACGCCGCCATTGCCGATGGCAAGTTGGTTCCCAACAACAAGGGTTTCATCCACGAGCAGATTCACAACCATGGTGCTACCGCCAACGAGACTGTCAAGGCTGTGCTGGCCAAGCAAGTCATGAACTACTACACCGAGGCCCAGACTCCCGTTCTGACCTCGCTGGTTAAGAACTTCCTGACCTTCAACCACTGGCACTCTGATATCGCTGGTGTAAGTGGACACTTTGATATCACTGTTTCGAGACTATTATACTGATTTCAATATAGCCTACCTGCCCTAACCGATTCGCTGTTGTTGCTGGTACCTCCGCTGGCCACGGTTCCAACGATGCCACTTTCGGTACCTATGCCTTCACCCAGCGGTCCATCTTCCAGCAGTTGAGTGAGACCAATCACACCTGGCTCAACTACTGGGACACCGCTGGTGGTACCGGTCCTGAGGCCCAATGGTTCGCCTGGACCAAGGCCACCAGCAACGAGGATAAGATTGTTTCCATGGAGCAGTTCTACACCGATGCCGCCAACGGCGCTCTGCCCGAGTTTTCTTACCTGAACCCCTCCTGCTGCGGTGTTGGTACCACCTCCATGCACGACAGCGGTCTGATTTCCGATGGCGAGGCTTTCATCAAGAAGGTCTACGAATCTCTCCGTGCCGGCCCCCAGTGGGAGGAGACTCTCTTCGTCCTCACCTTCGACGAGAGCGGTGGTTTCCACGACCACGTTCCTCCCCCCCTGGCCACTCGCCCGGACAACCTGACCTACACCGAGAAGGCTGCCAACGGCGAAGAGTACACTCTTGAATTCAACCGTCTGGGTGGTCGTATCCCCACTCTCCTCATCTCTCCCTGGGTCAACAAGGGCTACGTTGAGCAAAAGGGTACCAACTACCATGGCCAGACCCAGTCCTATTCGGCTAGTTCTCTGCTCCGCACTCTTGGTTACCTCTGGAACTTCGAACCTTTCACCCCCCGTGTTGAGGATGCTGCCTCTTTTGAGCACCTGATCCAGAGCTCTCCTCGCAAGAATGCTCCCAAGACGCTCCCTATCCCCCACGCCTTCTCCCGCTAGATGTGCAAATGAAAGGGCCGCGAAACCGGCGGACTGGGTAACATAGACTTCATCTAAACTGATAGTATTCGGAATTCAATATACAGATTTACTTTATATTGATAAGAAACCATAGCATCCATAGCTAGTTGAAAATTATAGTAGGTGACAGTAGGACAAAAGTCGAGACATACGCATTCACTCCAAATTAAGCTATATACAGGTGTGATGTCGAGAGAGAATAAATAAACCACACCTCCATCTATCATCCCCCCAGACAGTCAATACTCCCGTAGCTGCTCTGAACCTCCCCAGAGGAGAAGCACGAGTATCATACGATTTCTCTCCTGTTCTGGCAGAATTGTAGGAGTGCAGCCAGAGAAGCCCTCTTTTCATCTTGGACTTCAGTTAGTGAGCGATACCATGGTTTCCCATCTCTCGAGCAGATAGGGGTATGCACCTTAATTTTCCTTAAGGGTAAACCCAGAAGAAATTGGAAGCCCGTTGGTTAGAGGAAGGAAGAAGGAGAGGAAGAGTGGGAGAGGGAGTGGATTAGGAAGACAAACAAAACAAACAAACAGTCGCATGCCTGTTTTCACCACCACCTCTGTTCAAGCTACTATACCAATATGAGGGAGATATCTATAAGAGACCGTTACAATTATTGTTGATAAATACATGGATATATAGGTGGATTAGAGAAGAGAAGCCCCCGACCCCTGCAAAACTATCCCATTCGTGAAGCTTTGAACTTGCTCACACGTTTAGGTTGATCTTCCTCAGGAGGCAAAGTATCCTGTTCCTCGTCGTCTTTAGGCGCGCCGTTGATGCGTCTTTGCATATTGAAGAACTCCGACGCGATCTGCTTCTGGTGAAGCTCCTCGTCATAGTGATCCAATTCAGGAGCCACTGCGGCCCCTGTTTTTACCTGTCGCTCAAAGACCTTTTCGGCTAGAGTTCGGTCATGTGGGAATTGAGGCGGAGAAGGTTTCTCGATTACATCGGAGATCGGTGCGGAGAAGGGTCTGGGCTCTTTTGGTCTCGCGGGGAAGAGAACAGGCGGCACCGCGGATGGAGTTGTATTGGCTTGTTTGCGAAGGCGGGATTCGGTGACTTGTACGGGATTTACGGTTGTAGCCCCAGTAGTAACAGACCCATTAGCAGGACTAGCTGGAGCAGCGGCCCGAGCACTTCTGAACCGCGACGCCTTTTTAGGAACAGTGGGGGTGGCTGGAGAGGGCTCCGGGGCCCGGTTAGTCCGTTCAACAATGGAATCAGCGAGCACCTGAGGCTCGGCCCGTACAGCAGAAGTTCTCTCGGCGATGGTTGGGGGTGTGGGAACCGGTGCGATATCAAGGTCATCAGCGAATGCAACCCGTTTCTTAGGCTTCTTGTTCTCTTTGATGGATGTTTCAACCTCAGCAGGTGTCGCGATCTCGTGCTGCACTTCCTCGGGGAACGTCTCGATATCCTTGCCCATGTTCATCAGGCCTCGGGCATTGAGCTTGGCCTCTAATTCCATCATCTGCTGGTGGTATTCTGCCGGAAGGCGGGTGTGAGAGCGGCCGTGTTCGTCTTCGTTATCTTCCTCGTCGTAGTCGTAATCGTATTCCTCATCAAAGGAGATGTCGCTTCCGGACTCATCCATTTCCAACTCTGCCACAATAGCCCCCACCTCGTTGATCCCATAATCGAGCATTTCGCGGCGAAGTCTTGCTTCTTCCGCAGATTCATTCACGTCCGTCACAGGCGGCTGCATGCGATCTTCGGCAGTCACGACAGACTGGGGTTGAAAGAATTTCAAAGATGCGCCGTTTGGCTGAATGCTTGTATCATCGCCGCTTGAGGAATCGTTCTCATGAATTTCAGCCTTCGAGCTGACCGGATTACCCACCACGCTTTCAAGTGTAGTATCGACAGGAGTTTCAGCAGTCTTTTCCGGCCCACTCGTTTCCGGAATATCCTTGACACCAGCCTTCTTCAGCACATCTAGCAATTCCGAAGCGTCATTCCCGGGCGTGTTGATCTTGCTCGAGACGACGTTCCCATCCTCATCAAGCTCTTCCATAATCTCCTGCATCGGGAACTCCACACCATCCTGCAGCAGTGGCTGGTCATTCGAGACCAAAGCGTCCAGCTCATATTGGGCCTTCAAGAGCCTCTTCTCCATAGTCGCAACGTTCTGCTGCACGTAGTCGATGCGTCTTCCAAGAAGATCAACCACTTGCCCGCGAGACCGCCTCACACCTTGCGAACCAAGTATTGTCCGCATTTCCTTCTGATCCACCAGCGTGCCGCCAAATTCCAGGGCCGCGGCAAGGAACTCGTCTGTACCAGCATCATCTTCTAGGTTGCTGATTTCCTCGCGGAGTCCATCGTATTCCGCTTCCCAGGTTCGCCAGTGGTAAAGCGATTTCTGAAGTTGGAGGATGTTTTCTTCGAGCGCGAGGCGCTGCTCCTCAAGAGCATCGAGGTTAGGGTTCAGTACTCCCATTGTTGTGAAAGCTAAAACTCAGCGGCAGCTTTACACCGACTATGTCAATTGGAACGGAGCAAAGAGAGGGGTTGCCGGAGGCAAAAAGAAAAAAAGTCGCAAAAAGGTGACGAGGGTGTGGTCCGTGCGCATGGGTTGCTTATCAGCCTCAACCCAGTCAGTGGTCCGTCTCTCCCACACGTCACTTTACTTTCACCATGGCCACCGATGCGGCTTCTCGCCGTGATGAAGACGGTAAGATGATATAAGGCTTCGTCGTGACGGCATAATGCTAACCATATCTTTGCGCAGAGGTTTGCCCTGTCTGCAAATCGTCGCGATACCTCAACCCGGACATGCGCTTTCTCATCAACCCGGAATGCTACCACAAGATGTGCGAGTCATGCGTGGACCGCATTTTTTCATCCGGTCCCGCAAACTGTCCGGTAGCCGGGTGTCGCAAGACGCTGCGTAAAAATCGGTTCCGCAAGCAGACATTCGAAGATATCGGGGTGGAAAGAGAAGTAGATATCCGGCGGCGAGTCATGCACATGTACGTGTCTTACCAAACACCCCGACGTACCGTGTAATATGGGAGGGCTAACAATTCACCTCGATCAGCCTGAACCGTCGCGAAGAAGAATTTGACTCAAAACGCGCATATGACGACTTCCTCGAACAAAGAGAGGACATAATCGCGAACCTAGTAAGCCGCATCGACGTGGCGAAAACCGAAGCCCAGCTCCAAAAATACGCAGCAGATAACATGCAATCAATCCGCACAAACCAAGCCATCGAAGCCGAGGAAGCTTCCTCATTCCAAGCCCGCATGACCCTCGAACAAGAAGAAGCCCGATTGCGCCGGCAAGCGGTACGCCAGGAATACGAGACCGAGCGGCGCGAGATTCAAGCCGGTCGCGAGGATTTCCTCTCAAGACTCGCCTCCGGCTCATCGACAGATGCCGCGGCCATCGCGCGCGAAGGACACAAGGTGCTGCTCAAGAAGTCGTCCGCGCGCCGCAGCGAGGAGGAACGCATTCGACAGAAGCAGGCTGCGCTGCGGTCGGAGACCAAGCGCGGGTCGACTCTTTCCACAGTCGATCATGGTGGTGCAGCGGATACGGGTCTTGTCAAAGGTCTGCGCAAGATCAAGACGCCCGAGCCGGAGAAGCCGTACGATCCCTTTATGGGCTATGTGCCCGACAAGCGCGATTATTACACGCTCCAGTCGTATTATCCGTCGCAGTATCTTGATCCTATTCGAAATGATGCGCGGATGCTGGCTGGTGGTTATGATTTGCGTGAATACTACTCGCGCACACTGCTTGAGGCTTTTGCTGGGTTGAGCTGCTTTGTTGGGGAGGAGATCTCTCAGCGAGATGCTGCTAATATTACGAAGTCGACGGCTACAGAGGGTGCTGCTATTGCCGCGGAGAATGAGAACACTGCCTGAATGCTATTTCGACTTAGGCTTTGGGGCTTGCATGTATTTGTATTGTTTTGTGGGCTATTGAGCATAGCGATGGCGTTTTTTTATTTTTGTTCGCTTGGGGTATTACGGCCACTGCATATCTAAAGAGGTTCAAAACAAGTAAACGGTCTGAAAAGAGACCTGCGCTAAATTGAACAAGGGATGGAAGAAGTTATTTCCAAGGCCGCGGTACAACCGCAATGACATTTAAGTACCAAGAACTAGCTACTTAACCAACAATCGATTACCCAAATCAAAGAATTAAACATACAGATGGAATCATACTCCATGAAACAGCGCCAAAGAAGCAAAAAGTAACCAGAAATAATATCAACAAACGCAATGCGATGCAATAATCAGCTCAGACCACGCAGAGAAAGGTGGCCTGTCATCTCAGTAGTGCTCTCAATGCCCTCCCAAGGCAAATCCTCTTCATCATCCAGGTCGATCTGGCCGTGACGAGAAGACTTATCGGTAGTACCAGTGACATCAGGTGCATGGGACATACCGACGTCAATTCCAATTGACTCAAGAGTCGCTTCCATTTCGTGCTCGGTCATCTCACGACCGTCTTGCTTTTGGCCCTCCAAAACATCGTAGAGAGCGTAGATTTGGTCGGACTTCATATCGATGTCCTTGAAAATTTTATCTATCTTTTCTTGCAGGGCCTTGCGCGGGCGCTTGCCAAGGGATGCGTCAAGCTTGTTGTAGGCGCTTTGATATGTGGCTAGTTGCATCTTCAGGTGAGAAAGCTCGTCTTCTAGGCCCTTGAGAACAGTAGCAAGAGCGAGGGCAGGGGCTTGCGAGGGGCGCATTGTGGGATCTTCGTTCCAGACGGATGGCTTGGGCATACGCTCTGACACAGGAATGGGTTTGACGATCTTCACAGACTCGTGACTGCAGGTGCCGTCAGTGGAGTGACAATTGCAAACTGTGCAGTTCTGTCCGTTGTGTCGAGCAATGCTATCCAATGCTTTCTGGGTGGCTTGTGGTAGCTTAGATAGGTCAGCCGCTGCCAAGTCGATGTGCTGAAGGGTGATATCAGGAAGGATGAAAGCGGAGGTCATGTCAGTGACATTACGCTGCTTCTTGCGCTGGGAAGTTGTAGGCAACGAATTATCTGAATGGCGCCGGGAACGCTCTGCAGTAGGTACTGTGAGACTACTGTCTCCATCGGCATTTTCCTTCGAGGCGGTGGTAATATCTCCAGTAGCAGAGGCTGGGCGAGGGATTTCTGCTTTGGACTCGCGAAGAGATGACTTGCGAGGGGCAGGGGTTTTCAAAATGCTCTGTCTAGTCGAATTGACAGTCTCTGTAGGATTGGATTCCTTAGGGGCACTCGAACGTCGTTGCTTGCGCATCATTCTTTCTTCTTCTAGTGTCTTGCGTAGACGAGAGATTTCATGTTCATCAATAACACTCAACAGAGTAACGTCTGTTTCAGATGACGCCCTTGTCTGCTCGGACACCTCGGGTCCAGTCACATCTTCAACTACCACTCGCTTCACGCGCTGTTTGCTCGTATTGGGTTGTTTCCGGGAGCTCTTTGATTCAGAAGAGCGAGACACATACTTTGATGGCTTAGAAGTTGATGTACGCCTTGATTGAGGCACCTCAATAGAGAAGAGAGCCTCATCGGCACGTTCCTTTTCAAGTCGAGAAAATTCCCTGTCCACTTGAGTAGACACTTTGGAGCGGGAGTCATCCTGGCGTCTGGTCCTTGTGGTGGAGCGGTTGCTTTTTGAGGTAATGTCTCTGGTGCTCCGACTAGCGTCTCCACTGCGCTCAGTGTAAAGTTGGCTGTCGTCGGCATCCTCAGACACGGCTGAACTAGCGTCGGATTCGACGGTGTCCTGTTCACGAGCCTTGCGGCCCCTAAGTCGGCTGATCTGGGACTTGAGATCCGCATTTTCCTGTCGCAATTCATCATTCTCGGCCTTCAGCTCTCGAGTTTCGAGATAAGCGGCCCCAAGTTGTGAGATAGCCGACTCTCTATCATGATTCAAGCGCTTGATGGCAGACTCTTGGACCTGGGCCTTTCGGTCGGCAATGTCCAACTGGTTTTGTAAAGCGAGATTGGCTGCGTCTAACTTTTGGTTCTCGTTTTCCAAGCGCTTGGATCCCTTTTTGTGCGCATTATCGTCTGGTTCGTATTTTGCCGATGACTGGCGTGGTCTGTTCGCCTTCAAAGAAGAATTTTCCTGGCGGTAGCTGTCCAATCTTCTCTCTGCCTCCGACTTGAACATCTCCAGTTCTGCGACCTTATCCTGAAGTAGTCTCAGATGGACAAACAAGGCCTTCTCATCTTCGGGGACGGGCACTGCATCCAGCGGCATATGCTCGTGGGGGAGAGACACGTCTGTATGATCATGAAGTGGGGAAACAAATCGGGTCGAGCGCATCTTGCTCTGTCGGGAGTAAACCGGTGTGCCATCTTCGTACACACCGGAGACGAGTTCAGAGATGTTAGGGAGGTCGGGAAGAAGGAATGATTGGTGGGTCATGGTATCACCGATAGTGTTGGTGTTGGCTGCATTGGCACTGCTTTTGCGAGGAGTTTCCGCGGCGTTGGAAGCCGATTTGCGAACTTCCTTCGCGTAGGCGTCCCGCGAAGCTCGCTCGATTGCGTCTGCAATCTCCTGTGAGGTGTTTGCGTTTCCAAAACGCGTCGAACGCGCCTTCGTCGCAATAGGGGCTGGTCGTTCGTCTCCCAAAAATGAACCCTCGTAGCTGTCGCGCACTTTTGCATGCATGTCAGAGAATGTCCTCCGCTGGTCACGTTGAGCCTTCGACACTTGCGGGCTCATGGTTTCTTGTTGCGCTTGCGTCGCTCGTCGCACCTGAGCGTTCTTTCGTAGGTTTTCACTGACTGCGCGACGCGACGGACGCGTGGCCGCAACTGGCTTTTGTGGTGTTGGGTATTCAACGCGCATTGCGGGCGAAGATGAGCGTACACTATTCTCGAAGCTCATCATGGAGCTGCGCGAGTCGTCGCGCGGTGGTTTGGCAGCACCGCGTCCCACCTCAACGGACATGTCCAAATCGCTATGCAAAAAATCGTCGTCCAACTCGTGTTCCTCCTCCTCGGAGGTCTGTATTTGCGAAAATTCGGGGAAAGCACGGTCTAGTGTTGATGTGTTGATATTGTAGTCAAGCTCCTCGTCAACACGTCGTGTTGAGGTACCCATTATTTCGTCCAAGTTTGTGAGCGAAAATGAATCGTCATGTAAGCCAGAATTTCTGTGCATTGGAGGCATTCTAAGAGTAAAAGGGAGAAGTTGAAGATCGGAGGTGGTTTGTTTTGGAGCAAAGTCGGAATGTTTGGGTCGGGCGCGTCTCGGCAACCCCGGGGATTCTGATTGGTTCAAGGCCCCCACGGCCGAACTACAGAATCGAATTGTTCGACTTCTTTATTTGGCGTTCTACTTGGATGTAGATGATTGATATTTACTATATTTGCTTGAATGATACTGTATGGGCAGTGTTGGGGTCTCTTAGTAGATACAAACTTCGGGTGTTAGATACGTATGATACTCCTTACACTTCGAAACAGACCCCTTCTATATTTATGTAGTCTCTTAATGACTGTGATAGCTCTCTAGATATAGTTCTATCTATCATACACAGATGGATTGAGCCTTCACCGGCAAACAGAACAAATCTAGTTTATATCGAGCACGAAAAAGGTTTCCCCATATTCCCATCCTGGAATTTCCTGATCTGTTTACCTAAATTAGCAAGATGGAATGGAGACGGATTTCACGGAACTCACCAATTCGAAGATACTTGCATAAACTCCACCTCCGAGGACTGCGATTCCGATTAGGAAACAGACCAGATTGCACACAGCATGCCAGACATTTTTCCGGTCATGCCAATTCCCGTCTTTCAGAAGTAAAAGCCACATCACAGGAGGGAAATAGAAAGACATCCCGGAGACGAGCAGAGCCGCACTGATAGCCATGAGCTCGGAAAAGAAGGGGATACTTTCGGCAACTATCCAAGCGATCAGGGTGACGGCAACCACGAGCGCCAGCCAGGTGACCCATCCCTTCACCGTGTTGACGTATTGAACCACCGAATCGCGATAAATCCGCGTATGGATGAACCGACATACGACCGTTGTATTGATAGAGCCAGAAATGAAGATCACGGGGAGGGCGATTCCAAACGCGATTTTGGACATCACAGGCCCCGCGGACAGCAGAGCTGGGGATTGAACATCCTGTCCGACAAATGCATAGATGATAGACCCGGTGAGCACATAGATTGAGATTTCGATGACGCCGAGTGCAGTTATCGATTTGACATAGTCTTTCGGCGTATGCATTTCGTTCATGAATGACGGCAAAGCACCAGCAAAGGCGTAGGCAAAGACGATGTTGCTGATAGCAACCGCTGCTTTAGGGAACGTGACATCCTCGGCCGGCCAGTAAGACCAGTCTGAACTCGCTAATCCACCGGGCATCTGAGCCTGTTGGATTCCAGTGCCGACCATGGTGACTCCGATTGCCAGAATGATAGAAACGAAGTCAACATAGCCTAGGATTGCAACATCGGCGAATGTTGGCGGTATCGCCAATAAGAGTAGAATGACAGCGGAGATACCACCAAATACTAGAGCGCAAATTGTACTCTCAGTAATATTTGCAAAGGCGATCATGCCCGTAAGGCAGTGGGATCCAACAGAGAGTGTCAGTTGAAAGACGAATATTACACTGAACAGCCAGTAGCCAAAGCTCCCCATCATCAGCTGCCCAATGTCTCCATAGTGGGCAACCGAAGGGAATTTTATCTTGACTGCTCCGATGATGTAACTGGTATAAATGGCAACAATTCCCATGCCAACGCATATGACTATACCGGGGATCATCCCTAGAACGGCAAATGCCTGGGGGAGACTCAGTGCGCCGAGAGCGATCGCTTCGACGATGCTGACCACAGTGAGACGCTTCCACCCGAGTCGATGGAAGTTAGCATGTCCCTCGATCACCCTTTGGTCCTCGAACCCAGCATCACCGTCATTTGATAACAACTTGGTGTTTTCATCGGCTTGTGGTTGTGGGCTGGCACAGCCCATCACGGGCGAAGGACCGTTATCGCCGGGGTGGAAAGAGCCGTAACCCCTCTCGTCGGCCATTGAGAATACTCAGGGGATGCTGAAGATGGTATCCTGAGGTGTAAAGTAGAGAAAGAAGAGCCAAATACGGCTACGGGGACATATAAACACGCTTATCTGGTTTTCTTGCTAAAAATGCACCGAGCGCTCTCATGCGGGGATGTCATAATCCCGGCTGGATATTCCGAATGTTTTGACTCATAAACTCATCCGTTGACCACTCGGATGGCATATAATTCTCACTATAACAGCATACACTATTTACCTCAAGCTTTGTGCAACGTACTTTACCTGCTGTTTTTCTGCTCTTACTCAAGTAAAGGCGTTGATTCATGACTGGAATGTTGCTTATCTCCGATTGAAGTATTTTCCGCGCGCTATGCGCCATAATTGCTTCAAAGACGTCTCGTGTCGTCTCTGCTGTCGTGTCGTCTCTGCTGTCGTGTCGTCTCTGCTGTCATGTCGATCGCCTGATTAGGGCTCTCAAATAGAAACACCGAGGTTCACTGCACAACATAATGATTTCTTCCAACCTTAAAGGTTGCATTCACCGACAGCGATAGAGTCGGTGATAGAGTCGGCCGCTCGACTGTTATCAGACATCGGCGCTATCAGCCGACACCGGCCTTATCTGGCCCCACTAGGCCCTAAGCAGTAAAACAAGTTTCTCCACATTACTGATAAGCAGATAGTACCATGTATGTTATTCTAGAAGACATGTAAGCTAAGGTAAGCTCTTTGATTTTTATATTGCTATCTTGGTACTCTCCGTATATTCGAGGAGCGTCAGCAATGGCCAAGTTCGATTTGATCATCGTTAATGGCAAGGTTGTCACGGCCAGCGATATCAGGTAAGGTATCGGATTTAGGGAGTACTACCAGAAATTTAACAAGGTTTCTAGTATTTGCTGCATTGGAATAAAGAATGGAAAGATCCGAGCTCTGGTTGATGGGTTCACGGACGAGGAGATAGAGGGAGTCAAGGTGATAGATGCACAGTGAGTAACTTCTACGCAAAAGCTGTGAGGTTTCTAACACTATGAAATCAGGGGTGCGTATGTTATGCCCGGCGGCATCGATGCACATGTTCATCTATGCCAGGATTTGAAGACAGGACCTCATGGCCTGGGCGGAGAATGCGCCGACAACTTTGAAACCGGCTCTAGAAGTGCAGTGGCGGGAGGAACCACGACTATGATTACCTTTGCAACTCAAACGCGGGCAGAAGAAGACCGCAGTCTGCTAAATGTAGTCAAGGCATATAATTCCCGGGCTGAAGCCACGGGTAGCTATGCCGACTACGGCTTTCACATTATCATTGTTCGAAACGATGCTGATGTATTGGAGAACGAGCTGCCAGTCTTGATGAAAGACTGGGGTATTTCTAGCTGCAAACTATTCTTGACTTACGAGACCCAGAAATTGACGGACTCGCAGCTTTTGGATGTCATGTTTGCTGCGAGGAAGAATTTTATTACCACCGTGAGTGGCTTATACAAATGCGCGAATGGGAGTTTTAACGTTTGATAGATGATTCATGCTGAGAACGGGGACATGATTCAGTGGCTTACAAGTAAGTTCATGAGCTTACTTTCTCGTTCGAAATTTAACATCAACCTAGACAAACTCGAAAGCAAGGGAATGGTCGGTATGTTTTACCCTGAGCTTGTCATTTACCAAATTCCTCTAACAGCCTCAAGCCCCGTACTACCACGCCCTATCCCGTCCGCCCTTGGTCGAAGCGGAAGCCACCAATCGAGCTATTGCCCTCGCTCACTTGATCCAGAACCCAATTCTATTCGTGCATGTTGGATCCGCAGTCAGTTTCTAGCGGCAATGAAATTATCTATTTAGGTACTGATTTTGATAGCTTGGCGCGGCCAATGTGCGTAAGGCACAAACCATGGGGCTCCCCATTTACGCTGAAACTTGCCCACAGTACTTCCACCTGACCTGGGACGACTTGGTAAGTTCTCTCTATATATTGCGTTTGGAATGATCAGGCTAATCGCTAATATAGAAACGCTTCCATTCCCCCACGTGCTTTGAGAACAGCAAGATGATCTGCTCACCACCACCACCTCCAGATATATCAGACCAGGAAGATTTATTCACGTGAGTATCACCTACACTTCCAGAACCAAAAAGCTAACAATGCCAGTGGCCTTCAAAATGGTACTTTCACCATTTATTCTTCAGATCACTGTCCTTTCCGTTATGATCATCCGAACGGAAAGCCATCCGGCGTCCTTGAGCATGAGCCGAGCATGGAGGGAGAGAAACACTGTCACGGAGATGAGCTCCAGAATCTCTTGGAGCGGAAAGAAGGTACTTTTCGATTAATACCTAATGGTATTCCTGGGGTAGAGACTCGATTGCCGTTGTTATATACTGGGGCTCTGGCAACCGGTCGGATTACTGCTCAGAAGTTTGTTGAGCTCACGTCAACGAATCCCGCTAAATTGGTATGGATCCTCACCTTTATATAAGGATGCTCTAGACTGACTCTTCAAGTATGGTCTATATCCCACCAAGGGGACCATTATGCCTGGATCTGACGCGGATTTGGTAATTGTACGGTCCCTCCAGATATGTCAAGCTTTTCAAGCCTCGCTAATCATGTGCAAATAGTGGCATCCTGACAAAGATTTTGTGCCTTTCCGCTTGACTAATTCGATGCTACACCACAACGTTGATTGTAAGTACCTGGTCCCTAATCTTGGTTCCGTTTACTAACGCATCTGGTCCCAAGATACACCTTACGAAGGCATGGAGTTTGTCAATTGGCCCAAGTACACTATTTTGCGTGGCAATATTGTGTGGGCTGATGGTGAAGTGCAAGGGAAGCCAGGAGATGGCAAGTATTTAAAGCGTGGTCCAAGCCAGCTGAGCCGGTCTTTCTCCAAGACGAGTGCAGATCCACGCTATGTCGCTTCTTGGCTCTACGATTAGTCCGGGCCTGTTCAATTTCATGTATTGCAGACTGCAAAGTTTTATGTATATATTCTATTTGACAATCCGGACGAGGAGACAATCTAAATGGGTCATAGGGGGCCATGTCTTATCTAGGCATATTCAAAGAGTAGATTGAAAAAAGGATAGAGAAGAGATCTAGAATGACCTATATATAAAGGACGAGAAAGATGTTCAAAGGATGATGTGGGCAAGAAGGCCTAGCTGCTTTATCTCTTCGGTCTAGAAGTACCTTTGAATCAACCAAGTTACACTCTGAATAAAGTTTGCTACTAGTACGGCTCGGGAGATAATTTTAGAAGAATCAATTCTAAGAATCAAAGGTTTACGGCAATGTCAATTGTCAAACTAATATAAAGTCTCAGATAGTACACTTGAATCCCAAATTCCCTGTCTGTCAAACCTAACTAATCAAAAACAGACAGTCTAATTAAATCCCAAAATGTCCCTGTCAAATCAAAGTAATCAAAAGCAGACAGTCTACCTAAATAACAAAATCTTCTTGTCTGTCATATCCAACTAATCAAAAATCTCAGGTAGTATATTTGAATCCCACATTCGCCTTGTCCGTCATATCCAACCAGTCATGGTCGGCAGCCATGTGGTTTTCAATTGCCTCCGCACGCCTCTTGTTGCTGAAATGGCAGACTAGTCCATAAGCTGTAATAGCGAACATTGCTACGATATAGCAGACAATCATGGCTATGGTTCCACCGGTATACTCCGGGGCTTGATCGGCACGGAATGTTTGAGGTCCGATGATATTTCCGGTAGCCCAAGCGATATAGAACCAGGCGTATAGGGTAATCCTAAAATGCGTTAGATCAGGGACTTATCTTTTGAGAGCTGTAAGGTCTTACTTCTTTGTGTGGCCGGCAACATTGGCCTGATAGACCGAAACCAGGGTGATGTAAGGGGCCCAGTATGTGCTTGAAGAGGGTTAGCAAAATGTAACGCATTCGGAAGTTTATTATAACGTACTATAAGATGCTGCACAGAATTAAAGTCAGTAAGAGTAGATAGAAAAAGGTCTTGGAGGGAACTTACTATAGGCCAACGAGCTGTCCGGCGAGGTTGGTTCGCGGTAACGCATAACACAAGATAGCACCAAGAAGCGGCAGAAGAATGGAGACTGCCACAATAGGCGTGCGATATTTTCTGGTGGTAGCGGCAATATAGGATAGGCCAATTCCAGACAGGGTGCTCATGGCTCCAGGAGGCATAGCAAGGAGTGAGGTCTGAAGAGGATCAAAGCCAAGGCCGGAGATAATGAGGGTGTTGAATGTGGTCAGCCCACCATTGGGTACCTGCAAAGCAACAATGGCGATCCAGATCAACCAAGTCTTGATGTCGAAGATAGCCTCCCAGACCTGTTCAACCTTGAAAGTCTTAGACTCGACACCGGTGTTATCGGCTGCCTTGCGCTGAATAACGATGTACTTTTCCCGGGGGGTTAGGAACTTGGCTTCAAGTGGGTTGTTTGGCCTGTAAAGTTCCATCAGTTCCGCTCGACATTAATTTGGATAGAATGGTGGCATACAGCACGAAGTACACCACAACTGATGTAACGATGGTGAGCGCTCCGACGAGAAGGAAGATAATCTTCCATGTTTCGAATGAGCCAGGGTAATATCCAACGACCCAGGCGAGGAAGCCGTTGATGATCGGAGCGACCACGTTGAGAATGATACTGCATCACTGGTCAATTTATGCTTCTACACCATAGGATGGTGTGCTGGTACCTGTTTCTCTTTGGTTGTTCTTCAGGCCGATACCACATGGAAACAACCAATGTGACCGCTGGAATTAGGAGTGATTCGCAGCCACCCAGGAGAAATCTGCAGACGAACAAGCCTCCAAAACTGGTGCATGCCGCCATACACATTTCGAGAACGCCCCAGCAGAGAACATTGAAGGCGAAGAAGGGAACAGCAGGAACCCTAAGTCAGTCAGATATTGAGTTCGAATTAAGCTTCTCGTGAAAGTATGATAGATATCTTACTTTTGCAAGCAGAAGGCCAAGGGTCCCATGAATGCCAGTCCACCGAAGAATGGCGCAGATCCAACCCATGAATAATCATTTCCGGTAAGGTTGAGATCTTTCTTGATGTTATAAATAGCAGCTGCCGAGATAGCAGTCTTGTCAAGGCCCGATAGAGTGGCGCAAACAAATAGCTATTCTATGTTAGTTTTTGAAGAGATTCAAGACCACACAGGGCTGGGGCTTCTCACAGTCGGGATAAGTCTCCAATCAATTCTGCGCATCAGTTTCTTTTCCTCTTCAACAGACCAAGATTCACCATCCATTTGATCGGCATAGTCGCTGATAATTTGGGCGGCGATGTCGACATCCTTGTTTCTTCCAGCCTTGATTGCTTTAACGGCTGCGTCTGCTGCAACCTCGCCGCCTTTGGGTTCATCACTGACGGTAACTTGATCAACAGCCATCGTAGAGTTGCAGTATCGTTCAATTGGGTATTTGGCTTTGATTCAATCAGGTGGGATCTTAGGGTTACTCACAGCCCGACCTTATATATGCAATGCCCATCTCGCACTATAATCTTTTGGTCGGAGGTTATTCCTCGGGCTTATCGATAGGCTTATCGGCTCCGATCGTCTTGGCTTCCAAGGTTCAACGCGCGATCTCGGCCAACCTTGGGACCTTCAAGCCATGGAACGCCCGAAGCCACCTGACTAGTCGGTGGGTCCCCTTATCAACCCCCGACGATAACGAAGTGGAGTGGCCACGTGAATGAGGCTGATTTTTAGTTGGCCGCGCGGGCAAATCGATCCACCGACGGCCAACTACACGATAATGTGGTCAGGCCATCCACTCTAAACGCGGAATGCGTGGGCTTGGGTGCACGCTAGCTGTTTTAAAATACTCGCGAGGGTATATCTATAAATGAAGCCACTCATGAAATCGAACATCCTCAGAGGTTTTCATTGAATCATCCAAAACCAAATCGTTCAAAATGGTATCCGAAACAGTCGAAGAGAAGCGGCCTCTTTACCCCGATTATCTCCGTGAGTAACATGTCCAAGAGTAGGAGTCTAAGCAGGATTAACAAGATCCATAGCATTTTATGACCCCCTCGAAAAGGTCGAGATGGTCGGGCCATTCGAGCACGACGACCCTGGTCATCGAGCCGATCCATCATTCCCGAATCTCTTGAAAAAGGCGACCAATGTTGTCCAATTGAGCCCTCACTGTGGAACAGAGCTTAAGGGTGTCCAGATTGTGAGAATATACGCTATCATTATATCGATCGGCCGAGCTAATACAATCGCGAACTTAGTCGGAGCTTTCAACCGAGGGCCTAGACGAACTCGCGCTCATGGTGGCAGACCGAGGATGTCTAGTATTCCGGGACCAGACCTTCACGGATCTGGGATTCGAGGAGCAGAAGAGAATTGCCTCGTGAGTCAATCTTAATCAAGTCAGGAACCCTTTCTTACGGTTTACAGTCACTTTGGCCCTCTCCACAAGCATGGATGGATGCCTCATCCCAAAAATGGCCCGGAGGAATTTGTCATTGTTTATGACTCTAAAGAGTAAGAATCTCTTTTAGTTTATCATCTTTTCGCTTGATCTCACAACTCAATAGTGACCTGCGCATTCGCAAATCTTGGGCTAGAAAAAGCCCAATCCAGTTCCATGTTGATCAGGTAAGATCCACAGCGTAAATTCAATGATTACAGGGACTAAAAGATCTTTTCAAACAGTCCCCCGAGACTCAGCCTCCGGGTGCGACATTCTTCTGCATGCTCGAGTCTCCTCCCGGCGCGGGCGGAGATACTATCATTTCTAACGTGAGTCTCATCTATGAAATAAACCAATCCCAGGAAACTAACAAATATTTACACAGATGACACGCGCATATGAACGCCTTTCACCCTCGTTCCGCAAGCGTCTCGAGGGTCTCAAGGCAGTTCACACAACCGCGAACCCTATCATGCGCGAGATTCGCGACAACGGCCCCGATTCCGTCCTCCGTCGACCAATTACTCGAACCATCCACCCAGTCGTAATCATCCACCCTGTCACCAAAAAGAAGGCACTCTTTGTCAACTCCTCCTATACCCAAAGTATTGTGGGCTGGGACGAGGAAGAGTCGGACTACATGCTGAAGTTCTTGTTCGACCACATCAACCGTGGACATGATTTCTGCTGTCGTGTGCGCTATGAACCTGGCACGGTGGTTATTTGGGATCAGAGAGTCACGCAGCATTCGCAGACTCTGGATTATCAGGCGGGTTCTCGCCGCCATGCTTTCCGGTTGACTCCTTTGGCTAATGTGCCGATTCCGAGTTTGATTGAGGAGGATGATGGGGAGTGTGCGAAAGATGAAGGCCGGATGATGCTGAATCTCTGCTAGTTTGATTAATGTTTGTGTACAGATCGCGTGCCTTGTTGCCTTGTTAGTCAGTTTACCTAGCTAGTTAGTTGTTTGTAGAAATCTACTCTCCTCTCTCTGCTTTAACAGGTTATCGGCCCTCTATATCCTTGTCTTTGTCAATTCCACCAACTTTCTATCAGATTCAACAATCTGCATACTCTCAAGTGGTGGCTGCATCTTGTAGGATACAATTTTGCAGGCTAGGATTTCAGCTCGAAGGGGTATGCTGAGACAGATATTAAGTTATTAACTAGCTAGCTTCCTGTTTGTTCGTAGAGAATCAATGCTTCTCCTCTCTGCTCCTTTAACAGTTTTGATTATAAATTTTATACATTATGTTACATTGCCCATCAATGTTTCCACCTTGATAAATCCGAGATTCGTTAGGCCCTTGACACCTGCCGCTCCATTTGCCGAAATACGTGTTGCCCAACGCCATCTCCGAATCCAGCTTTGGAGCTCGGCGTATTCTTTTTCGAATGAATACTTTGCAAGCTCGAACGTGGCTGGAATTTCAGCTCGATTGGATGGTGTGACGATTTGTAAAAGATGCACCATGAATGAACCAGCAATAGCAAAATTGGGTCGACTCCCTACCTCATTGGTTAGGGCAAAGACTTTTGTAAGGGATATATGGTATACTCACAACTATGCCAGAACGAATTCCACTGAGCTCCCGTGAGCTTCTCGACAAATTCGACAAATTCCTTCACACATAATAATGCTCCCTTGACAACCGCTTTAGCCCCTTCGTATGTCGCATCTGGCTCTTCTTTGTTTCGTTGGATTATTGTCGGCCATCGGTCCAACGGCCGTAACAATGCGCGTAGGAGGGCGACGTGGGTAACAATGTAGGAGAGGTAGAGGGACCCGTTTCCATCGAGGTCCCCACCGGAATTCGCTGCGTTAGACGTTGATTTCAGGTTACTTGGCAAATTCTCACGCCAATCCTTGAGCTTCACACGCATTGGTCGTGCAAGATCCAAGGAATATTGGAGATCATTAGAGGTCTTTCCGATCGCCTTCACCGAATAGAATGACCTCTGGATATCCCACAGAATTGTTGTTAATGTTGAAAGATGATACATGTGACTCTTTGTGTCCGGCGAGTCAGACAAGGTATCTTGAATGTCTTCTTGCTGGAGCAGGGATACATCGTAATCATCATCACCTAAATGACTGGGCATTCCTCGCGCAAGAGCGACCCATTTCTCCATGATGTAGAGTCCCCACCAGAGTCGACGACGAAGCCTTTTCTCCCAGGGTGGAATGGACATCCATGACTCTGGGTCTCGGTGAAGCCCAATAGTCTGTGCAACTGCCAGAGAAGTTGACGAAAGCGTCCATGCAAACGCGGTGTCGGAAAGATACATGTTGGTAGGAAGTCGCTGTTGAAGGAGAAGACAGGCTTGGAGAGTGGCGAGGGAAGGAGCGTGAAGTTCCTGCGATAAGCAAAGCCAACACAGACGATACAATTGCTCACTGGATGGCGGGTTTAACAGCAATGTGTAGAGACTGTCGTCATACATAACGAACGGAAGGGCAGTGGCGCATATTGCTGTCAATAATGCCAAAGGCATTCTAACTAACTCGCCCGGCGATGATGGGATCTGGTGGCTCGACAAAATTGGAAAATAAGGGTCAACATATCGAGAATATAATTTGATGAGATGCCACGCTGCAGTGGGATCCATCATAGCCCATAGACGAGGCCACGCATTGTCCGTAAGCTGCGGATCTAGCTTTGGCTCCGCCTTCTCCAGAAGAGAATGATCTGTGATCCCAAAGACAGTAGGGTGTGAGAGCTCGAATGGCTTTCCCTCTTTTTGGTGTGCATTATCCATGATTCGATACTTCAAGCCATTCACTTTCGGTAACGACACATTCTGGCCATCGTAGGCTTGGTGGCTCAGGATATGAATATCGGAAACCCCCGTCGGGCCAATATAGAAGCTAAACGCCCCTGGAATAAATTCAAGGGAATCCACCTGAGAAGGCGAATCTCGGAACGCCGGTCGTTCTCGACTAGGTGGAGACATTTCCGGGCTGGATGAGATGCTGCCTCGAGAACCGACCCCCGCCGTTCCATATCGACTGACTGGTGAATCACTTCTTTGCGGACTTATTGATTCTGCCTGCCGAGTCTCTTCTGGTGTAAAGCCTTCAACGTCTTTCCCATCATTCGGTCGGGTCTCGGTCAAGAGATGCAGCCATCCGTCGGGTTGTTCGCATGTCTCGAATGTTTCCAGTTGCTCGTATAATCTCGCCCTTTTCCGCGGCCCCGGACCCTCCTCAAATGTGCATTCTTGATCTCTGTTGGTGCATCGGTGACACGGCGGTCCATGGGGCATGTCGCAGGCCACTTTACGCTTTCGACAAGCATCGCAAGGCCGGCATTTCCGAGATTTGTACAGGCGACCATTCAGGACAGGAGCAGAAACTGAGTACTCCATTATGAAAGCAATCTTAGAGAATATCAGAGAGGAAGAAGAACCTCCGGAACGTTGAGAGAAACGGAGCCTTATCTTCAGCACAGACGCGTGCTTATCATGGTCAAGCGGGGACGGTTTCCACACTGCACGGCAGACGACTTGGGCCACTGAGTATTAAACCCTCATTGGAAAATATTGCCAAACAAAAACTTAGTCATGTACCCTCACATAAGTAAGACATAGTTATATATATGCTGTCAAAAGGCGGTGATAAGGGCGGTCAGCGGATATTCACTAGTGAGAGTTAAGTCCCTGATGGCCGGTTTCGTCAGCTGTATGTCACTAGGACTTTGGATTGCGGAGAAATTAATGTTCTTGTGGCAAGCAAGGGTCACCGGATAGCAAATTGGAGAATTAGGTATCTTTTGTAGGGAAACTACATGCAAAAGATACATAAACACAAAATAGTCATACCCTTAATTTCCATAACCCTCGAACTAATTATGGAGAAGGTGGAAATACATTTATAGTGTATGAAGTGTTAATTACTTAGTATTAGCATGCTTGAAGTAAGAGAATAGTTGAACCTGTACGAAGTACACTATTTATGAGGTGGTTTTTAAGGTATTCCTTCTATATTATATAGAGGCAGATCGACTGGATCAGGCTTTAATTTGATCTCTATCTTTTTAAATGTCATTTTTTTGTGTGTTCATGTACCTTTTGTATGGAGTTTCTATACAAAAAAACCTAATTCTCCAATTCGCCATTCGGTGGGGCCTGCCAACACCCGGTCATCCATGGATGGCCCTCTGGGCCCTAAGCCGATACCGAGGCTTTTGTGATCGTCTAGTAGTAAAACACGGTGTCTTATCTCCTCACAGCGTGGCCTCCAGATCCAATAGTGCTTTTAGATACGGACTCGATAGAATTGTATCCGCCACTTTGTCGTCCATCGGCAATAGTGGCAACCGGGGTTTATCGCCATACCCAAATTGTCGATGCAACAATTTCTTCATCCCGGCAATCTGCGATGATGACATGAGCATAAGAATCGGAAAAACTCCCGGGTGCTTCACTTACTCCGATCTTCAATGCTACTCCGTCCGCGAGAGCAATCAGGTTTTGCAACTCAGTTGCCTCTTTGCTGGACCCGCTGTCCTGACAGAGATCCCACAGTTTCACGCATGATTTCTGGTCGCTTGTCAGTCGCTTCTTATTTCTTTGTTGTATTATTGGGGCTTCTCACCGGTGCTATATTAGGTAGGCCGCTGATCGCACCCGCTGATCCAACCGAGATGGATGGTAGCAAGAAGTCGATAAAGCCATCGATTGCCCGAAAGGGGGTAGATGATGATCGAGGGAAGTCCTTTTGGAAATCGAGGCTGGAGACCTGGGCCATGATTCGAGTCAACTTGCCAACATTAGCGCATCTGCCGGGCTACGTTAGCGGGAATAATTTATGGAAGATGTAAAATGGTAAAAACACACGTCAGTTTCACACCGCAGATATTGGCAGATGACTTGATGATCTGCACAATCAAGTCACTGTCCATATCAATACCACCCGAAACAGCGGGGAAGTTGTATATGATACTACAAATTGTTAGCAACATTTTTGTCTGAAGACCGGGGTAATACAAACACTGGCAACGGTGATGCCTCTGCGATATCCACGAAGAAATTCTTGATCGAGGTGGAGTCTGCCAAAAGAGCTCCGGCATAGTATCCTGGTGGGATAACCATCACATAATCTGCGCCAGCATCGGCCGCATCTTTGCAGAGTTGAATAGACTCGCGAGTACTAGCTCCGCCAGCACCCGCAACGATCGGAACACCCGTCAGGTTGATCTCGTCAAGGGCAACGCGAGCGGACCGGATGAGCTGCTTCTTCTCTTCGTGGCTCTAAAGATAAATACTCTGTTAGCACTGTAGATTTTTTTTGCCTTAACGGAAGTCTGTTACCAGATGAATTGCTTCTCCCATAGACCCAGATATGACTGGAATGGTTCCGGCACTTGCAATGACTTTCAAACTGGTTAGTGAATGTTGTAGTTTTGTGGAGTTTCATGACTATACATTTCACATGGCTCTGGAAAGCTTTGAAATCTGGATTCCGAATTAGCCAAGCTCTCAAGCCAGTCTACCTGATCAGTCTAACCAATTTCCTCATCATCACCGAAGAAGCACGGCAAAGGCGTATAGATTCCTGTAGGTAAAGGCCGCATCTTGGGTGTTATTGTTTGTGGCAAAGTATTAATCGAGAAGCAGATGGTCAAGTGTAAAGTTTTGTTAGCACTCTTCTGCGGATTCTCTTTTGATTTGACTTCGGAATCCAGCCGATAAAGATACAGCCAAGATAGGACTTCCAAGGTTGGGCGAGATCTTAGGCGCGGCAGAGCTGCAGGGCGCGCAACCTTATCGATAGCGTTATCTCCATGCCCACGAGGCCACGGGTGTATGCGGGGACCCGTGGGCCGTCCATGGATCACCGTTTCTTGAAGAATCGCCTCCAAAGCCGGGGCTGTAGGGCGTGCAGCTTATCGTTAGCGTTATCTATGTACATACATAGATCCATAGATTCCTGTAGACACATCCATGATGCTTGTATGCCTGTGGGGATCTCGGGACCGTCACTCGTGCCTCCACGGCCTCCACGGTTCTCCCGAGGCCCTGCAGGCGGCGCGCATTTTATCGATAGCGTTATCTATGCGGGGACCGTCGCCCGTGGATATGCTCTCCTTGTAATCTGAGACCTCATTTCTGAGCATATCTTGCCGTGATATTGCCTATCATGTGGCATCGCTTGCCCCAAGCTTTTAGTAACATAGGCTGCTAGTGACACGCAGAAGGGCTGGCCGAAGCGGCAAAAGAGGATAGTGAATAATCACATGTTTAATCTTTTTTTTTTCTGCCCTTATCTCTCCACTCACACATCTTTGACTATCTACACGCCCGTTTAAGCTGCCTCGGGTGAGGCGCTTCTTGGCCAGAATCTTTCGCTTACTACAATAGTCTATTCAGTTCCAAGGTTGTATCTATAGATTCATCCACTTTTCTAATAGCGTAGAGATCTGCCTAAAATTCTCCAATTAATCTTAGTCCTTAGTATGTTGTATCGAAAGCATATTTTGTATTGTATAACTCCGATATCTTCTATAACTATCATGCAACTTCCAAGTTTGCTGATTGATAGTGTGCTTGTTAGTTAATTAGAGGCAGTTAATAACCATCGGGGAGCTCTACTATATATGAAATCGAATTAAGACCCCTCGGTGGAGATGGGTAGGTCCTATAGGTCTAACGTAGAAGGTTGTAGTCAACGAAAATGCTGGCGTCTTACTCGAGGTAATTTAAACAGTTGTGTAGATATAGTGGAAAGTAGACTTGAAGGCTTTTGTATCAATATATTGTATTCATTCGCTGGTCTTTGTTTCCAGGATCAGTCTATGTAACTCTTGCAATTTCCGACTATGTTCATCTTTCAGCGATGGTATCTCGGGAACGTTCAACATGAAGCCGAACAAAAAGCAAAATACTTGTTCCCAAATCTATTATCTACTCCCCCTAAAGTACAAATCGGAACAACGGGCTATCTTCGCCCATCTCTCCCAGCTGTTCGGGAGTATAGGTCCGCTCAATTTCATCAACATCCAAACCATCCCGTCGCTTGTTTTCCTTGCGCATCAAAAACCAGTGCACAGTAGCAGGAATCATGGCTCCGAGTACAGTCGCGCCAACGGAGAATCCAAATCCTAGAGGATAGACAGGTGCCTTCGAGATGTTAGCCAAATCCTGGAATTCGAGGTTTCTTCGGCCAACTGACCTCGCTAGAGATGTAAATATTAGATCCAATACTACCACCGCCCACACTGCCGAACAGCATCAGAAGACCGATGGCAGCGGCCCGCTTGGATGGATTGGTGATGTTGGAGCTTGTCCATGCGCCAACCTGTTCAAATTATCAGCCAAGATCCCAATGCCGTAGTTAGAAGGATAGCACTGACGATTGGAGCTTGCGCCGAGTATCCAGCCGCAGCCAAGAAGATTGCAAAGTAGCTCACACCGGGAATGGAAGGATGGTGCACGGTAATCCACAGGATGATAATACCACTAGATCGTTCTGTTTAGCTCGAGCTTCCACCTTTTTGAAGATCAGCTTACATCAGGCCAAGAGAATATGCGCCCATGATACAGAAGTACCGCCGCTGCTTTAGATCGCTGATGTACCCAACAGCAACACAAACACACGTGGCAAAAATGTAAGGAGGCGTGGTCATAACCTGGGCTCTCACTGCAGTATATCCCAGGTTTTTGACCATCGTGGGCAGAGTGTAAGACAGGGAGTATGTAGGCACGGAGCCACCCCACCAAAACAACATCATCATGAAGTAAGTTTTCCGGTCTTTTGCGGCTGAAAGCACATCACTCCAGCGGAATTCATAAGTGGAAGTCACCGGGCCGTTAGCATACTTGACGCGAAGAGAAGCATATTCAAGTTCCTCGTCAGTGAGCCATTTGGTACCTTTGCCAGCTCGATATTGATGAGGAAAGGCGCTGTTCATGGTCAGTTAGCTTGTTTACTTAAGAAAGATATTATTCGGAGATCTCACGGCAAGCAAACCAGACAAGCAAGGCCGGCAAAGATGGTGATACACCCTTCAATAAGGAATAGCCACCTCCAAGCTCTCCAACCGTGATGTCCATCCAGGTATCCGACACCGTAGGCAATAACACCGCCAAAGGCACCGGCGGTTGTATTCGCACCGTAGAAAATAGCCATGCGCGTACCGATCTCCTTGGGCGTGTACCACATGGATAGAATGAAATAAGCTCCTGGATAAAGTCCAGCCTCGGTGATTCCTAGCATGAGACGAATAACGATAAAGCTGCCATAGGAGTGCGCTTGTGAGGTGAGAGTTGTGATGAGTCCCCATGCACATACAATGAATGGGAACCATATCTTAGGACCTACTCTTCGAAGCATGATGTTTGATACCGGTTCGAAGAGGCCATAGGTGAAGAAGAAGTACATCAAGGCTAGATTGTACTGTGTACCATTCATGCCGATGTCCTCAAGGAGACCGAACAGCTAATCGCGAGAGTAATTAGACTTAAATATGTCATGGACATTGAAGGTAATGCATACCTTTGCATTGCCCGCATTGGACTTGTCGAGTGAGCACATCAGGTATAGAAAACTCAGTGTTGGAAGTAGGCGTGCATCCACTGAAGTCAAGCAAGTGAGCGTCTGGACTGTTTCATCATTTCAAAAAGTCTTACACTTCCTGATGAGCTTCTTCTTTGCGGGTCCGTTGAACACATTGTCCAGGTGAAGAAAGCGCTCGTATTCCAGCGCCGAATTTCCATCTGTCACAGTCACGACCTCGCCCTTCCGCTCTGTATCGGTCAGGGAAGATGGCGGCGAAAAGTCGGTCGATTTCTCCATGGTGAGATGTCAGAGTGTTGTTTTCGCCCCAATGTTTGAAAAAAATATCCTGATGAAGAGCGGTCTTAAAAGGTATTTTGGCATTTGCTGGTTTATCTCTGTCTAGAGCTTGGTATCTCTCGGATTGCGAGTAGTTGGCTGGATTTGGTAGCACAAAGATCGCGGGGTTCATCCTATCAGAGCTATACCATTTGAAGCACACTGTCGCTATAGCAAAGCGAATAAGATTTCCAATTGATAGGCCTGTCGTTGGCCTCTCCTTGGCCTCTCCTTGGCCGCGCTGGGACGATACCGCTGATAAGGGCGCCGTGCAGCTTTATCGCACCTCGGAAGCTTCGCCGAGCGGCCAACCGTATCAGCGTGATAATTAGATGTTGGAAGGCGAAATAGATGCATGTAAGTTTTTTTTTTCAACAGCAACTGAGGGCAGCTATATAGACCCAACTAAGCTGAGCTGTCAAAACAAGTCGCGTACCGATTGTTTAAAGTCAACAAAGTCAACAAGCACAATGTCTAGCACCACCGTTCTCACACCGGGAACGATCACTCGAGAGAAGAACGAAAATGGCGACCCTCTGTATCCTGACTACATGCGTAAGTCTATATGATAACAATATTGAATAAGCCCGTGGATGAGTGCTAAACTCTATTTCTTTCACAGCATTCTATGATCCTCTCGAGAAGGTAGAAGACATCGGTTCTTTCGAGCACTTTGATCCTGGCCATCGTGCCGATCCCAAGTTTCCCAATCTTCTGAAAAATGCCACCAAGATTTGGGAGCTTTCGCCGCATGTGGGAACTGAAATCCACGGAGTCCAACTCTCTCAACTTGACAGTGCTGGCTTGGATGAGCTAGCTCTCCTCGCTGCGCAGAGGGGTGCCTTGGTATTCCGCGATCAGGATTTCGTGAATATTGGCTTCGAGGCGCAAAAGAAGATTGTGAGCCATTTTGGTCCTCTGCATATTCATGGCTGGGCGCCTCATCCTGCTGCGGGATCAGAGGAGCATATGATTATCTATGACCACAAAGAGTAAATATAACCTCTCAGTGTGAAATGAAGTTCACTACAGCTGACACTACAGCCAGTGATCTCCGAGTCCGTCAATCCTGGGCTGGTCGAAGCCCAGTCCAATGGCACACAGACCAGAGTCCTGAGCAACAGCCCCCTGGAACCACTTTCATTGCGATGCTCGAGTCACCAACCACTGCGGGAGGAGACACGCTCGTGAGCTCTAGTGTGAGAGCATACAGCAGTCTCTCGCCTCGTTTCCGAAAGCGCCTTGAAGGCCTTGTTGCCGTCCACACCAACAACGATGGTGTCACTCAAGAAATGAAGCATGGCCAGCAAGCTGTTATGCGGCGCGGCGTCCTCCGAGCTGAACACCCCGTTGTGCTGGTTCATCCGGTGACGAAGCAGAAGGCTCTTTGTAAGTTTTATCCAGAATTTCGCTCTACGCGATCATGTTATCCCTAATAATGAGTGCCGCTAGATGTCAACCCGGTCTACACGAAGAAAATCGTCGGATTTGACCAGGAAGAGTCCGACTGTATTCTCAAATTCCTTTTCGACCATATCGCCAAGCGACAAGACTTCTCTTGTCGAATCCGCTATGAAGCTGGCACAGTTCTTGTATGGGATCAGCGAGTCACCAATCACTCGCAGACACTCGACTACCCCGTTGGAGACCGCAGACATGGATTCCGATTGACTCCTCTCGCGAACAAACCAATTCCAGCAAAGGTTGAAGAGGATGATGGAGAATGTTCAAAAGATGAGGCTCGGGTGCAATTAAGTCTGTGTTGATTACAGTATTCAATTCTGCATAATTTTGGCAATCTAAAAGAGATAGGCTGGGCTGTACATAGGATCTGCGCACAGAACTAAAGAATCTCAGTCTATTCCAAAGCGGGGGGGGACTGTATATACATCGGCAATGCCATCAAGGTCGGACGTGTCTTTCTCTTATCAATTACAACGTCATAATTGGAGTATTTCACCTATAATGATATCACAACATAGGCACTGCTAACTATATTTTCCCTATATTTACTAATTATCCTAAGATGAGCAATAACTAAACTCTCATGAGTACGGAGTAAATCAGATTCTTTGTACTTTCTGTTTTTCGAGAAATTTTTGGTAGAACTTATTTTTCTTCTCCAATGCCCGTGCCTTTTAAACCATCTGGGCACTGAACGAGTATAGGGAATGAAATCTCATCTGATAGGGACGAAGATATGCAAGCTCTGACACCTTTCTTCTGCCGGATGAAATGGAGGCGGTGGAGCCGGGGATGATCAGCACACGTCAAATTCTTTAGTGTAAAAACTAGGTACCTCTAGTGACATAAAAGTACATACTGAAACATCGTAGACCAAAGTACTGATAAGTATCCAGTCACCGCTAGGGTACCTACTCCAAACGGCGGGCCACGTGTTTCAGCGTCACGCAAGAGCGACCAATGAACGCGACCAGAACACCCACGTCCACAACGTCCACAACGTCCACAAGCGCTAACCCAAATCCTTTGGAGTTAGGTCGATATTTAAAAATGGATTGATGTCCCCCCTTCCTCGCATTCTATATCCTTGCAGGTTTCACGTACTTGCCTGGTTATGATATCATCTACTCATACTCAGCTAATGTGATGGCAGTGTTCTCTGAATACCATGAGGAGGAGGGCCTGCTTGGAGAGAGGCAATATCAAGCCTGGAAACAGGGAGGCCGGCAGCGCTCCCGAAAATTTACTGCATTGATCCTCATGTTCCTGCTGGGCACTTTTGCTCTCGTTGTATACTTCGTGAATGGAACCCATTGCAACCCCCCTTCACGTGCCACAGGCCAGCGCGACCTACCTCTGGCCTCTCCCCTTGACAAGTTGAAGAGATCTGCCTGCAATGCTGTCGATGGCGGTTATCAATACAACTCCGAGCTTTCCCACAAGTGGGGCCAGTATTCCCCCTATTTTTCTCTTTCGGACGAATCGGCCATCTCAGACGAGGTACCCCATGGTTGTCAAATTACCTTTGCTCAAGTGATCTCCCGTCATGGTGCTCGATTTCCATCGGCGAAAAAGAGCAAGGTATATGCCGAGCTCATTGAAAACATCCAAGCGAACGCGACTGCCTACAAGGGCAACACGGCATTCCTCCGCTCGTACAAATACGTCATGGGCGCTGATGATTTGGTACCCTTTGGAGTGAAGCAGATGGTGAAATCGGGAGCCAGGTTCTACGAGCGCTACGCGACGCTGGCTAAGGAAGCTGTGCCCTTCATTCGCGCATCTGACTCGGAGCGGGTTGTGGCTTCAGGAGTGAGCTTTATCAAGGGCTTCCAGAAGGCAAAGTCTCATGACAAAAATGCCAACCACCGGCAATTAAGCCCGAAGACTAATGTCATAATCTCAGAAGAGCCTGGGACTAACAACACTCTGAACCACAGCGAAATCTGTCCTACGTTCGAAGACACTAAACTGGGGGACGAGGTCACAGAAAAATACATGGCAATCTTTGTGCCTCCCATCCGAGCCCGACTCGAGGCTGATCTCCCTGGCATTAAACTCGAAAACATCGATGTGGTCAGTCTGATGGACGTTTGTCCTTTCGAGACAGTGTCCCAGAGTGACGATGGAGCCAAGCTATCTCCATTCTGCGACCTATTCACCCAAGCTGAATGGAACCATTACGACTACCTCCAGTCACTAAGCAAGTACTACGGTTTTGGCGCAGGCAATCCGCTAGGCCCAACTCAAGGCGTCGGTTTCGTAAATGAGCTCATCGCTAGACTCACTCGCACCCCAGTGGTGGACCAAACAAGCACAAACCATACGCTCGACGCCCCCGGTGCTGCAACATTCCCCCTCAACTACACCATGTACGCAGACTTCACGCATGACAACGGAATGATTCCGTTCTTCTTTGCCTTGGGACTGTACAACGGTACTGCTCCACTTTCTCTCACTCACCTCCAGTCCCCTGACCAAACGGACGGATTTTCATCCGCCTGGACGGTGCCTTTCGGTGCCCGCGCTTATATCGAGATGATGCAATGTCAGGACCCGGAGCCCCTCGTGCGAGTCCTCGTTAATGACCGTGTTGTTCCGCTGCATGGCTGCCCGGTGGATAACCTTGGCCGTTGCCGCCGTGGTGATTTCGTGAATGGGCTTACCTTTGCACAATACGGGGGTGAATGGTCCCAGTGCTATGAATAAAGGACTCTGAAAATAATTGGTGCGGCGTTGGTTCTCCTTTAACATGTGTTTAACGATACCCTAAGAGTAGCATCCTTACTACATATCCTTATTTTGGCCAGTGTTAATGCCATACACGTTACCACGAGATCTGTGTCTTGGAAACAATAAGATTGTACCCAAATATATAATTGAGGCTCTAACGCATGCAATTCGTCAAGAAAGTGATTCAAACAGCCCTCCAACCCCAAGAAGCATCCCAAATAGTAACCAGTACGTTTTAAGCATCTCTGCATCTCTCCTTACCTACCCCAATGTGTCCGACCATTCCCGCTAACTTCATGCGGAGCAGAAAGAACCCAAGCTTCCCACAGAGGCAACTGCTCACACAAGACATGTACACCGTCATCCCCTAGATCCCCACTAGACAAAGAACGCAGTCTCTCAATTGAAGTCCTCAACGGCAACGCCCTCTCCCTCACCAAAGCAGAGAGGCCATCACGCGGCAGCGGGGTAGTAATTGGCGACTGAGGATCCGACCAGGTGCCAGCCGCAAAACCAAGAGAAGACGGCATAGGACCAACATGGTAATCATGAACCTCGACACCGTTTGAGACAGGAACTGAATCAAAGTGTGCGGCGTAATCAATATCCTTCAGAACCAGCCGCTCCAGCCGCTCCATTTCCTCGCGCAGGACAGCTAGCACATCGCGCCACAAGCCACCAGGCCGGAGGTAAATGCCGAGGAGGCGGAAATCGCGTAGCTGCGACCTATGGCGACGTGCCAGTGCGATGATCTCGTCTGCGCTCAGGCGCCAGCCTTGGATGCTGAGTTTGCGGAGGGTTTTCCAGCGGATATGGTGGAAGAGTAGCTCGAGGTCGAGATCTAGTGGTGCCTTGCTGAGAAAGCCGATATGAATGGCGATTAGGTTCTTGGCTGCGACGAAGAAGCGGTGGAAGACACCTGAGAGGTCGGCCATGGTTGCGGTGATGTCGGTTGTCGAGTGGAAGGTTATATCGAGGCTTGTGAGGCGTCCGGCCATGGCGGCGAGGATTGTTGACGGGGCGCGGAGGAGCTGGAGGGTTGCCTCCGGGCTGATCTGGGGCCCTGTGAAGCGGATGGAGCTGCATTTTGAGTCGAGGAGGGCAATGCTGAGGTTTGTGACTGCGCGCGAGCAGGCGGTTTCCCAGTCGAAGCGGATATCTGTTGCAGTGCCGGTGCCAGTTCCTAGTGAGCGGTCGCGTATGAAGTCGATGAGGTATTCGTCCGCTTCATCTTGAAGCCTTAGGAGCTTTATTTCCTGTAAGGCTGAGAACGCCGCAATTGCACGGCGGAGGCGGGCTAGGTCCTTGTTGGTTTCAGTCAGGTTGGTTTGTTCACGCAGCCGGCGGCTGTGTAATTGGGATATTTCGGGATTCTCTGACCCCAAAGCCTGTAGTGTCTGGACCCATTCTGTATTCTGCTCTTAGTCAATTTGCTCGCTTGTGGTTGAGAGATTGAAGAGCTGATACCGCTTCCTTGATAAAAGGGCCGCACCATGTACGTGATGGTCTTCACATAGTAGGCCAGCTGCATATCTACCAGCTCATCTAATCGCCGGAAGCCGTGATCAGAGAAACGTAGAGTAAATCGATTGAACTTGTAAGGGGTGCCGATTCGCATGAAGCGCTTGCAGACGAGTCGAAAGTGATCAAGATCGGACACTTCGTTATATTCATGGTCACTAGACCCGGGAGTATGTCCATTTCCATGAGATCTGCTGCTTAGGGCTCGAGGTCCGGGTTCGAGAAGAAAGGACAAGATCTCGCTCATTAGCTCGTCAGCGAGATCATAGATGTGACATGGAGTCATGATCGGCGCGTGCAGCCGAAGCATCGCCTGCTTGTTTAAGTGGCAGCAACATGGAAAGATGGAGGAATTGAGGGAAAGTCGGCGCTTCTTAAGCTATCCCCAAGACCGAAGAGGCGAGTCACGGAGGGAATTGGGAAGAGGAGGGGAAACGACAAATAAAAATAAAAACAAAACACATAGCTAATACTCGACTCGTCGCTGTTCTCCTGCAGACACTAGTAGGATAGTTGACTTATCTCACCGTGCATGGCGAGAGCTCTCGCCCTAACGATTGATTTCGCGACCGGGGACGATCATCAAGGGCCTGGTTTAGCGCCCTCTGCACTGACAAGCCGGGCTTTCTGACCCGATCCGCTTGATTTCATTGGTGACGCTGCCACACAGGAATCACATGATTGATTGACTCTGCGGCCAGCCAGCGAACCTGCAGGAAAGGCTTTTCACCAAGAGCGCGTAGTGTCGGGGAGGGGGCCAATGTAGACCCCGCCGGGAAGTCATCACATCATGCAGGGTGATGGGCCATGCGTGCGAATTATGTGTCTACCAAGAATGATTGGAGGTTAATGGCCGAAATCACGATGAACTAATGTGTGTTCATGTGTCCAGGAGATTATCTACTAGCGACCGAATCTTCCGTATAATTACGTGCCGTGTGTATGCACCTATCAGACCTTCGCAAGATGGGCTCGGCGCCGTCTGATATCCGTGCTGCTGATTTTGGACTCGAAGCCCTCGCCATCAGTGGCCGTGGTTGCCTCTCCAGACTGGAGTACGTCCACCTCGAACACGTCAAGGCTTTTCCATCCCTTCTTCACCCGCTCTTCGTTGACGGCTGCCCCTCCCGAGTGTGTCTCCTTTGAGACAACAATTGCCCCAAGGTTCTCCTCGGTAATCGTGGGTCCAAATGGATCAGAGATTTCCACAAATTCAAACGCTAGGTTGGGTTGGATCCTTACGAGGACAGTCTTGCCATTGGGACCTGGCGCAAAAGCACGTTCAATCTGCGGTGATTTCTTTTCGGGTGAGAAATCCATAATGGCCGTCAGGAAAGCTGCAGTACTCTGCCAACGCTCCTCCCAACTCTCGAGAAATTCGGCATACTTTTTATTTACCAGCAGTGCATCCCCGGTCACCCCGATGGTCAAGCGGCCCTTCTGCCCCCGGTGGAGCGGTTCCAGGGCCAATGCAACTGCTGTGAGGAGAAGCTTGTGACCAACATGAAGGTGATCAAATGTGCCACCAACGACCACGGAATAGTGTGGAGTGGATGGATGTTGGTTGTCAGGAATTAACAAAGGGTCAGAGATCGCCCAGTCAGGCTTGCTTGTGATGGCTTGCATGCTTGCCGCCGTGATCTCCCGATCCTGGCTGCCAACACTGTTGGTGAAGGAATTAGCCAAAGTTTGGCCGACAGTGTTGGGTAGATAGAAAACATAGTTCCAACGGCGCCTCGAATTTGCTAGTGATTGGACGTCCAGAATGGGCCCAAAGCGAGAGCTATCGGCCTGGATGGCCGAGGTGTTCTCGCTTGCATCGACAAATACCACCCGGGTATCAATGCCACCTGGAGAGTCCAATTCAATTTTGTGTGCTGCACAGACAGCACCAACCAGCGTATAGACGCTGCTCAAGTAATGTTGGAGTTGGGCAAACACTTTGGCCCGAGGTTGGCAGCTCGGGGAAAGAAGATCTGGAATGGCCAGAGCAATATCGAGCACAGCTGTACGATTGGATCCAATCAATGCATTTGAGAGTTTAGTGTAGACCTCCACTAAAGACGGCTGGAAGGCATCTTTGACTTCGGCAAAAGAAAAAGCTGGAGGCGGGGGAAGTAGTAGTAAAGCCGAGGGTGAATTGGTATGGTCGGAAGCCATGGTGTGAAGAATATATGACTACAGCAACGAGCACTGGGGTTAACATTCAAATCCAAGAAATGGAAAATCAACAAGAAGCGAGAAATCAAAGAAATCACAGAACCAAAAAGAACCACAGCCCTCAATAAGTGATCCCCATCACAGGCTCCAGGAGGGCTGGGGTACCGGCTGAGTCAGCTGTTCTCGTGGGATGGATGACACCGCCCTCTGTCCTCCTACAACTCTCCGATCGAGATGAGGATGCCATTGAGAGCCAAGTGACCTGACAAGCTGGAATGATATCTGGCTGACACGGTCGTCTGGTTGGAGCTCCCTCGAAGCCCCGCTATATCACCGATTTGGTGCATCCCCTAACCTCCTTCACTGATCTCGATCGAGAAACAGTGGAGCTCATCCTCCAACTACGATCCACACCATCCCCTGCATAGACAGCGCTCTTGCTCTTCAGCATAGACCGCATCATGTCAAATCCCGCTTCCTACGACGCCCACCGGCGGTCAGCTGTGTTCAGTCGCCAGCCGGAGGAGCTTCACATTCCGTCAACCGGGCCAATCAATCCAAACTCGTCCCGCCAATCCTCCTCGCACGACTATCCCGCCACGTCGGACGCGGGTGCCCGGCTTCCCTCAATTAACGTACAACAGAGCTCCCAATACGGCGGCGACGGGAATATCAGCAGCAGTGCCCTCCCCGGAGCCTTGCAACCAGGGAATCAGAACCGCCCGGCTGTAGTATCAATAAATACCGCTCCATCGGTCGTCCCTACCATGCAGCAGTCATCGTCGCAAACCAACCACCGAGCGAGCATGATTAATTCACACGGACATTCACGATCTAGCCCGGCCGGATTCGACCAATCCATGTATAAGCAACACACTGCGCCCGATGGCTCGAAGTATCCCTCTTCACCTGGGGCATTTCCCCCTCACACTCCTCAAGGCTCGAAGTACTCTCCCCTTGGTCTGGCCGATATCAGGCCATCCGGTGAACACATGTTGAGCGAGGCACTTATGAACCCCGGGATGTCATCAATGTCTTACAATAACGGAGACAATCAGGTGCCAACCAACAGCAATTATGTGGCACCATGGCCTATATACGCAGTGGATTGGTGCAAATGGCCCATCACGGGCAATTCAGGCTTTGGTGGAAAGCTAGCCATGGGAAGCTATTTAGAGGACAGTCACAACTATGTATGTGCATTCACCCTATACATGAATATGTTCGCGCTAAACAGTTAACAGATTCAAATCCTCGATACACACTGGACGCAGCCAGATCCCGACACCCCAGATGCGGCTGCCGGAGAGATAAAACTGGATTATGTGAAAACGGCCGAGGCGACACATTCTTACCCGGTTACCCGCATCCTCTGGGAGCCACCCTCATCTCAGAAGCAATCGACTGATTTGCTGGCCACGTCAGGAGACCATCTTCGCTTATGGTCACTACCGAATTCCCAGCCTCTCCAAAGCTCGAACTCGATCACTCGTACCGCGAACCAGCGAGACCCTGCCACCTCCAAGCTTTCCCCGCTGGCTTTGCTGTCTAACTCTAAATCCCCCGAGCACACTGCTCCCATCACCTCTCTTGACTGGAATACAATTTCTCCAAGTCTGATCATTACGTCGAGTATTGACACAACCTGCACCATTTGGGATATTCCCACATTGACAGCGAAGACGCAACTGATTGCTCACGACAAGGAGGTGTATGACGTTCGCTTCTGCGCCAACAGCGTCGATGTTTTTGTAAGCTGTGGTGCTGATGGCAGTGTGCGAATGTTTGATCTGCGGAGCCTTGAGCATAGCACAATCATTTACGAGCCGACGGATAAGAGCGAGAAGCGTAAGTAGTCTTCCAGGTTATAATTACGTGCTCTGAATATTGACAATATCTTCAGCAGTGATGAGCCCCGGGAGCTCCAGCCCCCCTGGCCAATCGCAGACCGGCCTCTACCCTCCACCTTTGTTGAGAATCGCAGGTATGGACGACATGACCGCAACATGGCATATAATCACAAGCTAACACAATCCCCCAGCATCTCCCCATGATGCCCATCTCCTGGCGACATTCTCACAGGACTCCAGTGTTGTCCGTGTTCTCGATGTCCGACAACCAGGCCAAGCCCTATTGGAACTGAAGGGCCATTCAGCTGCCTTGAACTGCGTAGAGTGGTCTCCAAGCCGTCGCGGTATCCTCGCATCAGGTGGCGACGATAGCATGGTTCTCCTCTGGGACCTCATCAATCAACACAATGCTGCACCGATCGCCTCCCCTCCCTCCGTCACCCCAGGAGCGCCGCCTTCCACAACCTCGGAGCGCGGCCCCGCTGGCGTCTGGCAGAGCGAATACGAAGTGTCCAACATCAGCTGGTCCCCACAAGGCGGGCCCAACCACACCGGCCAGCCACGGGAATGGCTAGGAGTGTGCGGCGGACGAGGACTAACAGGAGTCGCGTTATGAGCTATCATCAAAAGAGGTCTTGATTTCCATATGTCGTCTGTTTTCATCCTTGGCGCTTTCCGACAACTATGGCTCTTGCATTAGATGGTTCGATCTCTCTGATATTTGTTTCTGTTTGCCGCGATCTATTACCTCGCGTGCGCACAGCATCCCCTGTTTTGCTTCGTTCTGTTTGTGTGCTTCTCTAGTACCGGTCGGCTTCTCTGTCTGACCCGGTACGTTTTTTGCATAGGTCGAGTGAGAACCTGGTGATCTTCATGGGCTACTCTTGGTCTATTGATTGGCCATACTTCTGACTTGCTTGGTACGAGTGAATGAATGAATGAACTATACATTGGATATGGGCCATTTGCTATTGGTTGAGAACGGCCTTGGGACACCCATTCTACGTAAATCGTTGTAATCATATTACCCCAAGCTTATAGCCCTGGTGGGACAACTAAGATTTATCATAGTGGTCAATTCCGCTGTGAGGATTTGACTGTTCGAATAAAAAGCGCGTATAGCTTGGGGCTCTGTGAATTCTTCATTTCACTGCGTGTATGAACATCTACTTTCATTTCCAGTTGAAACAGTAGCATGGCGTGACGTGAGTCTTAGTTCTGTCACGAGTCTAAGTAACAGGAGGTGGATCGACCAACGGTCCCATGCAGTAAAAATAACCAAGACAGCTCGCCCAGCGAGCAGGTATCATATGCACTACAAGTGTACCCAGACAGAGAAAGCAACCACTAAACAATGACAGTCTAATATGAACAGGTTTATGCTAAGCAGTCTCACTCTGCGTGGGTAGCCAGGGTTGGGCGACCGAGCGTTGGACCCTTGGAAATGAGACGATCTTCGAGTGAGCGCGCAAATTTGACGCTAGGGATGTCCACGGCACGCCAGAACACATCGCCTAGCCAGATGGAGACGGGGAGACAGATCAGCCAGCCAATGAGGAAGCCGAGGCAGTATTGGAAGTTGGTCTCTTTGCCAGTAATATTCCAGATGTTGGGCATGATGGAGTAGCCTAGACAATGGAGGACGGGGCCGTGGACGACGTAGAAGGCAAATGAGATATTTCCTAGGTATTGGGAGAAGGGATTGGTGAATAGTTTCTGGATGTCAGGGGAGTGGTTGATAGAGAAGACGATGAGAACGGCTCCGATGGTCTGAGCGAAGCGGTGCGGCTCTGGATAAGTCTTGGGGGTGACGTGCCACAGCCAGCCGTAGAAAGGCGTCCATTTGAAACCAATGTTGGGACATGAGCCGAAATAGAGACCGACGACAAAGAGCGAGATCCATAGGCCGCGGCGAGAGACCCTGATGGCGATTTTGCTACCGGGACTGAAGCGAATAGTTGTTTTGTCGTCTTCTACCGCCAGCCGTGCGGATGGCTCCCAGGTCCCGTTGATAAGATCCACTTCGGCCATCAGCATGCCGAAGAGAAATAAAACGAGTTCCCAACGACCATAACGCATGCAGAACCAAGTCAAACCAGAGACTACTGTCATGCGCACAGGTGCTACCAAGCGTGATGTCCCCATGATGACGACAAATAGGATAAGCGAGGAGCGGAATTCGAGAGGAATCGTCCAAAGGTGCGGATTGTAGTAGTTGTAGTAAAGCGCATAGTCAAATGGGTTCATCAAGGTCGCCAATGTGACCCACAAGTCATCGCTTTGTTTCGAGAAGGATTTATACACACGTGGATGTTGCTCGTTAGTGCCGAGGATTGTGTGTCCTTCCTTGATGACCTTATGGGAGTAATTATACAGCCCGAGGCGAACCGCCACAAAGACGCAAAGAATTCCAGCAATTGCGGGGATATATAGACGAAATGCTCGGCGGAAGGTTCCTGATGCGAGCACGGTGAAAGTTTGATCGAAGGACCTGCTCCGAATGGTTTTCAGCGGCTTGTATGATAAAACGTAGCCAGAGAGGACAAAGAAGATGGCCACCATGATGTGACCAGAGATCAGCATATGGAAAAACGGCAACTGGTGCATCCCAAAGTTTTCCCCGCCAAATCCCCATCCTATCGCGACCTTCCATGTGTATGTGAAAAGGAAATGGAAGTTGAAGACCAGCAGACAGGCCCAGCCACGCAGCCCGTCTAGAGCTGCGATGGAGTGGAGCTTCGCAGGCTGGGGTGGCGAGCTGCCTGAGCCGTCCACCCAGTGTTGTAGGAAACTTGGCGTGAGCGCAAGTGTCAACCTGTGCCATGCGTCTTCAGAATATGCCAGCCAGTCTTCTTGCGACACCTCGGGATGCGCAAGGATGTTCGAGGGGTGAAACTGTGACAAGCCATTCCCGCGGGGTGTGATCGTGGAGTCAGGTTCCGAGGAGGCAGATTCGAGATCTTTCAAAGGGATGTCGGAGGCCGAAGTCGTGGCCCGATTTTCGAGGTAGGATGCCATATTGTTATGTTTTGCAGGTCGGTCGGTCGCAACTGGGCATTTCCGGTGGGGCCAAACCCTCAATACACACGCCAAAAGGCAAATGAAAGCATTTAGGCCGGTATAGGGTATTGGGGAATTCGGCAAAGGGGAATTGGGCAGTTCGCGCGTCCAGCCAGATGCGATAAAGCCGGTGATGCGGGCTGAGGTCGGCGAATTCAGGCAAATACGTCAGCGGAAGGCCTGCTGGTTCACCGCCACTGAAAATTGCGAAATATGAGGGAGATGGAATTCAAGGATAGTCTAAGGGAGTTGAAGAGTTGAAGAGTCAAAGTCAAAGAGTCAAGGAGATCAAAGTAAAGACAAGGCAGAGAGGCGCCGATCGATTGCCGTTTTCGTTAAGCCGCGTTCAGAACGAGTTTCGATATAAAAGCACTTGGTACGGAGTATTCATATGAGTGATCATATGAGTGAGGCTATAGTTCGAGATCAAATTGCATGTGAATTTTGATCTGCATATATGTCTATGGATATATCCCGGAGACGTCTGACGCGTCAGTATCATGCAGCAGGGTAGTCAATAGTCCTACATATCCTACTTCTCTTCGTTGAATTGCTGACGGTTCCTATGTGACTTCCTAAATTAATAGTAAATAGATTATCAAATTTTTAGTATTCGAGTCCGCAGAAAAGTAACTAGACCGTTTACTCGTCAACATCAACATCATCTGAATAGCCAACAGGGAACTAATATCGACAATTCAATATAGAATTAGCACCCCGGAACTAACGTCCGATCTAAAATTCTTAGATATGGCATGCACTGAGCCTGTACCATCATTACCAAGCTCAGAAGCAGAAGCAGAATCAGTATCAGTATCAGAATCGTCAAAAGGTTTGGGCTCGTCTCCTCCTTCTCCAGTCTCCAGCGAACTTGGGCAGCTTCTTGATATCATACACCATAACGAGCCAAATCTCCCGTAGATCCTCACGAACAGAAATCATGGTCTTCTATTAGCGATCTGTCCTCCAAAGGGGCCTTGTACCATTTGTTAAGGTTGACATCCATGGATAGTGTATAGTTCCCAAAACAGCTTAGCGTCTGCTTAACTGCCTCAGGTGTCTACGCCAAGACATCTTGAGATCACAACCGTGGCCTTTTTACCGTCAGAGGAGACTCAAGAGGTTGAAAGATATATATCACGTCAAAGACTGTTAGACACTTGTATGAATTATGTGATTATCAAAGGAGAATGGACATTTTCCATGATTCGCTCGACCAAGTTCTCCGAATGCATCATATACTTCCCAGGAGCTCCGTTTTCCACGGGAGCTTCGCTGAACATTTTCGAGCTCCCAAGCTTCCAACGTAGAACTTAGACATCTCTGTGATCGATACAAATTGGCGCACAGCATAGACCATTGGACCTTGATGTCGCAGGTTCCCTAAAGCGGCGACGATCCTCTCAGCTCCCTGATTCGCGCGATTCCGCAATTCAAGAACTTCTCCCTTCCTCTTTGTCCATCCACGCTTATTGTCCCGCCGCCTTCTTTCTGCTTCCCGACATCTTGCAATACAATCTGAATGTCGCGATCGTCTGTCGCGTGCATTTCTTGATCAAAGTGCTCGCGTGGTCGAAGTGGTCCCGAAGTGGGTGCAGTCACGATGGATTTGCGCACGATCATGAACACCGACGGCGGCGCCTCCAATCCTCCACCCCCAAGCAACTCGGCCAGTTCTCCCATATCCGATCAAACCCCCCAAAAGCGCCCGAGGAAGGCTGCTTCTTACTCAGAATATTCTACACGTCCGCCCCAGCCTCCTCCGTTGCAACACCCGCAGCACGCTTCCCCAGAGCGAAGCTCACCTTACGCATCCGTTCAATCGCCATACCAACAATTCAGCTCGGCCCCTGTGATTAATACAGCGGTGAGGTCTCAGCGGAGTCAGACACCTCCACACGTTTCGACACCGTATGGTCCCGGCACGCGTGATCCATTTGGCGCGCCGGCATACTGGTCGCAGCCCCAACACCCCGGTGGTGGTCCTCTGGTTTCGCCATACACACCACAGCCGATGAGTGCGGGACCACAACACCCAGAACAACCGTCTTATTTTGCCCAGCAGCGTTCTCAACAGCGTTCTCAATCACTCCAATCGGTGATGACAACACCCCGAGCTCCAATCGAATCTTTCCGCAGCCCTCCTGTTGCATCTCAACCTCTTCCATCGCAGCACTTCTCTCCCGCCGCACACCGATCTGTTACCGGCACCCCCTTGGGTCCTCCTGCTGCCTTTGCTGCCCGTCAATCTCCGTCAACTGCCCGCCCGCCGTCCTCCGGCCACAATTCCCCCGGCAATCCCCTATCCAGCCCGAGGCCCACACGGGAGGCCCCGATACGAGATCAAGTTCCAACGCAATCACCTGTGACTCAGCGACAGTTCTCTCCACACAGTTCTCAACCGCCCGAGCCGACTCGCCTCCCTTCAGGCGGCTCAAAGCAAGAGCCAACCGAGAGCGCCAGTCCCCAATCCATATCCCGTCACAATAGCATCGTCACGGCCTCGGAGTCAGCGACCGCTGGTCAAGTTCGTTCTTCCGAAGACCGAATGCTGGTTGAGAGTCCTACTGCACAAAAGTCCACCGTGGCAGGATCAGATTTCCTAACCTCCCCATTGGCACCGGGCAGTCAAATGAACAGTTCACCCTCCGCTCACGGAGGCGCCCATGCCGTGGACATGGAAATCGACCACGAACCACGCGTCGATATACAACAGCCCAAACAAAAAAGAAGGAGGTACAACGAGCCTCCGATCTATGCTCGGCTGACTCCCCGCAACACAAACAGACGCCCGATTATTCCCAATCCCCGTCCCCCAATTCCGAAACATGCGCGAAAAAGCCAGCAGGATCCCTCCGTAGCTGTTCGCAGACGGTCTTCCTCGACAAAGGCTGTCACACCCGCCGCGCGGGTCACACGAGCACTTCCTATTGCTTCACCAAACACAAGTGTGCCTCGCGTCCAAGCTTCCCCAGCTCCGCCCGCTCCCTCACTTCGTCCGCCGAATTCGCAGGTGGTAGGCTCGCTGGGCCCTTGGGAGCCGTCCATTACTGGCTTCATTCCACACGAGGAGATTACAAAAACCCTTTGTGATTTCTTGTTTCAACATGTGGTCATGAGAAATGATGTCAATACCGGCCCAGTAGGCTCTGTTGCGGCTGCCAGTCAAGGAACTATCATCGAAATTGAGGCGAAATTGGGCCATATTATCGACTTAGACAGCAGAGAGCGGATTCACCTGCCAATTTTAACCGAGAGTGTCCTCAATCGAGAGAATGCACGAATTCGGACATCCTTTGAGAGCAACATGACTGTGGTAAGTTGATAATTCGATGTCCTATAGCGAGGATGCCTCGACCTCGATGAAGTTTACTTACCATGATCCACAGGAACAACACAGAGCTATGAATAATTTTCTGAATGAGGCTGTGAAAGCTTCAATGCCCCAGCCTAACTCGACACGAATCCCACTTGCATACGTGCACAAGAAAGAACGTGACACATTCTATGAGATTCAAGCAGCCGATTTGCCCCCGGTGATCCGTCAAAATTTGAACCCGAGGCACAAACCCAAAGTCCGGGTGACAACCGATGAACGAACAGGTGAAATTCTCGCAAAAATCGTCAAATGTCGAGTTGCCGACATGGACGTCTGCAGTCCGCGGACGACTGTGGACTGGCGCGTCAGTGTCAATCTGGAAATGGAATACACAGGCGATGTCAGCAATCTCCCAGTGATAGATGCAGCGGTCGTGAAAGGCGCACGAGGGGATCGCATCAAGGATCGCATGAGCTACCGTCACTTGGCGTACCAGGTGGACTTGACTCAGGTAGCCAAATCCGATGTAAGTTTATCCAACTGTTCTGTGTCACCCTCAAAGCAGTCTGCTGACCATATTACAGCAACAACCGGGCAAGAATGAGTTCGAGCACGAGCTTGAAGTTGAGGTCTCGGCTGATGAGATTCGTCGTCAGGGCAAGCTTGCTATGTCGGGCGATCCCAAGAACCAGTACGAGGATCTTGTCAAGGGCTTTGTGGATAATATTCGTCTGCTGGCTCGAGCGGTGCCGCCATAATGGTCTTTACCGCTTTGTACTATGTATTTTTTTCTGATTCAGGCTTTACTGGGGTTTAGTTTGTGGTTCACTGCAGATATGGTTTTTCGTTTTATGGTAAAAAGTACGCATTGCAATAGACATCATGCATGGGTTCTATGTTGTTTCTAGAGCGACATCGTTACCTAGACAAGGGAATGTCCCAATCCATCATTTGGTTCGCCTCGGTTTGACAAAATATATCCTGTGTAGATGTTCTATAAAAGAAACTAATACCCATCCCATAGTACTTGACGACCGATTCGAGAACCTTGAAGACAGCATCACTGTATATATGCTCCACATATGGTACCGATGAATCTTTTAGATACTCAAAGGTACCGTCTACAACTAAGGTAGTATCCTCAGTCTGCGGGTCGCCAACATTGAAGCCCATCGGCCCAATAACTAGACGTATTTCACAAGCGACCCGCCACCACAAGCGACCATCTCCAGAACACATAGTAATTGTGATAAATTACAACCTGATATCTCAACAACGGTGGTCTATAAGAGGTTTTTCTTATAGCTCAATACTGACACACTTGATTTATGTAAGGACTTCAAATATAAAGGTAAATACCTAGGAAGCTTTTTGATCACTGCCAAACGAGTAAAATTACTCAACTAACTAGTTAGATACCTGACTATTTCGTAAGCTAATCGCTCGGAATAAGGAATAATAGCAAACAGGTAGGTGACTCTATATACTCTGTACATGAGTCACTAAGACATATGAAAAAAATATGAAAATGAATGGATGTAGGCTTTCAGCCATGCAGCTCACGAATAAAAATATCCAAAAGTTGAAAATCACCAAGCCGGCAGACGGGAAGTCCATTTCTGCAAGAATTGAATGCGCTTGCTATTCATGGTCAGGGGACCCATTCCCCACGAATCGCCCAGCCACATGGTCTTCGCAGAGGTCTTGGTGCTTGGCTTAAACTGCGGCAACCCATTTCCATTAGGGTTTCCAGTGCGGATGAAGTTCGCCCAGTAGTTGGCCATCTTGTTCTCGACAGCATAGTCCTCGCTGTTCCATGTAACATTGGAGTACGAAGCGTAGGGAATGTTATTGAAGGTGTACCAGAGCTCGGAGCCGTGGTAAGCACCCTCATCGTGGTTTTCGGCAGGAGCGTGAGTGAAGTAGTAAGTATACACGTTACTCTTGGCGCCGCCTGCAGCCCAGTCGGCGGCCCAACGCCAGGTGCCGACGCGGCTGAGATCACGGTAGAACTCTTTAGCGCTTTGCGACGCCTGGGAGCTATTCTCGCCGGGATACAAGGCGAAGAAATCGTCTGAAAGGTCGCCAAAGAGGTTGCTGTAGAGATCGTGGTAGTCGGAAGACGTGTAAGACAGGTCTGGGCTGGCTCCGGACTCGTCCTTGTTGCTTCCAGTAAGGATGGGAATATCGGCGTGAGAATTATTGCGCAACGCTCCCGAGTAGTTATCCGTGAAGACGTATCCGTCGATATTGGGCCGCCACATAGGGGGTTCCATGAATGTGGCAGAGAGGTTAGCGAAAGGAGTGCCTTCCCAAATGGTATCGGAGAGCGAGTCATATTCAAGGAGAGCCTCCATAGACACATTCCGCAACTGGGCAATGGATGTCACATTCATTTGCTTGAGGAACGCGACTCCCTGCTCTTCAGCGGCTTTCTTGGTCCGATAGCTAGTGGCAACAGTTCCAGTCATGGGATCGTGTGTTCCTCGCGCACCACTCTCTGATATGATACCTTCGGCGAGGCCCTCAGCTAGCGGGCTCCACATAGCATCGAGGGCACTAGCAGAGCCAGCGGATTGCCCGCCGACGGTAATTTGATTAGGGTCACCGCCGAAGAGTTGAATGTTCTCGTTGACCCAGTGCAGAGCTGCTTGTTGATCCAGAATGCCATAGTTGCCAGAACTGTTGTGGCCTGATTCAGCAGTAAGTTCGGGGTGGGCGAGGTATCCAAATGGCCCCAAACGGTAATTTAAGGTCACAACGATGATGTCCTTTTGTGCCAGGCCAGTGCCATCGTATGTCTTGACATCACCGGAACCACCGGTGAATCGGCCTCCATAAATCCAGAAAAGCACCGGCAGCTTCTTGGCGGACATATTGGTCTGGTTCTTGTAGGCCGGAGTCCAAACATTGAGGTAAAGACAGTCCTCACTGGTTGTGGTCTTGCCACTGGAGAAGATGCCAGCATCGCTGATTGTTTGCGCGCATTGTGGTCCGAATTCGGTCGCATTCAGCGTGCCCCATTTCGATGGACCGGCAACCTTTGTCCAACGGTTTGCACCTGTAGGAGGCTGTGCATAAGGAATGCCCTTGTAAACGAAGGCTTTGTCGCCTCCGCGGAAGGGTGAGAGACCGCCATGGATTGTACCGTAGTGGGTGTCGATAACCGGGGGGCTTAGGGCAGAGGCGATGGACGAGCCGCAGGCTGCCACAGTAGCGAGTGTGGAAAGCAGCTTCATGGTAGGTATAAAAGAAAGAATGAATGAATGAGATAAAGTGTCAGACAAAAACTAAAGACTGAAGAGAAAGATTGTGAGCTCGATTGCTACATAGGTAATGTTACCTTTCCTAATATATTGAGACATGGAAATACTCCTAGGAGATGATGATACGCGGCCGCTGAGCAACGATCTGCCCTCCATGTTTCCTCATCCGAAAAGGACACTGATGATTATGTACAGTTTGGGTATAATCTGCATCTTTAGTGAGCACTCGTTTCAAACTTTGGTAGGAGACTCGGATATAAATGTGGAGTCGCAGATCTCCGTCGGGGCTGCGTTCTTATTCGGGGAGATCGTAAAACTCCGGCAGGTACCCGCATGTGGAGCACATCCTTTCCTATCCAGGATTAGCCTATTTCCCAATTGAAAATTACTGAAAATTACTGAAAATGTATTTTTTTTGCATTTGCTCTCCTTCTATATCTACCAATATGAACTACAGTCATTATATATGTACATACATGTGGCTAGTTACTATGGGTAGACTTTCCACATGTTGTCGGAGTATATCGCCACACTTGTAAGACTGTTGTAAAGATGCTAACACTGGGCTAATGCTGTCCTTGCATCGGAAGTCTCAATGTGTCTTCAAGACTGCTTAATGCCCCTTACTGTTCATAGTGGGCTAAGTTTCTTTGTATTGTGACCTAGGTTATAGCTGCATTCTATATTTAGAATGAAATCCATTTTGGCTCAGGCTGTTGAGTGGAATTGTGCTCGGCCGAACAGGTATCATAAAAGAACAAAATTACGGTGATGGTTACTTAATTTGGTCAATATCTTTTTTAAAAATTATCTTCATTCGGGAGGAAACTGCAATCCCTATCCCCAAAGGCTTATATCAGAGCCTAATCTAACCTCTGTTCCATCTTAAATAACACCAGCCGCAAGACAGAGTCTTGCCAATGGCGATAGAATGTGTTGACCATAAGTACTTACAAGGAACCTATATAACAAAATTCTGTCTCACATGGCAGAACGCTAGAATCAAGAGTGAAAGTTGCCCAGTTTAGTACTCGTGCAAAGTGGACATCCAGCGACGGAGGAAGGCGATGCGTTTCTTCGACGCGGCGATTGGAACCGCACCAAAGGAGTCGCCGAGTTGCATAGCAGAGTAGTTGCTGGAAGACGCAGGGAAGTGAACTAAACCATCTCCGTTGGGGTTACCCGTGCGGATAAAGTTGGCCCAGTACTCGGATATAACCGATTCAATCTTGTAATCGGTGGCATTCCAAGTGACATTGGAGTAGTCGGAGTAAGGAATGTTGTTGAAAGCGTACCAGAGCTCAGCACCGTGGTATGCGCCACCCGAGCCCTCTGCAGGAGACGAGGTGAAGTAGTACACGAAGACATCCTTCTTTGCACCTCCGGCAGCCCATTCGGCGGCCCATTCCCAAGTTCCAACACGGGCCATATCGAGCAGTACAGCATCGCTATTAGCGCTGGCCTGGGTGTCGGTCTTGGCAGGGTAGAGAGAGAAGAACTCGGCGGAGTAGTTACCGAACACCTTTGTCCACAAAGTCTTGTAAGTGGAAACGGTAGAGGCACCTCCATCATTCTCGTTCTTGTTGTTACCAGTCATGATGGGCACATCGGCGTGGGCGTTCAGCTCCAAAGATTCGCCGTATCCGTGACGGAGCACGTAGCCGTCAATAACGGGACGCCAGCGGGGAGGTCCGGACAAGAGGTCAGAGAAGGCAGTGCCCTCAAAGTAGTCGTCTTCCATCAATTGGCCCTCTCCGATAAGGTCAGCCATAGGGAGCTTGCGAAGCTCGGCAATCGACGAGACGTTCATGGTCTTCAGGAAAGTGACACCAAAGGCCTCAGCAACGGCTTTGGTGTTGTAGCTAGTAGCAACACCACCAGTGGCAGGGTCATGAGGTCCACGAGCACCACTTTCGGAAATAACACCGTGAATCAAACCGCGACTGAGAGGACTCCACATCATGTCCAATGCACTAGCAGATCCTGCAGATTGGCCGCCAACGGTGACTTGGCTGGCGTTTCCACCAAAGTGGGCAATGTTGTCTTGAACCCAGCGGAGAGCAAACTGCTGGTCCAAAATACCGTAATTTCCAGAGCTATTGTGTCCAGACTCAGTCGATAGGTCGGGGTGAGCAAGGAAGCCAAAGGCACCGAGGCGGTAGTTCAAAGTAACAACAATGATATCTTTGGACGCAAGACCGGTTCCATCATAGGTGATGACATCTCCGGAGCCTCCCTCGAAACGGCCGCCGAAGATCCAAACGTAGACAGGGAGGTTTTTGTTCTTAATCTCAGTAGCGGAGGTGGTGTTGTAGGTAGGGGTCCAGATGTTCAGGGTCAAACAGTCCTCACTGGTTGAATTCTTCCCAGAAGAGAAAATACCAGCGTCGGAGTATGGCTGGGCACACTGAGGACCGAACTCAGTTGCGTTGAGTGTCTCGGTCCATGAGTCGGGCTTGGTGGGAGGAGTCCAACGCTTCGACCCGGTGGGAGGTGCGGCATAAGGAATGCCCTTGTAGACAGTTACGCCGTCCCGGAAAGGCGATGCTGCACCCTTGACCGGTCCATAGTTACTTTGGATGACGGGGAAAACGGCCGCCGCGGCGAAGGCCGGGGTGGCAAGGAGAATAGAAAGGAAGGTCAACATTGGAACCTTGAAGATGTTCTCGATTGACTGTTATGCGAGGTACAGATTAACTGAGGGGTGATCAGCAAGACCTTATATATAGTCCATGGATATCGATCGAGCCCTACTCAAAATAGTTTCATGTAGAATCGATAATTACGCGGACTCTAGGCTAAGCCCATGTGGAGCTCATGTTGGAGAATGCTTGCCTGGAGATGGAACTGCCCCTGAGTATGACTGGTACTTACCGATATCCACACTGTAGGAGAGACCAATGGCTTTCTGTCGGGCTTCGACATGCGCCGCGCGGCATCCCTGAAGAAACATGTTTATTTGACGCGACGGTTGATCTGCAGTGGCTGTACTCCACCGATACAAAAGAAAAACAAATTGGTTCTGAAAATGACGAAGCCGGCAAGAAAGTGTCTCCGAATATGCCGAATGTCCGAGACACCCTAGTCCCAATATGGAAGTCCACACCGAAGTAAATATCTTCTTCGGCTTCTTTGGCCAGCTAATACGATACCTCGATGTTTCACGTCATTATTTGGTTTCGCAGAAGTGTCATTCCATTTTGCATGAAGCAGATCCGGAAAATTATGCTTCCAGAATATTTCTCGCCTATCATCATTGATTGAGATCGACAAAAGTCTGGAGAAATTGATACGATTTATATGAATATAATAAATCCCCCACAGTTATATGTCAATCTGACTGAAATCCTTGGGTTAATTGCTTAGTGGGATCATCGGTATAGGTGCCTGAAAGAGGACATAAAGGAGCAGAGACTGAATCCACTTCCGTCTTACGATATGGAAGATCTACAGCGTTGAATTTCCCAGCTACACCATCATCCAATGCTTGAATATACTCTCCAGTTTGATCAGTGGCACCAACCCGTTCAACCACTTCGGCAACTCGAAACCCGAAGGTGTCGTATGACCTAACGCTTTCCTCCTAGGCATATACAAAATAGAACGGGTTGTTGTGAACTTGTTTCGATATCTATTTAATCGCTCCCACGCCCAGTCCTCGTGATTGTAGTGAAGGATGCATAGCAACAACCTCACGGCAACATAACTTTTGTTGGGAGTGGCCTGCCTCCGATAACTTCAAACTGGCTTCATGTCTGCCGAGCATTTCAAAATGTTAAGAGGACCGCGCCAACAGAACAAAAGATAGCGCTTCGTACCTTGTTACCATGTGCTAGTGTAAGTCCAACCATCACAACTTGCAAACAAACCATATTCGCGATATGGCCCAGAGAGTTAATAAGCGACAGCCTGGTTAACTAAATAGAGTGTTCCTGCTTCTGGTATTCTATGGTAGCCTGTATATGGCTCTGGCGCGTAGCCCTAATTGGTTCTGGGCCGTTTGCCCTGGATCCGACGGCATCCGACATAATGCAGGACTCGGTTCTCTGCTTCTGAATTCCACGGCAATTCTTTTCTAATGAAACGTACATTAGTACAATCAAACACCTCTCTCCAGTCCATTCATAAAAATCTCCTTTTCATGACCCTAAGACCAATACAAACGCACGCTATTCCCAATCTGGAAGTCTGACGCAACAGATACTCACCTGCAACCACGAAAGGTCCGAAGGGAACAGCAGAAGTTAACAGACCTCCATCAGCCATTTGACCATAGTCCATTATACCTCAAGGCCCTTTCTCTCCGCACCTCCAATGGGTGTGAAACTCTTGGATAATATCCGGATCACAGAATACATGGCTTATCAATCTACCTGCATTCTCAAGTAGGTGGTATTGGCGGCACTGGGGTAAAGAATATCAGTGCAGCCACTACTGGGACTTCCAAGGGGATTTGGCTATATATCAAGGGTTTGGTCACGTATTCCAAGAGCAGTCGAGATCTAAATCTCTGTTGGCACACTGATAAACTGGAGTCTGGCACACATCATTATCTCTGGAACATACTCTTCAACTCTACGCACGTCTACAGTTCACGATATGGATAGGTTCCACGCTGTATCCTCTTTTGAGGATGAAATAGACCAGCCTCCGGGCACATTTAAACTTATTGGAGGTGAGGCTCCTTTTCTCCTAGATTGGAGTGTTTATTGACAGTATCCTGATCCAGACGACGCGGGAGATGAGGATGGGCAATGCATGGTCCTTCTCTATCCGATTCCCTCGTCTGACCCGAATGTACCTCTAGTGAGTCGGCACTGGATTCATATCTCCCTGATTGAGCTAATTCCAACGCATATGGATAGAACTGGAGCACCATGCGAAAATCAGTCAATTTCACAATTGTGTTGGCTATGACAATTGTTATCTTCACGGCGTAAGTGAGGAGGACAATCATCTCAGATTGGCCAGACTGGTAACATTGCTCCCATCTCAGGTTATCGATCCAAGCCATCTTTTGGCAGCAGATGACCGTTGACCTGGAAGTCACCTATACCGAATTGAACAAAGCCATGTCGGTAAATTTCGTCGGTCTCACAACTGGTTGCATCTTCTTTATCCCCTTTGCGAAAAAGTACGGCCGACGGCCAGTTTATATCGTCTCAACAGCACTAATGCTGACTACGTCATTTTGGACATCTAAAATGAACAGTTTGACAGAGCTGTACTTGACCAACTTACTGCAAGGTTTAGCTGGTGCAACCAACGAGTCGATAGCAGAGATAACAGTGAGCTATGTCTTTGGGCCGATAGTAAGATGTCCTGTTAATGTTGTACAGATTGCCGACTTATTCTTCGTGCATGATCGGGGGAGTATGAATGGACTATACCTGACATGTGTCATGATTGGTGTAAGTCTCTCAACCAAATAGCCCGGAGATTTATGCAGGTACCTGATGAAAGCACGTATAGAGCTTCTTGACCCCCATGGCTGCAGGGGCACAAGCTACACAGTATGGCTGGCGCTCTTCTTATCAAACAATGGGAATCTTCAATGGTGTCCTTTTCGTCCTCTTCCTCTTCATCTACGAGGAAACAAAATTTGTCTCTGTGTTTATTGGGCAAGCCCGTGCTACCGTTGAAGAAGCTGATCAACTGGTCTCAATCAGAGAAGATGGTTCGGACAATTTTGACTCGGGGTCTTCCGCCAAGGGCCCTTCTGTCACTGAACATACTCGTTCTCACCATGTGCTGGACCTCACTATACCGCGGAACTCCTGGCGCAAACGCCTTGCCCTGGTAACGCCAACACCAGAACCAATTTGGCCGCACTTCTACCGCCCCTTCTGCGTGCTCATCTTTCCCGCTGTGGCATTTGCTGCGTTTCAATACGCGGCTGGAATAGCCTGGCTGACGGTAACTTCCAGCGTCTTGTCACTCACATTCCCAGAGCCACCATACCTCTTCTCACCTGCGCAAATCGGATACACTAGCGCTGGTCCCCTGGTCGGAAACATTATCGGTGCAGTGTACGGCGGGTTCCTTGGTGATCGGTCGATTTTGTACTACGCAAAACGAAACCGGGGTTATTACGAACCAGAAATGAGATTGTATATCTTACACCTTCCAGCGATTTTCATGACAGGTGGCCTTATCATGTTCGGTGCGACGATTTCTAGGGTAGGTAACGGCATTAAAAGTCAAGTTCCCATTTGGGCTTGGGCTCTGTTGGTGAGTGAGTGCTAACATGCTATTTTCCGGATTGCAGGGGATGCACTGGATCTGGCCCAATATTGCAGGTGCCTTTTTCGGATTTGGTTTAGGCAGTATTAGTGATGCTGCATTGGTGCTAGTCATGGACAGTTACAGGGAGGTATGATTATCTCATTTCGATATACATGATACTTCTTTTGTTTCAAGTGAGCCGTTTTTACTAACACCTACTTCTAGATCACTGGTGACGCTTTCACCGCTGTGACGTTCATGCGCAACGCGGTCGGTATTGCAATTCCATTCGCGATCTCTCCATGGATCCAGCGCAACGGCATACAGAATATGTTCATCGCGTGCGGGATGCTGAGTCTAGCTATTACTGGGACGATTATCCCAATGGTCCTTTGGGGCAAGTCCGGTCGGCGCGCATTGGCAGGCCGATATCGCGATATTGTGAAGAATGGCCATGCTGGTTGACGGATGTTTAAGTGAATTTTGCCTGCGTGTTTTTTCTTTGGCGACGCGGACTTCCTAGGTGTAATTTGGTTGCCTGAATTGAGGCCGGGTGATATTGGGCTATGCCCCCCGGGATATGTTGCGAATTGGGTATTTCATGGTTAGATCTTTCATTGGATAATTTGAATGATATGGATTTTTACCATTCATGGCCATGAAGTTGCGGCATTGTATGTCTTTTCGAAGAGATTCCTGAAGTTGTACGAGATGATACATTGCAGTAGCTTGAGGATTCCTTGATAGGGTACATAGTACAAGGCACTCCAATTTCGTCAATGTCCGTTGGTCATAGGTTTCACATTTATTCCTGGTTTAGAACATGGAAGCCTGATCTGAAGGAGAGAGCAGGAATATGAGAAAACCCCTAACCCTAACTCATACACGACAGGACTTAGAATATTATTGCAATGTGATTTTGTTTGACTAGGAAAGGTGATAGGCCGAGAAAAAGAATCTACGTAGTCAGAGGAACAAATGTATGCGTAAGAGGCAATTTAAAGATTCGCCTTGTGCACGTCATCACCAACCTCTTTCGGCAACGCCGCCTCAGCAAATCTCTCCTCCGACACAAGCAGCTGCTCAGGGAACCACGAGAGATCCGAACTGACAGTTTCACCGAGGGAAGGATCCTGGGCGAGCAACATAGTCGCCACCGCCTTACCACCAAGCCAAGCCTGAACCATTCCGTCTCCACCAAACGCAGCACAAACCCACTCTGCCCCCTCAGACCCATGCTCAGCCCGACCTGTCACAGCTCCAGGCAACCGTCCTACCCACGGGAACCCATCGGAGCTGAAAGCCATACTGCCAGTCCACATCGCTTGCACTGAGTCGCCTTGCACACGGCCCCAGTCTTTGCTTCCGAAGATGGCACGCAGAGCCCCAGACAAATGAATATCAATGTAAAGACTAAGATCAGAGTCTGTCGAGACGCCCAGATCCGCTAGGCCGCCGTCCTCGCTCTGCACGAAGCCTCCGCCGAGCATCATCTGTCCCTCCGGCAGCTGGGTCATGTAGTCGAACCCGCGGTCGTAGTTGAAGAGCCACGAATGATCCTCTGCCTGATTGGGGAAATTGTCACCGGGGGTCTGCGCGGACATTTGGCCGCGAACGGGGAAGATTCGGCCCCGAAATCCGGGTACAAGGTGGCTGACATGGGCATTGGTGCAGTGAATGACGTGCCGGGTGGTTATGGTGCCTCTGCTTGTCTTGACCATGTATCGTTGGCTGTTGGCGGTAGTTTCATCGTGTATAGCGGTCACGGCGGTGTTTTCCTCGACGTGGAAGTGATCCGGGAAGTCCGCAAGCAGACGCGTGAGGATGCCGGTGACAAATTTGTAGGGCCAGAGGGCACCTGCGGGGCCGGCGATGACACCTCGGGCACGAGTCAAACAGAATTCCTAGAAACGACATTAGCGGCACTTGGAGCGTTCGGTATGAATGATCAACTTACCTTCGGGATATTGTCTCCCCCATAAGATGTCCATTCAGCGGCTTCCTCCGGCATTTCCTCCTTGAAACGGTGCATCCGCTCCAAAGCCGTCTTCCAAGGTTTATCGCGGAAATAGATGCTCAGGAACCGAACCTTTCGTGCTTGCGTCTCTGCCGTGATGCCAAGCTCCTCTGCGACAGTGAGCATCTCCCGGAGATGCGCCAATCGGAAGCGGATGAGATTACGCGCGGCATCCACGCCAAGGACATCGGCGAATCTACTATATTCGTCGGCTGTCTCCAGGATGTGACCGCCATTGCGGCCGGTTGCGCCGCTGCACACTGTGCGAGCTTCGAGCATGACAATGGATGGGTGGGAGGTGGAAGAGTGCTGCGAAGCGCAGTTCTGGAGCAAGTTCCGCGCAATAGATGCTCCAGTAATACCAGATCCGATGATGACAATATCTGCTTCCTTGCGCAGATGCTTAGCTCCCTGGCTGAAGTTGTGTGGGTTTCGAGTCCAGAACGACGAGGTCGTCGAACTTTGGGGGAGGCCTGGGTCGGAGTAGATGCGATTGAGAGCTTGCTGTCTAGCAGAAGCTGAAACCGAGGGGTCTGTCAAAATATCTGTAGCAAAAGGCATGGTTGCTGAAACGTCAGAGCCACAATAGAGAGGAAAAGAAGAGAGATAGGCGAGAGAGAATAAGTAACTCGCAAGGAGCCAGAGTAGGAGATGACAACACTCCCCAGGTCTTACGCGAGATCGAGAAGATAGGTGGGAAGAATATAAAAGAAAACAAAAAAAGGAGGCTGAAGTAGTCAGGCCCACCATTAGATCGCAAAACAGAAGTAGCAATCAGAAGTAGCCTTTGGATTTGCCTACCTGGTACCTACAACAGTACCGAGGTTGACTTACCATGCTGATGCACCTATTGACTCCCATAATGAGGTAATCTCTTCTCAAGGGTTTCCTGTCCGCGGATACCACCTGAGCACCTGCATATGCCCCATCTGATAGAGTTCAAGATAAGGCGCTGGTGGGTCAATCTTGTCGTTGATTGTGGGGATTTTAGAACACATCTGAACACCATAAGATCATGAGAATTACGGGTATCGTTAGGGTACACTCACTAGCTTTTTTTCCGGTTTTGTATCTAACTCTCATTCTAACTTGGGAAGAGGCCGAGGTCTTGTTACATTTCACATTGAATTTAAGCCGGTTCGCGCGGTTAGCTGAATCGGGTAATAATGTGACTTGATGTTCGATCTGGGAATACCTGGATCGATGTGTTTTATTCGAGCAATTTCCCCTCGACATCAAGCCTAAGAGATGGTGGTCAAGTAAATACAACCAATAAAGTGAATTTGAGGTTGGAGAGGGGCTTGAATAAATGACAGCATACAGAGGGGTTGCATTTCCGGTTAGAGAGTTGGAGACTTTAGAGTCTATTATAGCTGACATTCACTCTACGTCATTATCTTTCTAATATTTGATAATATTACCATGCAAGAATAGTAGAAATGAAAATGAAGCGATGTGATTGTACAACCCGAGTGTTATCGCAGACTCGTTCAGACTCAAGCATCACCAAGCCATGTGGGAAACCAAGATAAGTGAAAAAAGCGGAGGTGGTTACATCGTATCGCAGCCGAGCAATAAAGTACATAGAAGGTACATAAAAAGGGAGATAGCCATAAAGTCACAAACGTGAAACCACATCTACCCCACCTCTAGAATGACATCCAAAGCACACCCCAGCAGCTGGCAAATCCTCGTCGCTGCCAAACACCATGAATGCGAGCAAAAAATTCCCCGAGACTGGCTTCTCAGCGCAGACCAGCTGGCGCTCGCGCAGGAAACTCCTCGTCTACTAGATATTGATCTTCCTCGTCGCAGTAATCTGCTCTCGGATATCGAATTAGAGTTGACAGAAAGTTATACCGCAATTCAGCTGTTGGACAGGCTGGCATCGGGGCACATCAGTTCGTTAGCTGTCACAACGGCATTTTGTAAGCGGGCTGCTATTGCGCAGCAGGTTGTGAGTACAGCGCATTCCTGAAAGGATAAAGGAGCAGTGGGCTTAATATAGGTTTTGTGCAGACCTCGTGTCTCACAGAGACCTTCTTCCCCGAGGCGCTAGAGCGCGCCAAGTACCTGGATCAGTACCTCCAGCGGGAGGGAAAGCCCGTTGGTGCGCTACATGGCCTGCCCATCAGCATCAAAGACAGTTTCTGCGTCGAAGGTGTGCAGTCAACCATAGGATATGTCGCATTTCTCGAGAATGAGCCCGCGAAGACGAACTCCGCGCTAGTGGAGATGCTGCTACAGCTTGGCGCGGTGTTATACGTGAAGACGAACATCCCACAGACAATGATGGTAAAAAAACACCAAATGACTCGGAATATGGTCAATAAGTGAATCTAATAATCACCCAGACAGCAGACTCGGAGAATAACATCTTCGGCCGCACCCTTAATCCACACAAGACAACCCTAACAGCGGGCGGATCTAGCGGCGGCGAGGGTGCACTAATAGCATTCCGGGGGTCAATTCTGGGCGTGGGGACTGACATCGGTGGCTCGATTCGCATTCCCGCGCTATGCTGCGGTGTATACGGCTTTAAGCCAACAAGCAACCGTATACCCTACGGCGGACAGGTCTCCGGCGCCGTACAGGGGATTCCAAACTTGATTCCAGCTGCAGGTCCTCTGGCACATAACATCGCCGATATCAAGCTGCTGATTGGTTCCATCGTCGCTGATGGCCAGGCGTGGAAGTATGACTCTGCTGCCGTTGGAGTCCCGTGGCAAACCATCCCGCCTGGTATCAACGCCAGCAAAAGCTTGACCATCGGCATGCTTGCTGAGGATAAGCATTTCCCGCTTCATCCGCCTGTAAAGAGGGCTCTAAATCAGGCGTTTGAGGCCTTGACGCGCACAGGACATCATGTCGTCCGAATTGGTGGTGACGATGAAGCACAGAGTTTGGCATATGCGTCACGTGTTGCGTTTCAGTATTTCAACTACGGCCCGCACAAGGATCTTGTTTCGGCCAGTGGGGAGCCCGTTGTGACTTCGGTTGCTAAGACTGCGGGACCGATGTCCTCTGGCCCGTTCCCTGCTCAGCAAGGTCTAGGACCGTTTGAGACTATACAGGCGTTGCATGTGGCTCGCCAACGGATTCATGATGTTTGGAGACAGACATGGGTGGACCAGAAGCTTGATGTGATTCTGGCTCCTGGAGCTCAGAGCACAGCTGTGAGCCATGATACGTATGGATGGCCTGCTTATACGGTGATATGGAACGTCTTGGATGTAAGTCTTTCATTCTTATTCTGCTTGCTTGACCTTGATTCTCTGAGGTCTATACCAACTTTCGCCGATCTAGTATCCCGCATGCATTATTCCATTTGGAAAAGCGTCCAAAGAGCTTGATCCCGATCCTATGACAACAAGTAACGATGCGCAACCAGACTGTCAGTGAACCCGTCTCTTTTATCGAATAGATTACTGACAGGTACCAGATCACCCCGATGAGGTAGATGGCGCCCCATGCGCTATCCAGGTCATTACGCCGCGCTTCCAAGATGAGAAGTGCCTGTGGGCGGCGGATATCATTGACCGTGTATTGGCCGTTCATGGCAAGGAATAATGGAAAGCTATATGGCTGTTGGCACTGCGCCCACCTAGTCTTCTTAGGCGAAAGTCTGGCTGGATGGCTAGGTATGCTCGGAAAATTCATGGGTATGCCATTCAAGATCATACGAGTTTAGTGACTAGGAAATATCATTTGGCGCCGGTTGCTGTTCTGCAAGAAAATAAATTCAAAAGGTAGAATACATATGTGAAACCGGTTCTGCTCCGTTTGATATCTTAAAAGGAGTGTGGAAAGGACAAGATGTTGGTACTTGGAAGAGAAAAGAGGACAAGAACTACGGACTCGGGCTATCGTCGTACCGTGGTCCTCCGTCATTGCCACCATACCCGGCACCAGGTGTAGCAGCCATTCCACCCATCGCCGGAGTGGGCGCATCAAACGCGGCAGGGGTTGGAGCGTCATAGTCTCGTTTTGAGGGGCCACCGGGAGTGGGTGCGCTGAAAGCTCCACCAGGGGTGGGGGCACTTTCGGCCCATCCGCCAGGAGTTGGCGCGCCAGGGGTCGGAGCAGCGTATGCACCAGGGGTGGGAGCGGAGTAGTTTCCACCAGGGGTCGGGGCATCGTCAAAATCACGTTGGTCTCTGCCGCCGGACATGCTGTTCCAGCCGGGAGTCCGGCCGCCTGTGGCACCACCGGCATTCCAGCCAGGAGTCCGAGATCCAGAGGCGAAGGCATCGAAGCCGGAGCTGGAGTCGTATGGTGTCTTAGATCCTGATGTCCAGGACGGGGTGCGACTGCCAACTCCTCCATATGCGGTACGGTTTCCGTCATACGGGTTCGCGGTACGAGAGCCGTCATTCTTCCAGGCTGGAGTACGGCTGCCATTCAAGCCACCCCAAGCAGGAGCTATATAATGATGATTAGCAACTTCATCAACTTTTCCAAGATGATTGTACTCACTTCTCGCAGCAGCGCCACTCCAAGCGGGGGTCCTAGATGAATCGGCGGCGATTGGCGTTCGGCCACCAGCCCAGCTATCTCTCCCAGGACCGCCCGAAGAAGTGTGTGGAGTTCGCCCTCCAGGGCCACCTCCTCCTCTTCCGCGGCCCATAGAGAGAGGCTGTTTGGAAACGGGACTGTGAAAAGTTAAAAACACTGTGGACCAAAGCAATGGAGGAGTAACATACTCTTTAGGTGTTAAAATTTCACGCGGGATGTGTACGGGCTTGTTAGATGTGTAAAGTTCAACTTGTGCAGAGCTGTCGTCCGCGTCGCGGACAATACCGACGAGACCCTTATAACGACCCTTGCGGATAGTCACAGTCTTTCCGATCAGCTGATCGCGGCCGCGACGGGGTGGTGGCATTGCGGCACCACCTCCAGGGGTTTGCATTGCCAGGGCAGGGTTCATCTTGGTGAGATCAGGTCCAGTGGGCCGACCACCTCTTGCTGATACGGTAACAACATTCGTTGTCCGCACGACGGAGATACCTGCGTTCTCGGCTTGCGCCTTATTATGCAAGAAAAGGAACGAACGGTGAATGTGACGGATGACTCCACTGCGCTGCTCTCCGTAGACCTCACGAACAGTATCACCACTTCGAATCTCTGCGCCATTGCGATCAGTAGCCACAGCGTCGCGACGGGGCTCAATCTTGTTTGCGATTTGCGTAGGAAGAATGTTGCGGATAGAACCATTCTGGTCTATCACACGGAGGGACTCCCGGTCCACTTTGATGACACAAGCAACAGTGGCGGCATCGAGCTGAACGAGATCATGAACATCGTAGATGCCGAGTTGTCCATCGGCAGCCATCTCAGCAGAAAGTCGAAGATCCTTGCTGAAAATTGTGATCTCCTGCATACTCATATCGCTGAGAAGAGTGACGGTGTCATCCTTGACCTGCACGACCATGCCCAATTCGTTCTGATATCGACTGCCGCCGATAACCTTGACGTGATCACCTTCACGGAATCGTTTACGGAGAGTTCGAACAGGAGCGTCGATTGTCTGACCGGCCAGTTCGCCCTCCGTGACTTGCAATGAAATAATGTCACCTCGAGTTGACACTGTGCGACCAATAAGACCCTGCTGTTCACCCCGGTAAACCTCCACTGGATCACCCGGTTGGTATGAGTCTTCGGCGGTGGAGTTCTTCAGAGTCTCGGCCAGTGACGCCAGATCCAGATTGGCAGTCCCATCTTCTCCTCCACGCGCGAACATTGTAACCTCCTCTAGCCGGGGGTTCACATTCTTGGCATTCAAGTGCTGAACACGCATATCCTTAATCAGGAAGCCATCCACGTAGTTGTCGTTCAAGTAGTTCCATGATTTTCCACCTAGACCAGAAGTAGACGAAAGATATTTTGCGTGCTTCTTTTTCGCCTCTGTCTCACTGAAGAGACGCTGGGGAGGGCGGACTGTGTTGACAGCACCGCGTTTGCGTTTAGCATCGGCGGCAGGGGCACCAAAAGCATCGTCATTCATGCCATAGTCCAATCGAGGAACAAGTCTGACAGTGACATTCAATCCATTGGTTTCGACCTCCTCAATCTGGGCCAGATCGCCCATGTATTTGCCACGCTTGATGCGAATCCAACCACCAGGCAAAAGCTCTTCTGATTTCTGCACGCGAAGAAGATCTGGCATCTCCTTCACTGGAACTAGGGTCAGCTTTTGGGATGGGTAGTAGAAGTTAATGGCCTCCAAGCCTTCAGTAACATCGGCCTGCCTGCGCGCTTCACAGTAGAACCAGCCTTGCATAATGTTTCCGCGTTCAAAAGCCGAGATGATTCGAATGGGATTGCGGGAGCCCGCTGGGCGCTCTTCAATTCGTTTCTGAATTGAATATACGACCTCCTTTTCCTTGCCAGGCTTGCAGCGACCACCCCAAATGCTCGGGTCTTCCACGCTGGGAAGCAGGAGTCGTTTCGGGATCACGAGGGAATCTGTTGCGGCAGCACGGTTGCGTCCATATCGTTCCTTCAGCATCTGTGCTTGCTTCTCTGCGTCCATGCTAGCGTCAATCTCGCGCTGGCGATCCAGTTGTCGATGGCGGCGGTCGTCTGTCTCGGTGCCTTGAGGTAGCGCGTCAAGATCATCCGGGTGTGTTTCCATGCCATATTCGGCGAGCTCATCTTCCTCATCATCGGCCTCGTCCTCCTCGTCATCGACACCGGCCTCGTCTTCGATGAATGGATTGGCAACGCGCTTCATTCGCTTTTGTGGACGACTCGCCTGAAAATCGAAGATACGCGTTAATAAAGATATCCTCCATTACTAGGTCTCCATAGAGAACATACCACATCCTCTTCCTCATCTTCGTCTTCCTCCTCGTCGTCATCGTCCACTTCATTCTCGATCTCCTCGTCGTCTTCGACATCCTTGGCATCGTCCTGCTCATCAGCGCCATCGCCACCTGAGTGTTCTTTCTTGGTTGGCTGTTTCGCACCCATTTGTTAGCGTTTTGTCCATCGAGGTTTGACCGAAATGCATAGACCGACCTTGACTTTGAGATCCTCGGCATCAGACTCTTCTTGGGGAGCAGGGTTAAAGTCATCCTCCTCGTCCTCGGAGCCGAAGTCTTGGTTGAGAAAGTTTGACATTTTGGCAAGTAGTATCTAGCGCGCTATTGCAGATAATCCGGTCGCCACTTTCGACAGTATTTAGAGTTCAGATATAGTCGGATTTCTATCAATCACCAGGAGAATCAGTGACCGAAAAGACGAAGCAAACATGCGAGGAAGACAAACCGTACCCAAGGAAACCGCGCTACAACTTGAAGGCTGGGAGATAGAGGTGGATAACAGGATGCAAAGTGTCAAGTATTTTTTGACGGACAGCCAATTCCGCGCAGCGTGAAGTCAATTGAGGTTGATCCAAACGAGGGAAAAGCGACTGGAAAGTTGAGAGGAGGCACAGCAGACAGTTGACCTCTGCGGGCAATCACCGAGTTCCGCGACCGCTTACAAAGAACACTGATCGAAATGGAGACCTCTGGGTCTGTGAGAAGAAAAAATAACCTGACCACAATGCAGGCGGAATTATACCTCTTCTTATAAAGGGTAGCTTGAGAAAGGGAAAATAAGGAATTCAAGTGCCGGGGCGTGGAGGTCGAGTTGCTCAGAGGCACAATCCTTGCGTAGATGGTCATTGTGGTGCGCCGTACTTGCCTTTTGAGTCCAGCACTACTGATGATCGTCGGACACGTTGACCCACTTTTCTCTACTTTCTCTATATCCAAATCCCCATTCGAGGATTTTGACAGCACTCGAAGGTCCGAACTACCAAACGGACTATGACAAGTGCTACACGACGCGCGAGTCCCCCATTTATCACGCGTCGGAAAACGTAGACTAATCCTGTGATCAGATGACTCCTCCATCTGGATAGACAATAGACCCAGAAGAACTCGACTACGCAGGTGACAGGCCACCGGAGGATGGCTGAAGTTACGAAGTTGCCCAGATAGGTGGAGAGCTTGTTCCATTGACTTCCCCGTCAACCTTGGATGAAGTCATTGATGTGATCAATAAGCGCGGTCTACAGTCAGTGAAGTCCAAGAAGGCACGAAAAGTAAATTTTAGCAAACGATGTACAACATAGCAATATGAATTCCAGGCAATATGCCCTATATGATATGATTAATGATCTCGGGCTAATCCTATGCTATATTGAAGGTTTCCCTTATTGAACATATTTAATAACCATGTGTGGCAGTAAGCTTGGTGGGGGAAGAAGATGATGATATTATGAACCCCTTGGTGGGGGTGCTATAGCTAACTATGACTAAGTACCTGTGATAATATGCTGGGCCTCAAAAAATCTCGGCCTCCGGCTGAGAAAAAAAAGAAAATTTTAATAAAAAAAAATAATAAGAAAACGAAAAGGTAAAGGTGCGATGTGGCGTACTAGTTGTTGTATACCTGGGGCGGAGTGTAGATATATGAGGGCGTGAATTTATACCTGGGGTTGTACAGTGGACCCTTGGTAGCCGCTTCGAGAGGAGCTTGGCAGTGGTTATTATATTCTTTATTATCTAGTAGTAATAGGTTCTCTGGTACTGTCAGGACCCCAGTACTAAGAAGGCTGATGCCTGAAGTATGACACCTGTCACAGTACGTGGAAGCACCCGTCCCGGGTACGTGGGGGACTATGGACTGGACAGGAGCAATATGTGCTGCCTACATAGTCCCTATAGGTCATGTAACCCATAACCTATATATTATCCTCGCATACTACTTCTTTAGAGAGGCAGCTATTAGTTCTAATATACCACTGTATATACTACTATCTCTATTTCCCAATCCTCTATTATATACAGCATTCCCTTAGGCATTCTATACCTAGGGGTCTTATTAGACATCGGCAAAGCCCACCCGGCCCATAGCCCACGATGGGGGCCCATATGGGCCTTATATAATACAGTGATCTACCTACATAATTAATGCAATTTTAGGCCTGTATTCTTATTACAGCGCTCTCGTCCAATTATAATTCATACATATGCTAAGCATATGCCTAGCATAGTTACCAATATATATTTAATAATATATCTCTGCGATATTCTGATATATATATATTTCTACCATACCAATTGTTACGACCCCGAGGGTCACTTGCACAACTGGCCCATATGGGCCGATATACTTGCTAAGTAAGCGCCAGGGGTATATACACACCGCGCACATGAGATTTAGAACCTTAGCGATTAGTCTACTGAATTGTATAACCCACGCTAGGGACCTCCACTCTAATTCAAACCTCCATTTTTAGGATACACTGGTAGCTAGTCCTAACATTCTAATCGCTTCATTTTTACGAATTAGACCACTGGAACCCATAAGATACCTCGAAATACCCGTAGCAGAAGCCGGGTGTTATAGGGAGATATACCCCTACCTGCCGGTTAAGAAAACCAAACGTAGGATTTACAAACCCCTACTGAGATAGGGGCCATACCTGCCAAAAGAGCCGCTCCTATAAAAGAGGGGGCTGCCTAACCGATAGAATCCTCTGATAAGGATATTGGAAAAAACGAAAGAAAGCTTATAGCTAAATAGCGAGACCTTAAGGCCCTCGAAAAACAGCTTATAATTGCCGACTAGAAAGCCGAACTCTTACTATACCTTCGTAACTAGAACCTCGCAGTTATTACCTTAGAGGAGGAATCGAGTATACTATACCTACTACCACTTAAGGGAGATACTACCTAGGTACTGGAACCCCTAAACCCTATATTAAGGACACTAGCGATACCCTAACCTCCCCTAACAGTAGTAGGAGACCGCGTCTATTTTTGCTTGAGGGCCAGCCGATGTTTATATGCGTTTCGATGACCTGACTGAACTCAACGCAGAGGACACAAAGTAGTTTTGTTCCAAATTTGTGACTTCACCAAAGACGATTGTCGTTGCCGATCGGTCTGAAACATCCAGAGGAGGCGCGCGCGTACAGTTGGTACCAATGCGGCGCCAAATCTGTCATGTGAGTTCAATTGTCGGAATTTGTCGAGGTTCTTGCCTCTTCATAGTAGTAGTAGCAGCAGCCATCAAACTTATATAATATAAGGTCCTTTCTTCCATGGTTCTGCAAAGAAAAAAGATCAATTTTCTGATAAATCTATCGTCAGGACTAATTACAAACTTCATATTTCGCTATGGCAGAGGTACTCGCTACCGCACCTGCCATTGCGACTTTTGCGACGCTCGCCTTTCAATCCTCTGTCGCCCTTCATCAGACCGTACAAAGCCTTCAGTCCCGCGACAAAATGATTCGAGAACTTCTTCAAGAGTTGGATGCGCTTCAAAATGTGCTCCAGGCGCTGGCGGAGTCAATAGGAAGCCTTAACGTCGATCTTGCGTCGCTTGAACAACCTCTGATGAGATGCACAAACGCCTGTGGAGAATTCAACACACTGATAAAACGATGCACCACCCATTCTACGGATCAGGAGGCTAGCAGAAGAGATTGGCTCAGACTGAGGTACATGGGAGAAGACATATCTGGTTTCCGAAATATGGTAGCGGGGTATAAATCGACAATATCAATTGCACTTGCTTATGCAAACTTGTGAGTTTCTATTCTCCATTCCCGGACTGGTCTGACATTTTGTCAAAAGACGAAGTATGAGGACTACGAGAGCTGCTGTTGAGGAATACGAAGACTTCTTAGAGGATACAAAATGTGATCTGGAAAGTCACCTGGACGGTATTCGAGCGCGGATACAGACAGTGTACGCAAAAGGCCATGTGGTTGCTGGGGTTGAAACATCAGAACTCCAAGTGATGGAGGAAGAAAAAGAAAACACACAAATGAGTTTGAAGATTTGTGAGGAGTTCCTTTCATTTATAGACCAGTCGCGACGCGGTCTACTAGGTGATACGGAAGATTCCTCCAGGCCTGTTGAATCCAAACCCCTGCGTGTGGCCCCTATGAAAACAAGATATCATGACGGCCTCGCTAGCTCAGTCTCAACCTTGGGGCTGATGACTGACGAAACTTTGCAAGATGCTATTCGGTACTCTGGCCAAGGGCGACTGCGGGAGGCGGACGCTTTGCCCCAAACTTTGCGATTGGAACACCTCAAACAGTTGACCAACAACGAAATAAACCCTTACTCAGCGAGGCATTCTGCAAATTCCAGCAGCAATTGGCTTAGGGAAGGACCAGAATCTAATAACAAAAGTTCAGCAGACCAAGCCACTGATTCAAGTAGCCTTCCAGTGGGTGATTGCGAGAGTGATATATCAAAGCCTCCATCTGTCTTTTCTATGGCGACAGTGCCATTGACCGCTTTCACCACCGACACTCGCCTTACTGCAGAGGAGATTCGCACAGCCATTGATAAGCTTGTCTGTATATTTTTGGAAGATACAGAAATCGATTACTTGTTCAGAGAAGCAATATCGAAACATTACATAGCTTTTGATCGCCTGGACCGAAACTTCCGGAGGCTCTTAAAACAGTTCGCTACAAACCTGAAGGACGAGGCACAGGAAGCAATTGATGTTGACCTCGCGAACCTCATTTTTTCAAGGGCCAGACTAGTCGCCGAGAAAATTGGCACCAGCTTTAAGCTGGGATCTTCTGGGCTCGACAATTTCCCTCAAAGCTCACCACGAATGCATGGGAGCTTTGAATTTGCGCTTCGATTTGCACAAGATAACCAAGACGTCAGCAGTGATGAGGACGACAGGAAGGAACCTATAATCGATGATCGATTTGCTAGGCTGGTGTCCCATGGCCGCAGCTTTATCGAAGAGAGTGCTGCTTTTCAGAAGTTGCGAGTGGAACTCAAAAACTTCCTCATGCCGACTTTCAAGCCTATCTTCCTAGATTTCAGATTCGATTCAGATGAATGGATGATAAGATGCTTCTGGTGCATGGAAAAACTTCTATCAAGCATCGGGCCTTTAGAGGAGAGTGATTCGTCACATCTATTTTCTACCCGACCTTCAGTTCTGACACCATCTCGAGAGATAGTACTCTTTTCTGAGCCTATAGCTCTTGATACGAACGTCCATTCCACAGAGCTACCTACCCCTTGGTCCAGCATTCAAGTTATCGGATTTCTGGGTCTTAGCTTCAAACTCAACCGCTTGCAGTGGGCGCGGTAAGAATATCGTGGAACCCTCAAGAGCTTTTTTCCAGCTTCGGTTTGCAAAATTTGAATCCCTTACCACAACATCAAATAGTGCTACTATGCCAACCATGTTGTCAAAGTGAACCTTATTATAAAAGTTCGACGCGTTTCACGTGGGAGTACGTGGGAGTGGAAAGCAATGTCGATATGAAAGACTTCAAGGGAACAATATCCTGGGACCCAGCCAAACTTCTACGCAAACTCTACTTGCGAGAGAAAAAAGTCCCGAAGTATCACAAACGGTTTAGGTGGAAGAATGTGAGGTCCAACTACCTTGCAAGCTCATCAAAGTGCTAATAATCAACAGCGACACGGTAAAAGGTTATATGATGATTACATTGAACACGAGCATGGTGCTCTCCAAGCCCTCCATAACTACCTGGATGCTACCACTGTTCCTAACAAAGGGATGACGCCCAGTGAAAGTGTCCAGAGCTCCTCATATGCGGCCCGTCTCTATACACCAAATGCCCCTTCCACACAAACTACATATCCATTAACGACCATTGATATCGCTGACCAGCCTGCAACCAACCCCTACAATTTTGAAACCAGCAACGTGTTCCATGATGTTGAACAACCAACTAAATCCACACGCTCACTACTCCTCCTCACTTGCATTAAACGCCACGGTCGACCTGTCAAACTCCACCAAGAATTTGTCACGCACATCGCCGACGACCGCCAACTCTTCCATGCATTACGCAAGATATATTTTAACCACCGGCAGAAGTTTGAATTCTTTTGGTCTTTGAGGACATTGCACAGCATCCATTTTATGAGGGTGTGTTTTTCTTCTTCATCTAATGATGTCTTGTTTTCTTGGTACCAAAGCTGGGACCTTACATCACCTGCCCTAATTTTGACGTATATCATCCTGACATATTTTTCTCAGTTCATCTACGCTGGCAACTCATATATTGACGTCCGCTGCCATGCTGAAATTTGCACTCCCAGTAATCCTTGCGCCTGTGTCCCACCTCCTGGCCTTGTTCCACCCCAGGTGACCTATAACTACACCTAGGTAGACGACTCTTACCTCAACGACTGACTAACTGCATACCCTTACGATAAGCCACTGTTCCCGATTGGTGCCGGGGAACAAAAAGCACATTTTCTCCACGGCCATATCCCGGAACAATCGACAATTTTCAGAGCTGGCTACTTTTGCCTTGTTTATCTTCACTGGATAGTTTCTGGCCAATATATATTTTTCATGCTATCGGCGGTATGCAAACTCAAGCAATTCAAGGTTCTTATTTGCAGCTCTCTAGTCGCATTGGCGATCTTCCGCCAGCCTATATCCAATCCCTGGTAACCTGCTCCTCAAGAGTAGACTGCTGCAGACGACGCTCACGCTGCTTAACGCCATGGCTAAACTGGCCCAGACTGGGTCGAGTCTGATATGCCCTCCACTGGTTTTCACAGGATATAAAACTCCAGCAGCCACAGGTAAAGCGATGAGATTATAAACCAATGCCCATGCGAAGTTGAACTTGATCCTCTTAAAGACAATGCGACTGAGATCGATCAGTGTCAGTAATGAGTCCAACTGAGACGAAACAAGAATGAAATCGGCAGAGGAGATGGCAATGTCGGAACCAGAACCGATCGCAACTCCCACATCTGCCATTGTCAAGGCGGGGGAGTCATTTATCCCATCGCCTACTTGAATCAACGTTCAACAGTGCTGTTTCAATTTTTGTAATGAACACTCAATGAAATTTCCTTGTGGCATCACCGCCCGCTGCTGTCTTTCCACGTTCAACACATACTGTAGTTGACGATGAAACTAATTGATTGAGAAGAAAAAAGAAAGAAAAAAGAAAAGAAAAATAAAATTACACTATCGTTGATTGATTCTCAACGGAATTTATGACCGGAATCCCTGACCGGAGGACCTTAAGAAATGAAAATGGTGGAAATGAAATAATTCGGACCTCCAAACAATGAGGGGCCTAATGAGGTTGCTCAAATTTTGATGAGCTAGAGTACTGAAGTGTACAAGCGTGCCGGCTGGAAATCATCCATCCATGCCCCGTAAAAAATCAAAGTACCAGAGTTGATCAATGTTGAATCAAAACAAATAACGTCAGCCTTCAAGATTAAGGGAACAAAAAACACCGAAACCGATAAAACGGAACCCTCATGGCCGTTGAGTCTGAATATTTTTATTTCACCATGCTTATTGTTTAAGAAATTAATGTATCCCAGCCTGTTGGAAAAGGCCACCCGCAACAACTCTAGTAACATTTGACCACAACCGTTCTTGGACCTCAGTGTAGGCCACACAATGTAGATGTGCCGTTGAGATGGTTGCTCAAAGAGAAATCATGTTCATGTGTGTGTTGAGTGATCAAATTCATACTGTAACTTGTTTTCGTACCCGTTGTGCTACAGCTGAGTAGTCGTATAATTCTTCTGGCAAATTCATACCTTATAAAACCTCTCTTTTTGGCCCTTTCCCTCGCTGGGTTAGTCACAACGTCTTTGCAGCAGCAGGCGATCCCGGGCGATGAATACGATGAAAACTACGAATCGCTCGTCCAGAAAATTGCTGCGCCAAAAGCAATGTCGCCGCAAAACAAGTCTTATGAAAAAAGCATATGAGTACAGCAAGTTGTGCAACGCAGATGTATGCATGGGGATTCGCATGCGGGAGACGGGCCAGGTACATATTCTGTCAGCGGATTCTTCGGGCTTTTGGGCTTTTCTTGCTTTACAACTAGTAAGCTTTATTATGACGTCATGTTAAGAAATAAAAGCTAATTTGATTAGAACTCCTACTATCCGACTCCAACCTTGACATCCGACCGTGATTTTGAGAAGAGCGGGGAGGATGTAAAGGTCCAAACTATGCAATAAGATTTCAACTTGTTATCTACTTAGAAAAATCCAGTTCTATTGAAAATACCGTCCGTTATGTTGCTCGTTGCAAAAAGCCAGCTATGAACTCGTGTAGCTTGAGGCTATTAGGAGCGGCGGTGATTACTACAGAGCAGGTGATCCTAGGCCGTATCCTTCTGGCTATGGATCTAAGTACTCAGCCAGAAATGGCCAACTAGCGTCCAAGGTAGCTTAGCAGCCTTAATTATCTGAAGTCTGGATTTACTTCAGTGCACGCTTTCAATCTTTCGATTTCTATCCTTATTATATCCCATAGGCCTACTGTCGACGTTTCGCAGGTCGATGATGATCGCTGTTATGTCCCATAGACCAGACCTCAAAGCGGTTAGCGTGTCTCACTTCGTTGCTCATAAATACACTAATCCCGAAAAGGAAAGTCGGCCACTACTACTTTCCTAGAAACTTACAGTATCGGATCAGGAGTAGAGTAGAATTTACTTCTATGGGCCGGGATTCATGGTGAGACCCATACCAGTAAAGATACTCTGTAGGAAAGAATTTCATTATCATTAGCGATTATTTTTCTAATGCGAAGCTAGAAGTAAAACGGGGTGGGGCAGGGAAACCAAAATGAGACTGGAAGAACAAGAATCAGGAACTTCGGTACTTCGTATATCCTCGCTTTGCGCAAGCCGGCGACTGGTGCAAGAGATACTATTCTTTTTGAGGAGCAGTGCGAACAATTTCTTCAAATGGTTGAATTACCCGAAGAGCAACAACTGCGACCCTCCATATGAGACGCGTCTTTCCTTCACTCCGTCTATCGATAGGCTCCTACTGGAGACGAACGTTAGAATCACCTCCAGGAGCTAATACCCTTATAAAGTTAAGGGCCCCGGTCACCGTGGAGTAATTAAGCCAAAGATTTTCTTTAGGACCAGGGATACCGTAGACAGCGCTATAGTCTGAAGAGTACCGAATCTCTCTAGTAAATACCCTAAGGGTATCTCCTTCCTAGACTAATATAATAGGGCAAACTGTGAGGAATTTTTCATCCTTAGGCTGAATAGTGACGAAGATAGACTTATTTCGCATCGCTTCTGCCTTTGTTTGCAAGTCAAAGAACCCACCGAGCAGTTTAGCTGATACTTCGTATGATCCGCTTAATTAGAAGATAGTCTCCTCCACACTAGAGAACCACGGGTTGATAGCGCAGTTCCATGCAATCCCAGGAACACTAAGTCTATCTATTAAGAGCGGTTGCCTTAACTATAGTCTTCCTATTAAATTGCCTTTGCTCTCCGCGACCACTCGCTCTTCTAGTTGTTTAATATAGAAGCTATACCTTTCTTCCTAGAGTCGGATAATCTCTATTAGAGAAACCCCAGCTTCTGATAAATAGCTTTTGCAGAAGCAGTCAAATTCCTTTGTGCGGTATAAAAGAATCTTGTCGATACCCGCGTTCCGCATATCGAACAATCTTTTCCAGAAAAGACGGCACTACCTTTGATTAGCGAGGCTAAGTCTATAGCCCACTTCTCTCATGAATCGCTCGGTAGCGACTTTCTCGGCCATCGTGAATTCATCCAGAGGGCCTTTCGAAGTTGGCAAATCCTTTAGGTTAAGGAGCTAGGCGCCTTTCTTGATGATCTCCTAATATATGGTTTCGTTAAGCCGAGACTATATACTTTTGCTTACGGAGAATACATTCTCCTGCTTGATTAGCTGGATGGCATTGGGGTATTATAACTTAATAATGCCATTCACAAAGCTCTGAATCTCTTCGACCTTCGTTATTAGGCTTACCTGCTTTGACCGATGTCCGTATCTTCCAAGGGGATCGTTAAGCTTTATACAGTTCACAAGTATATTCTTAATGATCCTATGCGGTACTTTCGCGTATTAAGAAATGTCTATGGCGGACAAAGACGTCCTATCATGAGGTATAATCATTATTGCGTTCGCCTCGGTCGTCAACGTAGGTTCGGATGGTATATCACCTTCCCGACTTACTACGGAGTGATTCGCCTCTTGTGCCGTATCTTTGGCAGTGTTATTTCCTTTGTTTCTTCTTTTCTTCTTATAAGACGGCGTATCTAGCCCTGAGTAGTCCACTTAACTTCTTTT